AATGGGAGAAACAGATGCTAGTATAATTATTTGTTTGACCATTATAGAAAGAAGAATGGAAAAGAGAAGAAGAAAGACATAAATAAAGAGAAAATCAATATATGAATTATAAGAAAGAAATTAATTAAGAAATAGCATTAAATAATGAATAACAAAAAGAATTTAAAAAATAAATTAAATATTAAGAGAAAATTGAGGATAAAGAAATGATTTAGTAAGTTCTTGCAAGAGAAGAAGCTATTAGTAAAATGGAACAAGCAGAAAAATAAAGACAAAAAGAAGAAACAAGAAAATTCTTATTAAATTTTAAGAATAGAACAAATGAATATAGTATGAATGATTAATTAAAGGAAAGATTAATTAATGAAGAAAATGCTAGATAATGGGAAACTAAAGAAGCAAAATGGAAAGCGGAAGATGTAATATATTTTTTATTATTTTAAGGATGCAAGAGTAAAATTAATGTATGAAGTTTATGCATAAAGAGCAGAGAATGTTGAAATCAAAAAAAAAATAATAGAAGATGAAAAGAATGTAAAATAATAAGATAAGATTGAACTTTAAAGATAAATGGAATTATATTAAAAAGATGTAGAAGAGAAATAAAGAATAGAGTAGGAAGTATGTTTTATAATTAATGATTTAGAAAATTATGTATACAAAACATAATTTAATAAATTAAATGGATGAAAAAAAACAAAGGTAGTAATTGTTAAGAGATAAAAAATAATAAGAAGAAGAAGCACTTCGAAAACAAAAAGAAGAATATGATAAAAAAATAGAATTGGAGAAGGCTAAAGGTCGTGCTTTGCTTGATGAACTTAGAAAATAAAGACCATATTGATTTATTAGAATCAATTCAAATTATTATTTAAAATAATCTCTTTATAAGACACATTATTATATTTATAGACTATTTATTATTTAGTATATTATATAAGTAATTGAGTTTATGAATAGGTAATTGCATAGGTTGATAAATGATGAAAAATTGATTAAATTAAATTATTTAATTCTTGGATATGTCAACTCCTCAAATAAAATCAAAATTGGTTTAAACATTTGGAAGAAAGAAGAATGCTGTAGCTAGTGCAAGTGTTAGAGAAGGAAAAGGTATTATATATTAATAAAGCAAGGTTTGGTTAGAGTGAATGGCGCTCCTATTGAATTAGTCAATCCAGCCCCATTGAGATAAAAGGCACTTGAACCATTATTACTTCTTGGTTAAGTCAGAACAGGCAGATTAGATATCAGAGTCACTGTTAGAGGTGGAGGAAGCACTGCTTAAATTTATGCTATTAGATAGGTAGAATCAGCAATCTAAAATATCATTAGGCTATTAGCAAAGGTATCGTTGCTTACTATCAAAAATATATTGATGAAACTTAAAAGAGAGAAATCAAAGATCTTTTATTATAATATGATAGAACACTATTAGTGGCTGATCCAAGAAGATGCGAGCCAAGAAAATTTGGTGGTAAGGGTGCCAGAGCCAGAAGATAAAAGAGTTACAGATGAAAATTTTATATCATAGTACATTAAAAAATATAAAATATTAATGGAATTTTAGTGTTGTTAATGTTCGATAGAGTTCAATCAAACTGATCATTCACCACTTGTGTTACCTAGTTGTGGTCATTCAATTTGTTTTTCTTGTGTCAATAAGTATGTGACTGGAGAGTAAACCTTAATTTGCAAAGAAGATGGGTATTTACCTATAAGATCTATTTAAGAATTCAATGCAATGTTCATAGAGATATTAAATGTTTTCCACATAATTAAAGTATTATTGCCTTACTTAAAAAACGACGATCACCTGGTAGGTGTGTTACAACAATTCAAACATCTGATGAACAGTAATAATAGATTCACAATCAATTGAAGGATGTTAGTGATTTTTAAGGTGAAAAAGTCCTTTTAGAAACTTAATCTCAGGAAGAATTGCCTAAATCTGGTCTATGTAAATTACATCAAAAGGAACTAGAATTAGTATGTAAAGAAGATGGTTAATATATTTGTGTAAATTGTGCATTATTTGGCCCACATAAATTTCACAATTATCTTCCTATTGAATAACATCTCAAATAAATAGAATTAGCAATCCAATAGATAACAAATATTTATAAACAATTACAGACTGAAAGAAATAGTTAAGAATAATTTAAACAATTACTGATTCTTGGAATTAATTAATAATAAAACTGTTTAAAATCTCTTATAGAATTACAATTTGATGATCTTATTAAATCTATTGAAGATATTAAATTATAAGTTTTGCACAACATTGAACTTAATTATTAAAATACAATTGACCATTAAACTAATAAATTTGATTCTGAATTTATCTCATTGTAAATTGAAGCTGATAAATGGCTTAATCAAGCTAATAATCATTTAAGTCTTTTTTTAGACAACTCTTCAGAATAAAAATGTCGAAAATTTGATGATCAAATTGTTAAATAAGGAGAACTATTAATCTCATCTTTTGAAAAAATTAAGGAACAAATTAAAATTAAAATTGAATAAAAAAATAACTCACTTGATATTTAAGTTCCAATTTAGCTAATTTTGAATTATATTAATAAAATGATGGGATTAAACAAATCTAAATCTGATATTCTTAAATAAGAATTTCTTTAACCTTTAGAATCTATTTTAGAGGAAAAAGATCCTTTAAAAAAAGTTGATCAATCAGATTTTTTATTAGATGATAGATAACCATAAGAAGAAACCTTCTATCAATATGAATAACATAAACCATTATAAATTGATGTAACAAAAGGGAAGCGTTATTCTGGTATATTTTCATAATCATAATAACCAACCTAACCTACTTCACCCTCCTAAGATATGACTAAATCAGTTAATTTTGCTTCTGGCCAAAATTAACCTTAAAAATTAAAAGAAAGAAGTATGACATTATCACATCATGAACTTTTGGATGTTTCACAAATACTTGTTTAAAAATAAAATAAAATTAATAATAACAATTAAAATAGCAACTCAAAATAATAGAAAAAATTTACAAATAATTAAAAAATGAATGATAAACTATCAAATACATTTAGCATTATTCATTAAGATAAAAGTGAAATTATTGACTTAAGTTCCATAGGTATAAATAATATTCTAACCAAGATTTTTCTGATTAGATTATATAGATCTTGGGAGATTACTTAAAAGGGACATAAACCGTCAAAGTTTTAAAGTTGAGTAAATGCAAATTGACAGATGATCTATTATATAAGTTAATTTTGAATATCACTTAAACCAAGTAAATATATATAATTATAAATTTAATAGAATTAATACATTGCATTTACAACAAAACATACTAACAGAAAAATGTCTTGATTATATTTTAACTCATTTGAGATAAAATGGTCAAACACAATTAAAAAGTTTATATTTGAATTAAAATAACTGTACTGCTGCTAAGGCAAAAAAAAAGATTGATGAACTAAAAAAGTTTGGAATTTAGATATCATTATGACTTTAGATCATCTGATTGATGTATAAACCATGACATAGATTATAAGAAATTCCTCAAATTTATATTAAAAATTTCATTCTGATCCATAATAAAAAAAAATAAATTTTCAAGGCTATTTGTATTATACACTCTTGTATTACGATTTAATGTATTCTACAAATTCCTACCATTAAGAATGAACTACGCAAGCCGCATTTTTTATGTTATTTATATCTAACCTGTATTATAAAATATCTTGTTGATCAATCTCAGGATATCCATAAATATTCTCAGATCTTAAAGTTGGTTTTAAATTTTGAATTTAATCTTCCACTAGCTTTTATAAATTTTTAAATTGTGCTATGATTAGAATAGTTTTGTTTACATATAGATTGATTTTATCTTTAATTTAGTTGTTCATTTAAATTTACTCTATTTTAAAATATAGTTTAAATTTGACTTTAATTTTGTAGTTTATCTAAATTCTTCTTCTAAACTTTTTCTTTAGTTTTACCTTTTTAAGTTTGAATTCTTTTTCGATGTTTTGGGAATATTAAATTTTCATTTGAGCCTTGAGTTTTATTATAAGTTTATGATGTATGATTCCTAATTTGATATAAATTTTTTTTGAGCGAAGTTGTGCTATTTTAATTGTCCAAAGAGGGATCAATATTTTCTATATTGTAAATTTGAAATTTTTATTACTCTAATTAGATATTTTGTTTTAGTTTGTGTAATTCCTCTTTTTACTCAAGATACTCTTGAATTAATCTGTTCAAAACAGCTCTATTATTAATTTTTTGAATAAATACGTTTCTACTTTTTCTCTCTAGATATATATTAAATTAAAAATTTCCTCTGCATTTAAATTAGTAAAGTCTATAACCATAGCACCTGTTGAGAAAACAATGGTATTTGTTATACTTTCTTAATTCATGTGATTTAGATGAATTTAAATTATTAATAAAATTATTTCTTATTCAAGATTTTGAAAAAAGAAATAAACAAGTTTTATAGATATTTTTTAAAAGTGATTCATTAAATATCAATTATAAATGCGTTCATATACTGTTGGTAAACTTTTTATAAGGTTTTGCTAATTTTATATTAATTTATAAATAATATTTTCAAGATGAGAAAAATCATCACTTTATATTTGATAGTTAAATATTATTAACAAAAGAAAAAGCAAATATTCAAAGAATTAACTCAGAGTTTTGGTGGAGATTCAACAGAATTTTGTTTTTTTAAAAATTTTCCATCTGGACCTCTTTCTCTTTTTAATGCATGTTAATGCCTAGATTCATATATATATTTTTAATTAGATTTATCCAAAACTTTTGTTGCTTATTCTTTTCTTAATTCCTCTAACTTTAATGCTTATTAAGCTCTTTTAATTCTTCTAATCATGATTCGTCTATATCTATAAATTAATAAATTCTATTACTATTTCTAATTTACATATCTAGGTTCTTATTCATATTAAATAATTATTGGAAATTTAGGTTAAATTTTTTCTTCCTATTTTCCTTAATTTTGTAAATCAGCTTCTTTAAAATGATTAGTAAATTCAAAGAAATTAGTAAGGTATTATTAATTTAAGAAATGACTCTTTGATCTTTCATCCTCTGGATAGAACATAGAATATTGTTTTTTGTCATTCTCCCTTTAATTTTCTTGCAACATAAAAAAAAAATTTAATTATAGCGGGCTAAGAAAGTTTATAAATATGTATTAACTTGAAATTTATTAAATCATTAGTCTAATCTTTTCCATGCCAAATTGCTTAGGAATTCAATTGGAATAATGTTTATTAAATTGTCATAGTTTCTAGATGAAAATAAATAGAATTAATATAAGAAAAAAGTATTCATATTTTTTATTATTTAACTTAAATCATAAAAAAGTATGCATATTCAAGAAATTATAGGTAAGGTTAGTGTTTAACATTTTTAGTACTAAAATTGATTCTTTTCTGATTTTAAAATAATAAGAATAATTTAATAATATTTACAAATAAATCAACATAATTTGTATTAAAAAACATAGATAGAAATTAGTTGTTAGTAATATTTGATAAAATATAAATGAGAAATTTAATTCTTTATTTTGTTATAAAATATTTTTATAAAATCACAAATTATTTACATTTTTGAAATGGCAATTAGAAGTGATTCTTAAAGAGTTTTCTAAACCTAAATTCTTAAAACTTTAATAAATGAGAATCATTAACTGAAATCCTAAGCGAAAAAGAAAGATGCCCTGATAGTGCAATTATTAGAAAAGAAAATATTGGAAAGTGAATAAGCTTTGAAATCTGAAAGAAAGGGGTAAAAAAAAGGATCCATTACAAGAAGAGATGATAAGGATTTAAGAATTCACACAAGAATTAAGACTCTGATTGACTTGTTGCCAGATGGCTTTTGAATTCAAAATTTTCGCACTAATTTTTTAATATATTATAAAAATTGTGATGAGTGATTCAGATGATTCATTAAAGTAATAACACCAACTTCCATAAAATTTTGGAGAAATAATTGATTCAGATGATGAAAATTGGATGCCACCTAAAAAGAGTTACAGTCAACTAGAGGAATTTGAGCCTTCTAAATTTAACAAGAACATAATTGCATTAGATTGGGATTTTACTAAAGTAGAATATTAGTTTAAAATAATTAGGTATTTGTAAAAGAACTTAAGATTGAAGCATTATAAGATCCAACTTGGAGAGTATAAGTGATTAAACAATTTGAGATACATCCTACTTTAGATCATCCTAATATTGTTAAAGTACAAGGTTAATCAATAAGATAGGTTAAAGAGTAGAACTATGATGAGAAGAAAATAATATTAGAGTTCTTAAATGAGGCAAATTATTTTAAGAAAGTAATTCTAGATGTATGATTGTTATTTTTAAACTATTAGTAAGCACGTCCTATAACAAATATGATTAAATTAAGATCTTATATTTAAGATATAGCTGAAGGACTCAATTATTTGCATAATTTAAGTAAAAACGTATAATTATTTGAGATTTCGTTCATATGGATATTAGAATAGAAACATTACATTGTACAAGAGGACTAGATGATTTGATTAGAACAGTATGTTAATAATTAAATAGAGGTCAAACTTGGAGATTTTGGGAATATCTAAAGAAAGGGTGATATTTTAGATGCGTTTCATTATGAATTTATCAAAAAAAGATAACCAATGATACCTCCTGAGTTAACAATAGGTAGTTAAGCTGATCCAAAAATGGATATCTGGTGTTTTGGTATAGTAATTCATTAAATGATCATGGCTTATTCACCAAATTTAATGCCTTAAAATTAGAATCAACCAGCAAAAATATCATTTGCTAAAGCTCATTGGAGTAAATATGAAGTTGAGCTATTCAAATTGGTGAAAAGCATGCTGTAAATTAATGCAAATGATAGACCATCAGCATAGTAAATACTATAAATTCCATGGCTTTAATGATATATATATATATCTATAATATTAAAGTGACCGATTCTATTGACTTTTAATTCTATCCTAAAACAAAGATATAGATAATTAATAAATAAAAAATAACAAAAAATGAGTATAAAATAGTTTTAAATCAACGTATACTAATATTCTGAGGTGCCAATTGACATTGGTTATTTTATTAATTACCAATAGATTATGGATAGATACTCCAAAATCTTAATGTTTCATCTCCAGCCCCAGTCACAATAGTATATCCATCTGGAGACATTGCTAAATAGAGCACACTTAATAAAAATATATATATACCGACTAGTATGACCAATTAAAGTGGCAATCCTTTTCATGCCATTACATTTCCATAATACAATTTAATGTTGACTGTAACCATGCGTTGATATTAATTCATTTTCCATTTTACTAAACATTAAATTACAAACTTAACTTCCAGTATCTTCTTTTGAGAGCATCTTACCTTCTAAAGCATTCCAAAATCTTATAGTTTTATCCGCAGTTCCACCTCCACTAGCCAATAATCCATGTTAATGTGGACTCCAAGCTATTGCTTTAACAGCTGCTTGATGTTCAGTAAACTTGAAAATTGGTTTGTCAAGTTAAGCTGCACTCCAAATATATAATTTATTATCATTTCCACCAGAAGCTAATAATTAATTGTCAGGAGACCATTTTAAACCACAAACTTCTTATTTATGTGCTAAAGATTTAAAAAAATAATCTTCTTTTTATCTTAGATCTCTTTAAAGTATTGATTTATCTCTTGAACCACTACTCAATATATTTTCTGCAAAACAAAGAGTTCCTACTCTTGCTGTATGACTTTATAATGTTCTAACTTTTTATAATTTACAAGCATCCCATATTTATACTTCTCCATTATTAGTTCCTACTCCAAGTAATGGTCCTCTTATAGACCAACCAACACTTGTTACTACATCATTACATAGATCAAGTAATTTCGTAACTTTTGAAGATTAAGCATTCCTATTTAAGAATTAAACAATACCATAGATATACACAATTATTAAGAGCTACTGATAAAGTGTTTTAATTGCTCCAATCTATAAGATTTAAATAAAAATCATCTTATAATTGAGGAGCATCCAAAACTTTAAATGGTACTTTCGGAATTTTTCTAATATATTTTCCATAATAACTTGATATTGTTTCTGGCAAAGCAAAGTACTTATGATCCACAAGAGGACTAAATTATTAAATTAATAATACCTATTATAATTTTTTGGGTCAATAGAATCAATATAATATATATGTTCATTCTTATATTGAAAGTTATTTTGATTTATAAATTTTAATGAACCACTCTCAGGTTCAATAATAGGCTCTTAATCAAGAATTTACTATTTATAGAGCATTTCAAGTGCAGCTTAAGATGAAGCTATGTCTTGAGCTGGTGCCTTAGTTTCAGTGAGAATGCTAAATTTCTTTTTTTTTCTAGGAATAAATCGATCACCAGCATAGTCATTTCTTCGTTTTTAATCAATATTTCCAAAATTGATTAGATTTTCTTATTACTATGCTGATATTGGATCCTGTTGATTTCCCAGAAGTATTTTTTGATTTTTGGCAACTGAACTCTATAATGATGATGTAGAACAAAACTAAGATGATTAGATAATCATACTTTAAGTTTAAGCTTAGACATTTACAAACAAAAATAAAATTTATGTTTCACATAAAAATAAATAAATTAAGAATCAAACATTTTAGTGAAATGTTTCCTAATAGAAAATTAAATCTAATACATCTAAATATTATAATTATTTATAAATGAAAATCAATCATCAAGCTGACATAATAGTGCAACTCCACGTCTAGTCCAAACTGCTGGTTCCACTCCAGTATTTAATTCCAGATATAAAACAAAGTTGGTTGAATGACCTGTTGTTGAAAGTGTTCCCCTTCTTGTAGAAGTCTTGTAAAGAGGACATTTGTATAATTTTTAAGAATTTTAATTTTAAGCTGATGCCATAACAGGTTCAAGCCTATTCTAATAGATTTTAAAATAAATACCAAACAACAGGCATTTCTTAGAATAATACTAAAGGATCAGATTCTTCCAATTTATTAGTTCCAACATCCCATTTGCATCCTTATAAGTAAAGACCATCAATATTGACACCTAAATAATTAAATAATTAATTACCATCTTAAGGAATATCTTAAATATTATCCTTGTAGAATGGTCTGACTTAAGTTCTAAAAGTTAAAGTATCTATAGGTGTTTTTGTCTTACGAGCATAAGTTTATTTGGCAGCAGTCATGAAACCTTGAGGGAAGAACATAGCTGATAACCAATAAGATTTCAATGTTCCATTTTCTAACCATTATTTAAAGAATTCCTAAAAATAAATAATAATATTAATTACCAATCTTTGAATGAGATCAGTAACCCAAGAACCTAAAGGTTTTAAAGATGGATAGGCAACATTTTCCCAATTCTCAGGAACTTTAGCATCTAAGAAAGAATTGAACATTTTTTCTAATTCAATAGACATAACAACTAATCCTTAAATAGCTTTTTGTAACAATTCTAATGAATTTTTCATTACTCGAACTAATTTAATAAAACGATCAACTTCTTATGATCTAAAAATAGCCAAAGATTCAATAGCCACTTCTTTTTTTTATACTAAAAGTGGAGGAATTTTCCCTAAAATTTCTTTTGCTACTTTAAAAACAATCTAATCAGGTGTTTCTTCAACTCCCTTTTCTGCTACCATTCTTGGTTGTACTGATAATAAAGTACTCATGAATTCAGCAACTGTTTTTTATTAGAAAGTAATATTAGCATTAGCATGTAATCCAAAGACTTCTGGGTCATCTTCTAAAGGTAATGAACTTATATATTAGATAACTGATTGTAAATCAAGAATCTAAGGAGGATGATAAACTCCACTAGATGAGAATATATAATTTGGATCATTTAATACAGCTGGACAGAAATACTACTTGAGTAAATCAGTAATCAATCTAACATCTTTATCATCTGTAACTCTGCCACCATAATTGATTTCTGAAATAATATAATTTAATGTCTAATATGGAACTTCTGGCTATTCATCTAAATACATCTTCAATTACAATTAACAAGTTTCAAAATCTGAATTCATCCATTCATATGGAATATTCCAACCGATTGGTCCAAACTTTCTCCTTTCTAAAATAACTGCATGGAAGAAAGCCAAAGAGAATAAAAGTTTCTTATATTCATCTTATTTGGTACATGAATCATAACCTGAAAGATCATTATAAGTTCTCATCACATTAGCTTTTAATCCTTTAGGTGGTTCATTTGTTAATTTAATACCACTTTATAATACTGGAACAGGGAATTTATCAGTAGGCATACTTGTTAACCATAATCTATAATTGGCATCAGTATCTGCCTCTACTTATAATTCTTAAATTCTTTCTAATTCTGGCATCCATGTTATTGCCAAGTGACAATTTTATAAACATACCCAATCTCCTGTTCTTCTTCCTGTCTTTATCAATTCTTTTGCGATATTACCTTATCCTTAACCTAATGAAATAATCTTTAATTTAGTTTCCATCTCCATATCTTTAGCTAAGTTTAATAAATATGTGATTGGATCAGCTCCTGGAGATAAAACAAAGATTATAGGAGTTGTACAAGATGAATCTTAAAATGCTCCTTTCAAATTAAAAACAGGAGGCTCTATAAAGAAAGATGTTAATGTATCTGAAACATAATTCTTAATTAGAATAACTAACTTTTCATCTCTAAGTGTTTTGAATAATAATAACTTCTAAAATGGATCTAAAGAACGGAATACAAGAGGTAAGTCACATTTCCATGGATCCTATACATCTATTATTTCTCTCCATAATGATTCATCATTACTATCTTTCAAAGACGTTGTTAATTATGCAAATACATGAGATTACTTACTTAACTTCATACAATTCTTCCATGATTTCTCATTTAAAAATGATGGATGTTCTTCATTAGGTACTGCACCTGTTCCTCCTCTTAAGAATAGATTCCATTCTCTTGCATGTATATATTAAGCCTATAATTAGATTTTACTTGCTATCAAAAAACTAAATAACAATTTATCTTTCTCAAATAATCCTCTGCAAATATTTATATAAAATGCTTTTGTAATATCATCAATTAACACAGCCAATCTTTCTTCTAAAGATGGAGGATTTGGTGCTACTTCTAATCTCTTTTTAAATAATTTAATAAAGAACTCTAAAGAATATTGATACATAGGATCAATCAAAGCCAGATCTGCTATTACAAAGTAAATAACTGATCCTCTTCTAGCAATTATACGATATTATTCTCTTGCTTAATTGATCTCTTCTGCAGTGATCTTTGACTAAGCCATACGTTAATTCACTGTATCTGATGTGATTTTAGATGCATCCAAAGTTGTAATTAAGTCTTCTTCTTCCAGTATTCTTCCCTAAGCTTCTGATATTAATTTTAATATTTTATCCTCCAATTCTTATAACTATCTCTTGTCTTATGAAATTTAGAGTATGAGATTAACTCTTTTTTCTTCTAAATCAATTCTTTCTTATCTGACGACTTCAACAAGTAATTAATCTTCTAATCCCTAGGGTGTGACAGTAAAGTTGATGATTGTAGTTTTGATACTTATTTCAGGTATGTAGTGTGGATTTGGTAATTTAGTAGTGAAATATAACTTGAATTCGTTATTGTATGGAATATCTTAATCTCCTAAACGTAATAGATATTAAGCTCCTTTTTTGAAAATTTGTTTTTATAATATGGGCTCTAAAGATGGATCAAGTTCTTCTTCTACATTTTCCATTAAGACTTATTATCCAAAACGAATAGAATTTTCAAGCGTTTTTAGGAAATTGCTTTCACTTAATTTAGTAATCTGCAAATTAGTTTCCTTTCCTAAAGCTTTTATCCACTTATTAGCTTGACCTTAAGGATCAATAATCAATGGCCATCTCCTACAATTATAAACAAAGATTCCATTATCAATAGATAAATTATCTGCAGGTAATCCTGCTTCTTACCATTCTCTAATAGTAACTTCCTCTGCTAAAATTCTTTAGAGAGTGAAATTGTCACTTACAGGAATACTTAATTCTTTACAATTGTTAATCCATTTGGCTATAATTTCAGATCTGTAATTGTAAGTGAATGGTCCAAGATATGCAATAGATCCAGCAGCCAATATAATATTTCCAACAAGATTTCTTAAATCTTCTTCTAATAATGCAGCATTAACCTTCCATCTTTCAGCTTCACTAGCTAATCCTGAAACTAATTTCTCTGCTCTTACTAATTAGATTTCAGCTGTCTATTATTATTATTTCAACATTTCAGATTTACTTATAGACTATTAGAGATTTCTCTTAAGTTCATTAACCATATCTTAAACTTCCTTCAATTATCCCATCTTTACAGCTAATTCTTATTCAACCTTTTTTAAGGATGCTTCTGCTTCTTTTAATGCTTTTTCTTTAGGACCTACCACTTTTTTAACTTAAGCAAACTTTTCAGTTGCAACTACCCAAACTAATAAAGTTGTTGCTGCTTATGATACATTCAAAATCTTTTCTTTTGTGAAATCAGGATTACTTAAATATGTTTGCTTTAGTTTCTGTAATCTTCTTTCTGGTACCTAAGTAACATCAAACTCCAAAAGATCTTGAATAAATGTCATACGCCCAAGTAATTTCTAAGCAGAGGGCCAGTCTTCTTTTTCTCCAAACAGTAGATTAACTGCACACATAACAATTTAAACTAAATTTGGTGGAGTTTTTAAGGCTTTCATTTCATTGATTGCACTTTTATCAATACTTTAAACTGCTTTTTAAGCTTATTCTAAAATTGGTAATGCTTAATCTAATTCAGCCTAACAAGAATCTCTCATTTCATTAACTTCATCCTTTTTCTTTTATGCTTCTGCTGCTTCTTTTGAAACTATTTATTCAGTTTAATTAGCTTCTTTAGTTTTACCTTCTAATTCAACCATCATTTTAGCATTATCTTTTGCACTCTATTCAAGAATTGGTTAAAATTCAATAATTTTCTTTTATAATTTACCAACTTCCTCATTAGTATCTTTCAAAGTCTATAAACCAACAGTATATTTCTTTATTTTTTATGGCAAAATGTTTGATTATACTTTCATCATATCTATGTATAATTTTAATAATTCTAAATAACTTGTTGGTGTAACATAGTTTTTCCTTCTTAATTCATCATAAAATCTTTCGCTGTAGGTTTTCACATCTGAATGTATAATAACTGACATGTTTGCTAAGCTTTCAACAAATTCTCCAATACCTAGATGTTCCTATCCTCCCAATTCTTTCATAGCAACACTACTCAGTGCTTCATCGGGCCATTTATCAAACCAATCGATTGTACAACAATTGATAATAGATGGAAACTACCTACATCTATTTCTTAACTTTTCTCCTACTGGAGAGAATGCTAAGACTATATGTAGATTCTCTCTAACACGACTTACAAAGAATTTAAGTAGAACATCTCTAGAATCATATAATCCTTATTCCTTTGCCAATGGTCTAACATCATTAATTATTTCTTCAATGTCTTCAGTTGCCCATAAATTTGGCACTTCTCCTGTATTAAGAACATTGTTAATATCTTCTAAAAATGATTCTCTAACTACTTAAGTATCAGAAAATAAGAATACTACAGGTTAATCTTTAGCTCCTGCTGTTTTTAGTAGTTTTTTAAGATCATCTTTCCATGATTATTCTCTATAATTTTTAGTGATTTCTATGCTAAATACAGTTTAACCTCGAGTTTAAGCAGATAATTTAGTTAGAGATTATCTTCCTGATCCACCAACACCAATCAAAAGTGCATTACCTCTAGGTTATCTTAGTATTCTACACAATCTACTTAAATGCATTATAGCATCAGTAAAGAACACAAGATTCATTTACTTTTAAGATGCATTATATAAATTTAAGAATTCTTAGAATTTTCGTGGTAATTCTTATGGATTATCAATTCTAATGTAATCTTTATTAGCATTTCCATAATCACCAAAGAGTAAATTCTAAACTTAAGGTTTTTCCCATTCAAATTCAAAGACTCTTTGAGTATGACCCATTAATAGAGTTAAAAACCAATCTCTATCTTTATCATCAACCAATCTATCTTGGAATACTCTTTGTGATTCATGAGCCCATAATTGAATAAGCATTTCTTTATTAGTTAAGTTTTCATATCTGATTTATAATATTCCTTGAATAACTTTACTAAGATCTCTTAAGTTGAAAGTATAATGAGATTTGGTTGGGGTGGGTAATAATTCCTTAGTAATTTTAAAATAGATCTCTACACTTGATTTGACAATATAAGATGCAAACTTATCCAATCCTTTATTTTACTCCATAAGAAATCCTTTTAGAATTGCAGTGAAAATAACTTCCATAGATCTTTAAGATAGATCTGGACACCATGTTTAATTGAAATGTCTAAATAAACGAGGTGTTACAGGATTACGTCCACCTCCAGGAGGAGCACAAGCTGTAATGAATTGACAATCTTTAACATACATAAAGTATAATTTTTTGAGATCATAAAATCCTCCTTGATCTATAATTTATCTAAATAATTCATTTGGTGGTTAAGCACCATATTTTTCTAATGCTGGCATATTGACATCATCTATAAAGAGAATCATTTTACGACCAGCTGGTGGACCTAATAAATCTTTCTTCTTTTTCATAAATTTATCTTTATCCATAAAAAGATCCTACAAATTCTTAGCACTTGTTTATGCAGAAAAATTAAGTGTAGAGAAAACAAACTTTTCTTATTCTAAACTATATAAATATTCATTAATTATAACAGTTTTTCCAGTACCTGTTTCTCCTGATAAAAGAATATTAAAACCTCCCTCTATTAATTAAGTAATTAAATATTTAAATTTAACTGTGTCACTTGTAGGCACTAATATATTGAAATAAGGAATGCTAGAATTATATTTAAATTCTTAAATTTTATCAGTCCAAGGCTTAAATTCTTTGCTCTTGTAATCGCAATAATAATCATAGACATCTCCTTCAAATGGGAATCCACTGAATAGAGATATGATCTTTCCTTTTAGATATTAACTAAATTAAGATCTGCTAGAATCATGTAGATTGGCACCAGCACTCCAAATGTAACTGAAGATCAACACCATTGCAATATGAGATTCCATATCAAATTTATTCATTTTCTCTAAATTAACCGTTTCGGTCAATTATTTCAAATTTATTTAAGCCAAATTTAATAGGGATTTCAAGATATTATTAACAGTCGTTGGAATTTTCTCTTTGAATTCTTCTCTCACAACTTTAAGATTATCCTTAAAGAAATGTTCTATTTTATCAATAAGTGTATCAACATAAGTTGGAACTTTATCATCCTTCATGTACTATTCTCTAAGTTAAACTCCCCAAGTTTTGATTAATGGTTCCCAACCTAAATGATGTGGTTCCATATAAACCATACCACATCTACTAACAGTAGCCGGAGATGCAACTGCTAAATCTTAAACCTCAAACATCATAGTAAATGTAGCAGGTAATTTAATTCTTTAACCATTATTTAAACAAAGCATTTTATTATCATCCAAAACTGTGTTCATATTTTCAATCCAAAGTGCATCAACAGGTCCATCAAATATAATCCACTTTTTTTAGTCAGTTGTATCAGTAACAGCTGTTCTTACAATGCTTGCAACTATACCATCAGTCCATTCATTGGTCAAGACATTAGTATAACCAAACAATTCATTCATAGTTACTGATTTTGGATTGAGTGTTTACTTTTAGACAACTTTATGATAATAATCTTAAGATCCTTCTTTATTTAATTATTCCATTGCTCTTGCAAGTGTGTGAATTAAGGTTGTCTTACCAGTTCCAGTTAATCCTACAACCATGACTCCATGTCTGACCTAAATGGTTTCCATAAGTTAACAAATTTTCTTTTTAAAAGCAGCAGGATCATCATAGTGAATCAATTTAAGTTAATTAGTGATGGTATCTACTAATTATTTATCAATTTCTTCTTTCATGTCAACCTCTGGGAATAGATCTTTAATAATTCCATTGAACAATGGTAAATCATGTTCAAGAAACTTGGGTACATTGCTATCCTTCATAGCTTTGATAAGGACTTCATTTTCAGGTTTATTAGCATTTTTTCTACGTAATGCCCCTGCCATAACTAAGACTGATTTGACTGCTCTCATACCAAAATCATAGTGATCTTGTTTACTTAATTATTCAGAAGATAAAGAATACAAATTAACCATTTTACGAGCTAAAACTCTACCAGCTTCAAAACCTTCAGAGAAAAGAATAATTTCAGCAATCATACCATAATCAGGAATCATCATAGCTACAGGTCTAAATAAAGCTTTAAGATTATCTGGTAATTCAGTTCTACCTGCATATCCTGGGTTCATTGTAATAAATACTCCAAATCTACGGTTTAGAGGAATGGTGCGTGATTCAAATTCAAATTAATCAACTTTTTATCTAATAGCCTATTAAATTGTAAGAATTTATTAAGCAATGACTGATAAGACTTCAATATCTATACGATTAAATTCATCAAAGCAAGCCCAAGCTCCACATTAAGCTAATCCTGAAAAGAATCTACCCATAGTTTTAAAATCTAAACCATCAGAACAATTAAAGACCACACATTATACAGCTAAAGCTTTAGCTAAATCTTTAGTTGTTTCTGTTTTACCAGTACCAGCTGGTCCAGCAGGAGCTCCACCAAAATTTAAATGTAATGCTCCTGTTAATGTCATATAACATTTATCTGTAAGCGGAGTTATAACCAATCTTGGTCCATTACCCAAATATTCATAACCATATATAAATCTTGTATTTGTTTATCTCACTACACAATTATCTACATCTGCTTCCCAATAATATCTCAATTATTTAGCCCATTCAAAATCATTTAATGATTAAACATTCTTTTCAACCATTGTTGCTACAACATCTCTAGCATGTACATCCAATACAATCAATGCACCCATTAATGTTCTTTATAAAGTATTCAAATCTCCTCTCACTATTGATACTTCCCTATTTAATAAAGAAACCATAAAATCATAATATTATGATAATGATGTCTTTCTTCCCATTCCCATTCTCTCTATTGCTGTTGTACATCCTTCTGTCCATTTTATTAAATCAACTGTCAAAACTGGTTATGCTGGATAATCAAATAACCACTCATCTCTCTCCAACTCTTTTTAAGGATATGCAAAGTATGCTTTCTTTGTTATATCATATAATGATTTAACCATCATATTCTATATTCTCAATAACCAATGTTCAACTGGACCTTAAGCCATTACTACTGTTGAAAATGGAACTAATTCTGGCATTGTCTCTGGTTCTGCTGATTGCATAGCTATTATTTCTGTTGAATCTTCTATGTCTGAAAATTTTATTCTGTTTATGTTATCAAAACACTTTCTTAAATGAGCTTACACTGCATGAGGATTACGAGTTTATGACAATATTTCTAATAGTTCATCATTTGATAAAAAGTAAAATCTTGGAAATGCTTATCTTTTTGTTTCTAAATAATTATCTAAACTTTTTTATATATCTTCCAAAATTTTATTATTTATCTAAAATTTTTTTAATAGTTCCTCTGAATTACAACAATCCTATACTAAAGGTCTTTTAAAAGTTTTCAACATAATATCTCTCCAAAATTTATCAACTCCCATAAATTTTGTTGTTTCTTAAGGCAATTATTTTTGAATATCATCTGCACTGAAAATGTTTTCTAAATACATCCATTATCTTTGACAAGATAACCATTCATCAATAATATCTGATATTAATACTAACTTTCTTTCCCACTCTTCTACAACTGGTCGAATCTCTGCTACAAAACGAGTTCCTAACATTGTTTAAACTTTTAATTAATGATCATCCAATGCAGCAATAATATCATCCAAAGAACCAATTATAAATTTATCTTTAGCTTCTCTATAATGATTAACTATAAATGATAGTTGCGACCATTTTGATTTAATATCTTCTATTTATGCTTCAATACTAGCTTCACCAGATGCTTTAGCTGATATTTCTTCAATTTTTTCTCTTTTATTCATTACACCATCTGCCAATAATTCTTAGAGTGTAAATGTTTTCCCTGGTTACCATGAAGAACCTAAATCTTCAAATATTTTCTTCCAATGTCTTGGTCTTAAATCCTTATTTCCCAATGCTTAAATTACAGGCATAATAGTTGAAACATTGCTTACTCTAGAAGCATGTTAATCTAATACTTTATCTCTTCCTTCTTTTGATAGATTATTAATATTTTATCTTAGTTTCAAGATTCCTATTTCATAGCTTTTCATTTCTTTTTCTATTTCTTCAACATTCAAAGTCGTAAATATATTTTTTTACAAATCTTCATATAATTTGTTGAATTTATCAGAATGTGTCCATAACATTCTTCTATCATTATATGTTGCTTCTAATTCTTGTAAATCTTTATTTGTTGAAACACTTAACCCCATCAACTTAGCATAATGTAAATAATTTTTATCCATATCCTTAAATCTATCTAAAGATCTTGTTTTAATTTCATTTAATTATTAGAGTGCATCAGCAGGCTAAGTATCTTCTAATATTAATTTTCCTTTATTAACTGATCCAGTGGTATTTTAAATATTTGTAATGAATTTACCAAATTCAGCTTCATGCTTTTTCATCATTTCTTATTTTCTCTCTTTACATAATTCTTCAGCTTCTTTAATTTTCAATGCTAATCTTAAATATTCTGCTTAAATATCATCCATCATAACAATATCAGAGTTTTTAAGGGGATTCAAATCAAATTTTGATTTCAATAACGAATGCATAGCTTCAACTTCTATTTTTGCTAATTCAAGTCCTTTAATATTTTATTCAGCTTCTTAAATAGCTTCAATAAATTCTGCATATTCTTTAAGATTTTGTGGATTCTTTGATAAATTGGAAGTATATGTCTATAATGTAGTTAATGTTTAATTAGCTTTCTTTTACATTAATTTATATAAATATTCTTTAAAATTTTCTAATTTAGTAATAACTTATGGTTAAAGTTTGTTTTTAATTTTTTTACCATCAACATTAAGAATTCCTTTAGCAATGTCTTTGATATACTAATTAATATCTGATAACCATTTTTTAAGTTCCATGACATGAGATTTAATGATATCGAGAGTGTGTTCTTCTTTTTCAAATTCACTTTAATTCCATGTATTTAAAAATTCATAAATGGGTTTGCATTTCATATAATTTTAATTTACATAAATTTCAGCAGCTAAAAAATCACTAGTAACTTTTTCAAATATTTCATTTTTGATATTTTAATATTCAATGCTATCAGTAATTATACCTTAGACATCTGCAATACAATCTTTGTTTTCTTTTTATTCAGATAACAATTCTCCTAATTTAGTATTTTTGATATATCCAATCATACTTTAATGAGATATGACTCTAGCAGTATTTCTCATTACTACAATCATATCATCTAATAAACATTTTAAATGTTCTGAGATTTCTTTTTCATCAGGTGTAAAAATTTGAACATCAAAATTAACTGCTGTATTAAATAATCCATTTTTGCGTTCTTTTTTCATTTCTTCTAATAACATGCTCATGGAAGTTTGATTAATAGAAACAAGAGTTTCAACAGTCATATAATCGACTAATTTAATGAACAAATGTAATCTTCCTTTGTCCTTTTCAGCTAATTATAAAAGTAAGGCATTTTCTTCTTTTTCTTTTCTTTCTTCATTCATTGGTTTTTATTTAACTTATTGACCAAATCTTGCTTCTTCATTTTCTTATTAGTTATTTTAATTAGTTCTATCAATAACTTCTTTACAAACAGTATCTAACTTTTATAAGACTTTATCAATAACAGAATCATAATGTTTAGATGCATCAGATCTAGCTTTCTTTTAATCTCCTTTGAAGAAATCATCAGCTTCCCATGTTTTATTAGCTTATTAAATACTATTGCTTAATGTTTTTTGAAGTTGTAATTCATACATCATTTAATTGATATCCATTAAATGTTAAGCAAAAGCTGGTTTAGCAACAAAGGATTCATGAATTAATCTTTTTCTAGTCTTACTAAATAAATTATATCTCACATTTGATTTCCAAATATTGAATATTTTGGCTAGAATAATAAAATATAAATAATTACTTATGGCATAATTTTTGAAAAATTAAATATTAGTGATAATATTGAACATAGTACTTTCATGCATCCAATCTGAGAGTGAAATAACTTCAGTACTAGAATCTCCTTGCATTCTTTTCTTTCCTTTATCTGTATAGACATGTACTATGCCATGAGCAGATATAGTATAATACTCTCTTAAAGTTTATTCCTTTTAATTTTCTCTTGTCTTGACAACAATGAGATCATAAGGTCTGAATGGTTCCTTACTTTTATTGAATTCCATAGGTAATTCGAGTTCAGCAACATCAGTATTGTTTTGACGTCTTAATTTATCTTTTTTATTATAAGCTTCACATTAGAGTTCAATAAATCCAGCCTTACTTACACAATTAATAAATTTAATTGGTGTAGTATTACCATACTTAGCAAAAAATTTGATGGCATCTTCACCAGTTTAAATCAGTTTTTAATATTAGTGGAACACAGTAGCATCTATATAATTGGCTTTCTGTATTTTAGATACTTACACCTTCTCCTTAAATAATCCTTTTACCATACCAGTATATGTCACATTATCTGGTTATGCCTAATAATTATTATTTAAATAAATACTTGCTCCTCCTCTTCAATTGGCTCTTCTTATGACTATTCTATCGGTCCTGCTTACTAAATAGGTTATTCTTCATTCTTAGCTAGACTATATTCTTGTAATTCTCTCTATTTTTATTAAAAATTTCAATACCTCTGGATCAAAGCGATATAACTGTTTGTACACCTCTTCATTATTTGAAAGGGAATCTAGGTTATAAATAAGCTTAATACTTGTAGCAAATTGATTCTTCTTCTTTCCAATAACCAGGCGTTTCTCCTCCCTCCTCTTTACCAGATCCTTATAATCAATTTGATCTTATCTGAAATTCATAAAATAATTAATTAAAAAATCAAGTCATTCATTGAATATTTCAAAATGCACTTAGTAAATTCTCTCTATAATTCTTAGGTATAAACTTTGAATTCTAAATCAAACTTTTTGCATCTAATTTTCTACCTTAAATTAATAAATCTGCCAATTATTCTACTTCTCCTACATAACCAACATATTAATCCTCTTACATTAATTTAAAAAATGTCTACAAATAACACACATTTTTTCTAAACTTTATCAGACGACCTTAATCATGCGACGAAAGCAGACCTTACAAATAATCGTCATTCAAATATATTGCAGCTGTCTACATATTTTTCCAAATTGTATATGTCTCATTTAATTGTAGTAATTCCTCATTATCTTGCAATAACTCAAATTAGCTATCCAAATCCACTTCAATATCTGGCTATTATACACTCATATCTTGATTCAAATTGTGGAAGTATTAAATATATTATGAAACATTCTGCTCTTCATTTTACTCCTCACTATATTCCCATCTTACTAATTTCTCAATTCTTTATTTTAAAGAACAATCCAAATTATGAAAACTTACTTTTGGAACTTCAATCTTTATTTTCAAAGCCATCAATTCAGATTCAGCCCATAATTTCAATTTTATAAATTAATGAGGCATTCTATCCTAACCAAAATATTATGTTATCTATTAAATGATATCAATGCATTTTTATTCTAATTTTTTGAGTTCAAGGATATTCAATTATTAAATTTCTTCAGATTTAACTTATTTCATCTATTACCATAAATCTGTTCTTTATGATTATATTTTAGATAATATAAATTCTTTATCTTATATTCCTTATAATAACTAATAAAGTTCAATCACATTCTTATTATCATCTTTTAGCTGTGTAATTTCGAATTATAAAATATTCTTCTACTCTTCACACACAACACTTATTACGGCTGCTTTGTTGATTCTTTTTTAGATTTATTATTCAAGTCTAGAATTTTCCTCCTACAATTTCATATACTCATCATAAATTTCTTAGTTCTCTACTCTATAATTATTATGTGGAAGTTTTATTTTTTAAAGTATAATTCTTGCTTAATTTATACTAAGTTACATTTTTGTAACCATAGCTGGAATTTCATTAAAGAGTTCTACTATTTTTTTGACTTCAATCTCTAAAGATCTATGAGCTTTATTTAAATCTATTAAATTTTAAGTAGTTTTATCTATCAAAGTTGTAACTATCAATCTTAAATGTTTAACTAAATGTCTTAATTCAATTCCAAAATTATCTAAATCTTTGATGAAATTAGGAATAGAATTAAAGAATTTCAATTCATCTATATCTTCATTCATCACATCATCAATTAAATAATTCATGCATACTTCTACTCCAGCAACATCATGGAATATATATATAATTATTTATTCCTCAAATAAATCATAAGAATGATCTAAATCAGCTCTCAATTTATTTAATTAATCTGTAAAAGATGTCTCTTATAATACACAATCCTCAACATGTTCTGTTAACATTAAAACTTCAAAACTCTCTCTACGTATTTAATACATTTTTTATCTTAATGTTTAGAAATCTAATTCTTATTGAACCCATTGATGTTTTTTGAGTTAATCAAGACTTTAATGAGCTAAATCATTAACTTAATTGTCTAAAAGAGTTTTTAAATCCATTTGTATGTCATTCAAACGTTGAACTAATTAATATTTTTCAATTAAAGACTTGATTAAAGCCTTAGCTGTATAATATTTCTGCTAAATTTTAGTTGTCATGAATTTAAAGTATCTATAAAAATTCAAATATTTTGTTGTATCATCTTCATCAGTCTTAACTATACTCTTCATTTTATTTAAATCCCAATTTATGTAATCCATAAAATACGGAATTAAAATAGGAGGTTCAACAAATAACTATGGATATGATTTTATTTCTGGTGATTAAGGCATCTAAACTGGTTATAAAGGATCGTAATTTTCTTAATAATGCTACTAAATAGATTTATCTAAAGATTAATCAAGTAAATCTATTTCTGCTTAAGAATACTCTGCAGGCTCATTAAAATATTAAATAGATTGATTAGCTGCATCTCTTGGAATGAACTTTGTCTTAACTGGTTCAAATAACTATATTCAGGTCATTTCAATACCTTTACTAATGGAGTCATATTGTAAGGAATTATCATTTTACTTTTTGATTCAGGCAAGACAGTTGATTTTTAAACAAAAGGCTGTTCAGTTGATATGTAAGACTAATTATTACTTGGAAGAACCATAATATAAGAAGATGCATTTTATTTAGGTAACATAATATTATTATTATACTTTAATATACATAAATTGAGATAAATAAAATTTCAAGAATCTTGACTCTCTTTCTGAAAATAAGTAAATCCCTCAAATGTTTTCAATTTTTCTATATTAGAAGCAGTCTTTGGTATTTTTTCCTTTAAAATTCTAAAATCAATATAATTTTCTGGTGTTATCAAAGTTATAGGTGCCTATATTTTTAATTCTTTCATCAATGTTAAATCTAAGTCCTTAAAAAAAGCATGATCTAAAATTTATTAAGCACCTTTTCTTCCTAATCTCTTGCTTGGCTTATCATCATAAATATATCATACATCAACTTCAAGAAGTTTTGTAAGTAAATCTCTAGCATCTTTAGAACACAATTCTAAAAATGGCACTAATCTCACACTTCTATTTTAAATCATTTATTTTTTATCTCTACTATAAAAAGGTGGCTTTCCAAAATACATCTCATAAATCAAACATCCTAAACTATAAAAATCACAAGTATAAGTATATCCATCACTTCCTAATACTTCAGGTGCTAAATAATCTATGGTTCCACAACAAGTTTTTGCTTTTTCATTATAATTCTCAAGGATTTTAGAGAGACCAAAATCAGATAATTTTATATGTCCAGATTAATTAACAAGAATGTTTTCAGGTTTTAAATCTCTATATATTATGTTCATAGAATGTAAATGTTGTAGACCAAATAATATTTCTGCAGCATAAAATTTAATAAAATGATCTGGAACACTTGATTATGATTTTATATGATAATATAAATCTCCCCCTTACATATAATCAACTATAAAATAAAGACGAGAATTATTTTAAAATGCATATCTTAACCTATTTACATCTCAAATTATAAATTACTTAACAACAAAATTAGAATTTGCTTTCTCTAATATTTTTCTTTCATCTAATACATGTCTAATTTATGATTCCTTCTTAATATTTTTTTTTTCCAAAATCTTCATCGCATATAATTTTTATTTCCCATTTTTCTCAAATTCAACCAACATAACTCTTCCATAAGCACCTTTACCAAGCATTTTTATTCTCTTAAAATCTGATAATTTAGCCATAGATTTTGTCTCCCTACCTTATATAGAAATAGCTGTTGCTTGAAGATCATCTTCATCAAATTTTAATTTTACTACATCATTTTCAACATATTCTTCTCGAAAACAAAAATTTCCCATTTATTTAAAAAAAATATTAAATGTTAAAAATTGAGATATGGTACAATAAAATGTTAAACTTTATATAATAATTATAATCAGATTTATTTATTTACTATTATTGATCTCCAGTTGAAAGCAAACCAAATATTTATTATTTCAAATCAGTATATTTTGAATATTCAAAATATAATCAATATTGTTCCATTTTACAAACAATTACATTTTTAATTCTTTCTCTCTTTTTAACTTTTCACCATTGTTATAGAATATTAATCAAACTCTTTCATCATGAATTAATTCTATTCTTATGCTATATGCAACCTCTTTTAAATTGGAGATTACACTTTTAATCTATTATTTTGTCAAAAATCTTAACATTTTAAGTTAAAATGAAATCCTCATTCTTTTTTCTTTTTTAAAAACCCACATTTTATTTAATTTTATATTAATCCAATCAAATACATTTAGTTTCTTGAATTTTTTATGATCTCAACTAATTTACTTTGAAAAATAACTTTAAATATCAAAATTAATAAAACGATAACAATCTTTCTTATCTATGGTTAGAAAACTGAAATAAATTTAATAAATTTTAGGAGTTAATATTATAAAAAATATTGATGGCAATCTTTATTTCTAAAAGAATAAGGAAGATTGAATATATCATATTAATTTCTTATTTATATATATATTAATTTTACATCAATATTTTCGCTCTGTTCTTAATTGTAATTTATCTAAAGTGGCATCGCTATATTAAAAATAACATTCATCAGCTGACTTTTAATCCTTAAAAAATGCTTTTAAAATAATCTATTTATATTATGAATTTATACTCTAGTCTCAGCCTCATTTTCTTGAATATTATTTGCAATAATATGAAGTTTTACCAATTCACCACATCTTGACTTAATATCATTCTAAAATTAACTAATTTATTACAATAAGATCTGAGATCTAATTCTTTGCTAAAAAATTATAAATATCTATTTCAAATAATTCTGGAGTATTTGCACTATACTATTATTATTATTATTTCCATTCTTTTTATCTTGGTCTATCTCTATCTATGTCTCTATCTCTATTTCTATCTCTATCTCTATTTCTATTTCTGAATTAGAAAGAATTATTCTATCTCTTGAATCTCCTAATAGGTTTTCGTGTTTTTCCAGGTTAATTTTGTTGTCTAGATTATCGATTTTTTGAAGTATGCTACTCTAAATTTATTTCTTCGATTTCTGACATTAAATATAAATTATATAAATTTTAATCATTTTTTAAATCACTATGAAGTACTTAAAGTTAAAGAAGATTTACTACCAGAATAATAAAAAAGAATTTATTAATATTAAAATAATCCAAAACACCCTTGTCAAGTTAATCCATCTTTTTCTTTAATTATAATTTTTATTGTTATCTAAATATTCTCATTATTCTATATAGTATAAATAAATAACTTTGCAATAAATGTAATTCAAAGTTTTTAATTATTTTCCTATCATTCTGTTGATTTGNATTATTTTGTCAAAAATCTTAACATTTTAAGTTAAAATGAAATCCTCATTCTTTTTTCTTTTTTAAAAACCCACATTTTATTTAATTTTATATTAATCCAATCAAATACATTTAGTTTCTTGAATTTTTTATGATCTCAACTAATTTACTTTGAAAAATAACTTTAAATATCAAAATTAATAAAACGATAACAATCTTTCTTATCTATGGTTAGAAAACTGAAATAAATTTAATAAATTTTAGGAGTTAATATTATAAAAAATATTGATGGCAATCTTTATTTCTAAAAGAATAAGGAAGATTGAATATATCATATTAATTTCTTATTTATATATATATTAATTTTACATCAATATTTTCGCTCTGTTCTTAATTGTAATTTATCTAAAGTGGCATCGCTATATTAAAAATAACATTCATCAGCTGACTTTTAATCCTTAAAAAATGCTTTTAAAATAATCTATTTATATTATGAATTTATACTCTAGTCTCAGCCTCATTTTCTTGAATATTATTTGCAATAATATGAAGTTTTACCAATTCACCACATCTTGACTTAATATCATTCTAAAATTAACTAATTTATTACAATAAGATCTGAGATCTAATTCTTTGCTAAAAAATTATAAATATCTATTTCAAATAATTCTGGAGTATTTGCACTATACTATTATTATTATTATTTCCATTCTTTTTATCTTGGTCTATCTCTATCTATGTCTCTATCTCTATTTCTATCTCTATCTCTATTTCTATTTCTGAATTAGAAAGAATTATTCTATCTCTTGAATCTCCTAATAGGTTTTCGTGTTTTTCCAGGTTAATTTTGTTGTCTAGATTATCGATTTTTTGAAGTATGCTACTCTAAATTTATTTCTTCGATTTCTGACATTAAATATAAATTATATAAATTTTAATCATTTTTTAAATCACTATGAAGTACTTAAAGTTAAAGAAGATTTACTACCAGAATAATAAAAAAGAATTTATTAATATTAAAATAATCCAAAACACCCTTGTCAAGTTAATCCATCTTTTTCTTTAATTATAATTTTTATTGTTATCTAAATATTCTCATTATTCTATATAGTATAAATAAATAACTTTGCAATAAATGTAATTCAAAGTTTTTAATTATTTTCCTATCATTCTGTTGATTTGAAATATAACTCATTTTATTTAAAATTAAGGCTGAGATAAAAAGAGTTATAACCTGTTTTAATACTTGTTTTTGTTCAATAATTCATAAGAAAACCAACAGAAAATTATAAATGTAAATAAATTTTAATTTTCAAATTAAAATATCAAACAAACTTCAGTTTCAAATGATTAAATACCATTATAGTTCATGATATTAATTTGTAATATTAAAAATAATCAGAATACAGCATATTAATTTTAAAAATCATTTAAATGTCTAATTATTTAATTGATAAGTTATTAATAAAGGAATTAAAGTATAATTATTATTAAATTAAATGCCCAAATTGTGCGAAAAAATTAATCAGTTTTTGAGAAAACATATAGTAGAGAAATATCTACCTTTAACATCACTTGTTTGGAATACAAAAATCTCTCCCATTTAAAATGTTAATAAAGATGTCGATTATTCAACAATATATGTTAAAGTTCATTAGTATTTATTTTTATTAAAATAGACATTATTTAAGGGAATTAACAAGACAATAAATCATTAATAAATAAAATTAATAAATTATTCAAGTTTAAGAAGGAGGACTGAGAGATTTTAGTAATTTTTTAGACATAATATAGTTAAAAAGGAAAACTAATAAAGAATTTTTTTGGTACCAACATTTGAAAGATAATTAATTGAATCAAATAGTACTACATAAATACATGCATTATAATTGATAAATTAAAAAGAATTAGAAACTACATATTTTAGCTTAGAGGATGTTGAGACAACATATAGTTCATATTCTGAAGAATTAAATTACAGTTTCGTTGATGAGAGTCTAATTTAAATGCAGTGAATGATTAACATAAAATAAATTATAAAACATAATCTTCTTATTCAAATAGAATTTAGTAAAAGAGAGTAAAAACAAATTGGACATAAAGTCAATTGAATGAACATAAATTCATTAATTGATAAAAAAATAGAGAATCACTATTTATTTATAAATTAATACTCTAATTCCATCATCTAATTCACAATTTTCTACAATATATATAAAAAAGACTTAATTTTTTATATTTTCATGAAGAGATAAAAATTCAAGGGTAGTTTTTTTGTTTTTTATTCATTACTGATTGTAATAATTCATTTAGTGTTAATTGAAGTAGTGTTATTTTAAGGCTTATCAATTTTAGTTGATCTTTATTTATATATAGGTTAATAAATGCAAGTTTAATTAACAAGAATTGCCCTTTTTTTTGTGATTTTATTTTTATACTTATAAAAATTTTAAATTTATTCACAAATTTCATTAAAAGATAATATTTTTAGATGAATTCCTTATAAAAATTGTTGAACTTTAGATTTCTTAATAATTATTTTTGATATTTAATGTTAATTTTGAGTCTGTGTTGTTTTATGATTTTCCTTTTAAGTATTTTTAAATTATTTTTTTATTTAGGTATAATAATTTCTTCTTAAATTTTAGTATAGTTTTTTAAGGTTTATATATTTTTAAACAAATTAGATTAAGCTTTCTTTATAGTAGCATTTCATATTTTGATTATTGTTTTCTAAACAATTTTTTAATAGTTTTCGTCATTCAATGAAATAAATTTTAATAAGTATTGAATAGTTTTTAGTAAGGATTTTTAAGTTCATAAATTTAATTTAATGGGTGAAATAGTTCCTAATTAACTTTTTGTAGCAGGATATAGTCGTAGTAAAGTATCTGATGATAAAGCTGTAAAAGATATCTTCAAAAAATATGGAGTAATAAAAGATGTGGCATATAAAGGATCTTACTCATTTGTAGTATGATGTTATTTTGATAATTAAGACTTTTAGTAGTGAATAAGAGGCATAAGAAGCATTAAAAGCAACAAATGGATTAACTTATAATGGTTAGAAATTGAAAGTGGATATTGTAGAAAACAAAAAAGGAAGAAAGAATGGACCAAATGAAGAAGATAAATGTTTTAAATGCAATAAAGGTGGTCATTGGTATGAAAATATTGTTATTTTTTAAAGGGCTCGTAATTGTCCAAATGAAAGATCACCAAGAAGACATAGTAGAAGAAGATCAAATTCACGATCTAAGTATTTAAAATTATTAAAGTGTTAGAAAAAATCATAGAAGATCTGATTCTAGATCTTATTCTTCTTCACATTCATCATCTAGACGAAGACGATATCAAAATAGAAGAAAGAGACATAGCAGAAGTCCAAGAAAAGAAGCAAGATAAAAAAAAAGAAGTATTAGTCCAAAAAGATCACCCTCTGATTCAGGATCATCTAAAAGACAGAATTCAATATCTTGATAAAAAAAAAGGGAAAACATTTTTATTACAAAAGAATATTAAAATTAATTGAATATATTTAATTCAATTCTTTCTCAATTAATATAAAAATTATGAAAAAAAGAACTCTTTAAGAACTCTCTCAAGAATAAGAATAACTTAATTCATCCTATAATGATATTAATTCTCTTTAAAAATAATTGTATCTTTCAAACTAATAGAGACTATAAGAGTTAAATCAAAAAGAAGAGCTAAAATAATTATATAATAATGAAGTCAAAAAAGTTGAAGAAGAAATCAATCTTTGTTTTCCAGTTGGAAAATTTTGTTTAAATTAATTATCATAATATCCTAAAGAAGAAAAATAACCACATACTTTATCATTCATTAATATACTCTAAGAAAATGCTTATTATGATGGTAAAAAAATCAACTTAATAATGTAGTACAAAAATAAAAACCTAAAATCACATTAGAGGCAGCATTAATGACTTGTTATGGTTTTGAAGATCATTTACTTAAACCTTTAGTTTAATCTGGAGTAAAACTATTTATTATAAATGATAATGATAATAATGATAAAAAATTAGAAATTATTGAGAATTTCAATGGTCATTCAAATTGGATGGTCATTAAACCATCAAAATTGAGTTCATTAACATTTGGAGGATCATTTCATCCTAAAATTTGGATATTAAAATTCCCAAAATTTATTAGAATAGTTATAGGAAGCTAAAATTTACATGTAGGTGATTGGACTGTTTGGTCATAAGCTATGTGGATTTAAGATTTTAAAATTGGGAATAGTGAATTAGATGAAATATCAAAAGATTTTAAAGTAGGTCTTAAAGAATTCTTAGATCATATTCTTCCAAACTCTCATAAATTTGAAGACTTACTTAAAATTAAATTTAATGATTACGATTTTCAAAATATTAATATAAGGATGATTGCATCTATTCCTGGAAGATTTACAGAAAATTAATTATATTAATATGGTGTCATGAGAATATAATCTGTTCTCAATTAAGAACTAATAAATAATAAATTTGAAATTCCTAAATAAATTAGTATTACTTATTAAACTACAAGTATAGGATAATTGGATAATAATTACATAGAATTTTTTTAATAATGTTGCTCTGGATAGTAAATTAAATAACCATAAAAATTATAATCAAAAAATAAATCTATTAGTTAAATGCTTATTAATAAACAAGAAGATGAAAAATCTACTTTGAAATTAATATATCCAACTTCAGATTATATATAAAACTAAACTAAAGCAGGTCCAGAATATGCAAATCCTTTATTTCTTAGAAAGTAATAATTTGAAAATCCAAAATTTCCAAAAAACATTTTTTATAAATATCAAGGCTCTAATTATTATTTTTGGCATGCTGGTAATATTCCTCATTTAAAAGTGATAATAATAACTAGTTTAGATGAAAAAATAGATGATAAAACATCAATATATATTGGTAGCCATAATTTTAGTTAAGCTGCTTGGGGAAAATTAGAAAAGAATGCTACCTAACTTTTTATATCCAATACAGAATTAGGTGTTTTATACCCTCCTAAAAAAGATTCAGCTAAATTTAAATAATAAATTATTGAACAACTATCATTTAAATTTCCTCCTGATAAATATGAAAAAACAGATTAACCTTGGATAAGTGAAGTTTACTATGAATAATTAATATGATTATCTATCTAGTTTATATATATATATATTATCGATTTAAGTATAAATAATAATTCTTATATCTCTAAATACAAAATATTAAAATTTAATTATAATTTTTGTATTCTTATAAAGGCATTTTTGGTTAATTTTATAAAAAATAATATATGATTACTTAATTAATTTAGAATAATTAAAAATATCAGAGGAAAAATTAGAAAATTGAATATCATTTATATATTATTCGGTTTCATTTAAATCACATACTACATCTACTTTTATTTACATTATATAAATTGTCCATAAGATAAATTGTGATTTTTGCTGAAATTGAATATCCTTTTAATAATTAAAATTGAACTGAAAATAATGATCTTAAAAATTCAATTTTTATCAAAAGAACAAAAATTTGCAAGTTGTGGTATNTTCTCAATTAAGAACTAATAAATAATAAATTTGAAATTCCTAAATAAATTAGTATTACTTATTAAACTACAAGTATAGGATAATTGGATAATAATTACATAGAATTTTTTTAATAATGTTGCTCTGGATAGTAAATTAAATAACCATAAAAATTATAATCAAAAAATAAATCTATTAGTTAAATGCTTATTAATAAACAAGAAGATGAAAAATCTACTTTGAAATTAATATATCCAACTTCAGATTATATATAAAACTAAACTAAAGCAGGTCCAGAATATGCAAATCCTTTATTTCTTAGAAAGTAATAATTTGAAAATCCAAAATTTCCAAAAAACATTTTTTATAAATATCAAGGCTCTAATTATTATTTTTGGCATGCTGGTAATATTCCTCATTTAAAAGTGATAATAATAACTAGTTTAGATGAAAAAATAGATGATAAAACATCAATATATATTGGTAGCCATAATTTTAGTTAAGCTGCTTGGGGAAAATTAGAAAAGAATGCTACCTAACTTTTTATATCCAATACAGAATTAGGTGTTTTATACCCTCCTAAAAAAGATTCAGCTAAATTTAAATAATAAATTATTGAACAACTATCATTTAAATTTCCTCCTGATAAATATGAAAAAACAGATTAACCTTGGATAAGTGAAGTTTACTATGAATAATTAATATGATTATCTATCTAGTTTATATATATATATATTATCGATTTAAGTATAAATAATAATTCTTATATCTCTAAATACAAAATATTAAAATTTAATTATAATTTTTGTATTCTTATAAAGGCATTTTTGGTTAATTTTATAAAAAATAATATATGATTACTTAATTAATTTAGAATAATTAAAAATATCAGAGGAAAAATTAGAAAATTGAATATCATTTATATATTATTCGGTTTCATTTAAATCACATACTACATCTACTTTTATTTACATTATATAAATTGTCCATAAGATAAATTGTGATTTTTGCTGAAATTGAATATCCTTTTAATAATTAAAATTGAACTGAAAATAATGATCTTAAAAATTCAATTTTTATCAAAAGAACAAAAATTTGCAAGTTGTGGTATCAAAATTTTTATTCGTTTAAAGCTGATTTATTATTTATTTTATAATAAATTAATTTATTTATAATATCAATCAACTCCAAATTAGAAAATTGTAATGAAATAGCAGCTTTTTAAGTCTAGATGTATTTCTTGAAAAATATTATAAGAATTATGTTATTATTTAATCAACAAAGATTAAATATTAAAAAAGAATTAATTCTATTTTAAATTATTTAATTGACATTATATTCGAAATAAAAAAAAAAACTCCGAAAAGGCGGATTTGAACCACCGACCTGGGGATAACTGGATTAACACTACAGTCCCTCGCTCTACCAACTGAGCTATTTTCGGATGTTAATAAAATTACATTATCCAATATAAATATAGTAGTATTAAATATATAGAACTTTTTTATTAAAATTTTTTGGTTTCATTTAATAATTAATTTAATTCTAATCCTCATCATAGATTATTATATATTACATAAATTCGTAAATTCTAATGGATTATTAGAAGTTATTCTCACTTAAAAATTTAACTAAAAATTGATTAAGATTTATTGAAGTATATTCATATAAAATTCATAAAACTTCTTATGAATTTTAAATAATGATTTGAATTATATAAAATCTATACAATTTAGATAATAAATTTTTAGATCTTCTAATTACATTTTTATATATATCCTATTCTGCTTTTTATTATAATTTTCATTTAATTGTTTATGATTTTATTTTTTGATATTTTCATTTTCATAATTAAGAAAAAGTTAGTTTTTTTTTATCCAGAAATAGCTTAGTAATTAATAATTATAAATATAATTGAATATTTAAATTTAACTTATGAAGTTATATATATTTTGTAAAATCTAATTATAATATAAAAAATAAAATTTAATATAAAATTGTTATATAGAGAGAATAAAACTTAAAAATATTATTTCAAATAAATAATTAATCAATAAGGTCTTTCATTTCAATAATCTAAGTTTTCAGTTAAGAGCCTTCACTTTAAACAATTGTAGCAGCAACAACTGGTCTACTGATTCCACAGGCTCTTCCTAAACTTGCTTAGGTTGAAACAAAACAATATGAAACATTCTATTTAAATTTTAGTTAAATACTTTCTCTTCACATTTAATAGGTATATTTGCTACTATTTCTATAGGATCACAATCAGCTGCTAAAATTACTAATTCACAAATTCCTTTATCAAGACTAATATATATGTTTAATCATACTTTTTTAAGACTTCATTTGCTCCCTTTTTTAATTGCTTATAATTTAATGCCTAACGTAGAAGATCTAATATTTTAGTTTATAATTTTGCATCTGCTATTGGAGAAGGTTTGATTCTAGGAGCTTCTACTTTCTACATATATAAATAATTTAGTATTAATATAATTCATAATTAAAATAATTCAAATTAGTGAATTTCAGAAAGTTTAGAATGTTCACTAAATTTAAAAGTAAACTTAAGTAAATATTCTAGTGTCCATTAATCAAATCTTTATTTTAAATAGTTTATAGATGATGGCATTAAAATTATTTAACAAGTTGAAACACCTTATTCTATACTTTCTAAATCCTTTAAAAATAATGATTCTTATTAAATAGAGCTTTATTAATCAGAAATTATTTCACATTTTATAAAATAATCTTAGACAATTTGGATAAGCGTTTCTTAAATAGAAGTATCTTTCATCTAATTGATTGTATTAATCTAGAAATCTAATTTAAGTAAAATGATTAAAATTTCTTCTTTTTTTGATAAATTATCACTTAATATATATTCACTTTTAATTGATAATGATTATATAAATACTTGTAGTAAGCTTAAGCCATCTATCTAATTTTTGAATTGCCTTTATGATTTTCTTTATCAATAGACATATTATTTGATTCTATGCATAATTTAGGAGCATTCATTTCATTATTGCAATCATATCTACTCCAATTAACAGGTAATATGCCTTTTGTTTCTTCATGTGAATCAATTGAACTGTCGGAATATTCTATATGATCATTATCTCCTTCCTTCAATAAAGGAGCTTCTTATATTTAAAAATAATAATTAGGTGATTTACTCATCGTAAAGTAATTAGGTAAATTAATTTTCATAAATGAAGCATTCAATTATTTTATTAAATTGTAACAACAAGTTTTTTAGTTTTTTGGTTAATATATTTATTTTCTTGACTAATTTAACTTATTTCTTGACTTTTGAAAGTATTCTAATAAAATTTCTTTATTATTTTTTTAAATAAGTTTCCAAAGACAACAATAAGATTTAGGTCTGCAATTTATGTAAAATTAGCTATATTACAATAACAAAAAACACATTTAGATTTAATTTTATTGCATGCAAATATCGAAAACACTTAAATTATCTATTCCTGTTACTTATGTTATTTCAAAAGGATGTGAACATCTATCATAAATATCTAATTATCCTTTATATTATAATGCAAATTAAACTGCTGAAATAAATCCTCTTTTTACTCCAATATGTAATGGACTAAAACCTTATGAATTTAACATAAGAGAACAAGCACTAATTTTATATCAATTTTTTACCCATAATATAAAAGAAGGGCAGCATATTTTTCAGGAAATTAAAAACTTGGCCACTTATTCATTAAATAATGTAAAGCTGTATTTCCATCTTTATCTTATTCATTTGGATCAGTCCCATGCTACAAAAATCCTTGCATCAGATTTATCTATTATTTAATTAGAGATATTATAACTAAATTTTACTAGAATATAATTATTTTTACTTAATTTAGATTAACATTTAAAGACAATAAACATTTAACACTTTAAAATTTATCAGAAAATAATGCAACTTAAATTGGAGACTATTTCTGATTATTTAATGAATTTTTATCAACAACATTACTGCATCCCAAAATTACGCCTAAATGTTATTTTAAAGCTGCTTAATGTATTATTGTATTTCCATTTTCATCTTAGTTTTGATAATTAAAAAATTCTCCTATAAAATGTTTTATCATATTCTAAAAAGTAGCTTAATGCTCTATTGATAACCAATTTTAAAATTTTTCTAATAAGTTTCCTTAAATCCTTTGATTCCAACCTAAATAATGAACCCAGTCAATACTGAACTCTTTTAATTAAGAGTAGTATTTTAATTCATAAATCGGATTTCCTGCAAGTAGCAAAATTTAGATCGAATTATTAAGTAACTAAGGGAATATATGTATTTGATTATATTCAATATTTAATTAAACAAGTTCTTCTGGCATTTAAGGTAAAATACTGAGATAATTATTTGAAATATCTAAATTCTATAAATGAGGATGAAATTTACTAAACTAAAAGTCAAATCAAAAACAATACATTAAATGGTAAAATTTTAAGATAATTATTTGATATATCTAATATTCTTAAATTTTATAATATCTTAAATTCATCGCCATATTATCTAATACAATTATGCGATAAATCTAATTTAATAATCCATATATTATTCAACTTTTCTTTATTTATTTCACTTAAACCCTACTTACTTAAGTCAAGTTATTCAATTCGTTTACAAAAAGGTATTTGCTTTTTATTAAATTAAGGAGAGCTTAATATCACCTCTAATTCTTATTTTTTTTAATTTAAATGAGATTTCTTTAATGGGTTTTCATTAAAAATTGCTAACTTAGTGCAATTCATTTCACTCATAAATATTATATTTTATATTATTAATTAAAATCCTTAACATCTTTCGTAGAATCCTGTATTTAAATAATTATTTATGAATTAGTAAACTGAATTGTATTTTCAAAGGACGAAGGATCATGAAGAAACATATTCAATAAAATTAATTTAATTATAGCTAATTTCTCTGGTAAATTTGAGTATTATAATTTATTGTTACTCAAGTCCATGATTTCATTAATAATTTGTAAATCTTGGGGATATTCGATTAAAATTAAAGTACTTCAAAACTATATAAAAATAATTATAAAAATTAAAAAATGGCAATAAATTTAATTCATTTGTAATGAATTGAATAATAAATTCTTTATTTCTAAATTAATCAGCTCCTTTAATTATTTCAATCATGAGAGTATTCTTTTAAATATTTTTTATTTAACTTTTATTGATACAATATTGTCATTTTATCTCTTTATTTAATATATTATATCATAAGAAAATTAACAATATTTTAATTACAGACATTTCATAATTATTTCTTGCTTAAAGATAATCTAACCGAGAAAATGAGAAACTATTTTAATACCTTATTAAAAAATAAATTTTTAATTTGAAAAAATAGGGAAAAAATTGATTTCTTTTTAAAATTTTTAACAAATTGTTTGAGTTTAATAATTTTGATTTATAAAAAATTAATATAAATTTAAGATAATAGGTAAAAAGTAGATATAATTATATAAAATTATGATATAAAAATTAGAATTATGTTAATATATTATATTTCATAATAGATTTTTAAATCTAAGTTAAAATTTGTCTAGTTTTTCGGATTTCTCGTTTATTGATAAGTTGATATATTCAAAAATATTTGATTTGCATAAGTATTTGGTTAAGACCAATTTGAATTTTAAAAAATGTTTTTAAAAGCCAAAAATATTTAAAATTAGTTTTTAATGTTTTTTTCAAAAATGTGAATGATAGGATACACAAAGATTTATTTTTAATGAATCTTTTTTTATATTTAAGGAGAGGAATTTGATTATCTATTAAAGAGATAAAATTATTATATTAAATTTTTGATTATAAAATACTATTGTTGAAATTAAATCCTAGTATTTAATATAAAATCTCTCTAGTAATATTAAGAATATATTAATAGTTTTATTATCTATAAAAATAAAATTAAAAAACAAATCAATTACTTTTCGATATCAGAACTTTCTAATTCTATCTCTTGCTCCTCTTAAAATATCTGGAGTTTAACATTTTTGGTAATTAAATACTTTAGGTAATGAATTCCATTAAATTCTATTGTTAACTGCATTAAGATATTCTTAAAGTTAATATGATTCACTTCTTTAGTTCTTCTCTATAATCTTTACTTAATTCTGTATTATGTATAAAAATTACGTGAATTCGTTAAATTTAAGATACCCTAGATGCTTCTGATTTGTTCATATTTCCTATCCAATTCCTGAAAGGGGATTCTCTCGAAATATAACCTTCAAATTTCAGGATTTGGCAATTCTGTTTTTGTTGTGAATGGAAATGATATGAATTACTTCTCTTAGGGGATTATTTAAGTTTCTTAACAGGAGTTGAAAAACCTTTTTAAGTATGTTTTGGCATAGAAACATCATAATAATCAACTGCACACTTAGCATACTATATAATGTACGTAGTTTATTTATTAGTTGAAGTATCCATATGATTAATCTCTACTTGATTATAAATCAAAACTATTGTTATTTGAAGTTCTTTTTTTTGTAATATACATTGTGTTCTTTTTGGAATCATATTTATGTTCATTAAATTTAAAATGCTTTGTTAAAACAGAATCCATCATAAATTAATAAATAATAATAGATTCAATGTTTATATGTTTATATATTTTATATATAATAGTCATTCTGATATTTAAATCTTAACTTTTTTTTTAGGGGATTAAGATTATCTATTAATTATATCTAATTGACAGTCAAATTATCCAACAAGTAGTTCTTGCTATTTAATTTATTTTTTTAAAGAATCAAATTGAAATTATTCTTATTCACATTCTTGAACTGAAGCTTCTTAAACAATTGATTTTTATTATTTAAATTTGTTTTTTTCATTCTTTTTTATGATTTATTGAGGTTAAGGACATGAATCCTTTTCATAATTTTCATCATAAAATTTTAGAATTTAATCAAAAATCTCAAATAGATTTAACAATAAAAATTCTAAAGGAGAAAGAATTTATTCCTGATACAATCGTTTTTATAATTTATCAATTTTTTTAATGTGTTTGGATAACACTTTCAATGATTTTCTACCACATAATTCATCTTTTTTTTCTAAGATTTTAATTTATTTATAGATAACTAAAACAGGTTTTATTTTGGATTTGATTTCCAACCATTTAGAAACATAGGAAAATTATTCAGAATTTTTTTCTATTTCATTTTATAAAAATTCAATAATTCTATTATTAGAATATTTTTTTTCTTTCAAATGAATGTAATGATTAATAATACCTTAAAAATCTTATATGAAACAAGTATCCAAGAGTCTGATAGTCAAATTTATTACTTCTAATAAATATTGATAGTTTTTTTATAAGTTTAAATTTATTTCTAGAGTAGGATGAGCTAAGTTATGAATTGAATGAATACTTTATTGAAAAACTATATGTTCATCTTGAAAGCATATTTATATAGGGTTAACATTGATAAAAAAGATTTATTTTTAAAGTGATTAATCTTATCTGGATTCTTGAAGTAGTTTGTCATATTTAATAATTTATTCTAATTAAGTTTAGTAATGTCCATTAACAAAATTAGAGATTTTGCATAGTCCTGCATTAGTTAATTCTTGGATAATTTAGATTGCATATAAATTATCAGCAATATATTTTGGATCATCTTTAATTAATGAGTTAGAAAACTCTTTAAGTCTTTTTTTTCTTTATGAATATAGATCAGGAGGATTAAGAACTATTTGATTGTTAGTATATATAGGATTAATTGTGAATTAAAGTGATTATTCAAATGGTTAAATATCTAAACCCATTTCTTCAAGTGACATGGGTTCGTCTTAATAAAATAGATATGGCAATAATGGCGATTATGGGATTTATTACATTTAATATTAATATATATTTATTTAATTATTTGTAAATAATTATTTAATGTCAAATGAATAAGGAGAGACTACAGATTCAAAATTGAGAAATGAACCACAATAGAAAGAGTATGTTCTGATATATTAAGCTTATTACTTTTTATTGTCTTTAAAATAGGAATGTTTTTTATAAGCGGATATGCCTTTAAAATGGCTAATCTCATAGAATAGCTAAATTATATGATCCTGATCGTATAATTAAATAAATATTAAGATCCAAACATATGGAGTTAATAATGATCTTATTGATTATCCATATTTAAAGAATTTGCAATTCCAATCAATCCTAAGTATTTACAACTTGTGGAGCAGAATTTCCAAATAATATAATTATGATTTAAAGGCAGATGAAGAAAGCTAAACTCCTCAATAAATTCCTTTAGAAAAATCAATTCATTGAATACCTATTCAAATGATGAATGTTTTTATATAGTTTTGAGGAATTTATTCATATTTTCTTTAATATAAAATATGAAAGAAAAGCTTTCCTTTATTCAGCCAAAGAAGCTATATTTTTTATTGCTAGATATAATCTTAAATTTCAAGAAATATTAGTTGCTTTACGGACAGATTTCATCGCATTATTAACTGGTACTTTTATTATAATAAGAATTGAAATATTCAATATTTAATGTGGCATATATATTTTTTATCATGGATGAAGAAATGGAAAATGATATGATTAAGGAATTGTCTTATGTTATCGACCAAAATTAAAGAAATTCTTAGATGATCAATGATATTTTATTAAGAAGTCAGAAATTTCATTATATTTATTATTCACTACTTTTCATTAAATTATTATAAATATCTATAATATTTATAACTAATCGAAAAAATTAATTAGATTTTTACTATCTTTATAATTATTCTTATCATAATATTTTATCTTTATTTCATCACTTTCTGTCAGTAACTAAAAAGTCAAATTAGACTTTTCTATTTTAACATTCTTAATCAATATTTTAATCAATTATTTAAATATAAAACTTTCATTAATACATAATGATTAAACATAATATCAAATGGAAATCTCCTAAATAGGATGTCATTTAAACATTTGCTACTCCTAAATCAACATTTTACATTACTAGAAGGATAATTTAAACCAAAAGTGATAGATCTATAAAATTACTCAACAATAAAGCAACAGAACAAATTAAAAATTAAAACTAATAAACATGCTCTCTCTCAAGAGTATTGACAACAACAAATTATAGAAGTTTATCTACTACTCCAACTAATGGAAGAAGATAATTTTCTTAAAATATTGATTTATAATCACATGTAATCAATACAGAAAGATATTAATCTTCAAGCATATTGTCATCAGAATTACATATTAATTCTATACCCAAAACAAATAGAGTTGTATCACTTTATTAAGATTCAATCTAAAATCAACTCCCTCAATATAATTTTCAATATGAAAGTTAAGGTTTGAATCCTTTTGCTTATAGTTCCAAACCTAGTTTCAATACTGTTAATATTGAATAAGCACAGTTGCATTATATAGACAAGGAATTAATAGAAAATATCCCTATTCCTACCAAAAAAGATTAAAATGCTAGAAAATCTATTTTTTAGAATACAAATTATTAAATTTACTCAAAAATTAAAATAAAAAACAAATAATTAGTACATTAAAAATAATAAATATTTCTTTAAAAAGTATTAAAAAATATCAAAGATTCTCAAAATATCCAAGCAGAGCCAAAACAATTCACAAGAAAATATTCTAAAATATGGAAAGAAAATTTTTAATAACCTTAATTTTAAGAATAATAGTAATATCAAAAATCGTCTTAATAATTTAAGTTATATTTTAATTAACTTATTGAAAAAATACTCAATAAATTTCTACTATATTAATAAATTACCGAATTAATTGAATGGATGAATGAATAAAACCGTTAAACTTATTAATAGTTTGGATCACTTTCTCATTTGAGATAGCTGTATATATAAAATCATAAATTAAAATGTGTTCAAACTGAAATTGAAAATGAATAATTTAGATACAAATAAGATATCAAATCATTTGGAATGTATTTTTTATTTATATTTTAGATTAGGATAGATATTTTAAGTGAATTTTAAGAAGAAGAAATTTATAACCATATTTGGTAATAAAAATATGAGGATAAATATAAAGTAGAATAAATAGTTTATTTTTAAAATGAAATAATTAAATATTCATCTAGCTATAAAATTAATCATATAATATCTATTTTAGATAACTAAACAAAAAATATACTTTTATCAGATGAATACACTAATTTAGATAAATTAATCTATAAAAATAATATAGAGGAGCATATTCCAGAAATTTAATCAGAAGATAAATTAGTGAAAAAAGCTGTGTCCAAACTTCTCTATAAATAATATTCAGATATTTTAATAGGTAGTTATCTGAACTTAAGTAATTTAAATGATATTGAACATAACAATTACCATGAATAATAACAATAATAGATTTCACTAAATTTAGATAAAAAAGCAATGCTATTAAAATTGAGAAGATAAACTAAAGAAGCCAAAATATAAGGAAGAAGATCTGCATTATTCTAAAAATAAGAACATTAACCATTCTAAAATATTTTTTCTTTATTAAAGTAGCAAGAAAATAATATAGTTTTATAAGTTCTAGATTGTCAAAGAAGAAAGAGTAAATCTACGCATAATTTTCTATCTACTTAAATGTAAGAACATTGTTAAGATTAAGATAATAATTAAAGTTTATAAGAAGAATCTATTACAAAAGATTTATGTGTAAAAGTAAAATTATTATATTGAAATAGCCTGTTAAATACAAGTAATAAATGAGATTATAGAATTTGATGATTTTTGATTAAATAATTAAAAAAGAAAATTCGTAAATTTAATTGGTTTAATTGATGATTGAACATAATTTATTTGATGAATTGATAGATTTTTTAAGACAACATCCCAATTTTTCGTTAAACTCAAGGAATATAGAAGGAAAACCATTTATAATGTTGGCAGCATAGTCAGGAAATGTAGAATTAGTATAGTACATGATAAATTAGAATGTCCATGTAAATGTTAAGGATGTAAAAATATTTTTTAAAATTAGTTAGATGGAAACACTGCTCTTCATTATGCAATTACTTTTGGATATTATCAAATAGCTGATTTACTTTTACAAAATGGAGCAAATCCCTACAGTAAAAACAGAAATAATTAAAATCCTTGGAACTGGAATCACTTATAACAATAAAAAAATTGTTGAAAAATTAATTTTTACTCTAATCTAAATTAACTTATATTAAAAAAAAATAATTAAAAAATCACAAGAATCTACAATCTGGACAATAATTAGTATTTGCAATTTTGTAAGTTTTAGCAGGAGAATTCGAACGAGATTTTATTTACTTTTATGGCTATTTATAGATCCAAAAAAAATCACAATCTTTGTTAGCACACTATCTAATGTTTTAATTATGGGATTTAAGATATTATAATTAATTTAACATTAATCTATTAATCTAAACTTCTAATTCTACTATTTTTTATCTCGAGATTTATCCATTATTGATTGAACTTTTGCATAAGCATTATAATGTGATACATTAATTAGCAAGTTACTATTTCATTAAATTTGCTAAACAATATGAATGATAGTTATGATGAAATTTATTATGACAAAAAAGTGTTACTTTTTTTTCAAAAATATATTTTTCACAACTCAGACAAATATTTTATTAATCATCATTATTGAGATGACTGACTTAATTAGAAAAACTTTTCTCTGCTGTTTACTTTTTAGATTTATTTTAAGAAGATTTTGGATTATTGATTATCTAATTTAATCTATTTTATTGTTTTTATCGAATGTATTTGATTTGAAAATTGATATCAATGAGCTTCAATCTTTAAAGTCTTTCAGGTAAGACTTTGCGAGTTGAATAAATTTCTTAAAGCTGCAACAACTATTAATATTTATGCTAAAACTAATTATCGATTAAATCCATTATTATATTATTAATATATAATACGTTTTTATTTATGAGAACTGTCTTACTTCTCATAGTATTTATTTTAACAAGAGGATTTTTGGAAATAAACGAGAAATAGTAGAAAAGTCTATAACATTTATTAATGCAAGAAATACATGATGGAGGTAATTTTTAAGCTGCGGATCCTAAAGCGATTGCAAATATTGATTTCATTTTTAGTGGTTATAATTTATTTTTTGGAAATCCTATAACCTGGAGAGAAACATCAGATCCTGGTTTTACAGGGAGAAACATATTTCTGACTTCATACAGCAAAAAATAAGTAACATCAGATGGAAGACATAAAATACCAGATAATTTGAATGTGATTACAAAGAAGGGATGCAAATATAATTTTGAATCATTTGTAATAAAGAATACAGAGCAAATATAAAATTATATGAGCTCTTTTGTTGGGTATGTTATCTCTAATAATATAGAGTAAATTTAGTGTCTAATATTGATATTACACCATGGGCATTTACAGCATCATCTGAATTCAATCATATGCAATAGAAAATAGAGTAAAGTTCAGTTACATTTGTGGTTTCTATGGCTGCATGTTAAATAGCTCAAATTACATAAGTTCCTGAATTAGCAGAATTTCATTAAAGTTTTATTGATCAATTATCTGCTTTACCAATTGAATATTCTGCACCTTAATATTTGGAATTCCTTAATAATTTTGGAACTCACTATATAACTGATATAGTGCTTGGATCAAGAGTAGGTTATGTATATACATTACCTCTTGGAATTGTTGATGATTTCGATTAAAAAAAGTTTAAAGAAATAGATTTAAAACAAGCTGCCACTATTACATCTGCACTATTAAAAGGAGTGATAGGATAACAGATACTGCCAAAGGAATAAGAAGCTAAGGCTTATAGTGATATTTCAAAATTAAGTTCATAAAGTTTTACTATTGAAATTGGACCATAGAGCACTGAAAATACACCAAAAGATTGGTTAAGAGAAACTGAATTAGAACCTACTCCTATTAAATATACTTTAAAAAGCATAAGTGAATTAGTATTAGAAGGTAAGGGATAGTTATAATCAGTCAAAGATTATTAAAAAATTGGATAAAATTTAAAGTAAATTATAAAATAAATTATTTAGAAAAGCCTTAACAGATTATTGCAATTTATTATAATTATAAGGATAAAGAAATGGAAAATGTGAAACTAATAAAAGGGAAATTGGATAATGGGTTGAATCTAGAAAGGTTTGTTTGAATTTTTTAAAAGATTGTGATTGGAGTGGTGTGAGTATATAAATTTGTGGAAATAGAAATCCAATATAAAAAATAGGATTAGATTTACCTGAAGTTTAAGCGAATTCTGTTAAATTTCATAGTGATAAGACAGTTATTTTAGGAATTAGTAAATTCAAGAGAGATAAAAATTAAGATATAGTGATAGCTTCATTTCATAATGATTATCTTTTTTTAGATAAACCAGAGATATGTTTAATTAATTAAGGAATGGCTGCCTCTGCTGAATATCCTATATATATAACTGATTCATCTAAATGTGTTGTTGTACTATTATGGAATGCTTGTGAAGGTGAAGTATTTTATTTTACATCTGTAATTTGTAATTAAATGGATTTTATGAATGCTTAATTTGAAATGTTAGGATCAATGGGAAAATGTGAAGTAATAAAAAATAATAATAAATAGATTGCTTTATTGGATATTCGTTATCCAAATTCTGCATAATTGAGAATTTGTTTATTTAAAGAACCAAAGCTAGAAGGATAGAAAGCATGTTTTACTAATGATAATAAAGATGCTTACTTTGGATAAGAGTTTAAGAGTATGATGATAGAAGAAAATGAAGTAATGATTCATAGATCTATGCCTGGAAGTATTGCAATTTAATTTGGATGAATTTATTAATAATATATATAAATATATAAATTATCAGATTTTAAGGATTTCATCAGCAATCCAATCATCACTCATTTCAGATTTCTCACTCTAATTAATTATTGGCCCTAACTTTTTATATTTCCTATTTCCTAATTATGGTAGAATTAACTTAACTTTATTTGCATATTATTGTTCATAAATTTATTCTTTTGTATATTCATCCGGAGGTTTATCTATATCTTTACGATATACTCCTGTACTGTCTCCACCATCATTTAACAACATTTCTTTTTCAATCTCAAATTAACTCTTTCCCAAAATTATCAACTAATGAAAATCATTTCTTTTATCTGGAGATATCATATATGAACTTTAAAAATAATCTTATGTTTCATCTAATCTTTAAAGCAAATATTTATTGCTTTTAAAACTCTTAAATGCTAATGGTTCATTTACAATCTTAACCTCTGGTTTTTGTATATATTCTAATCTACTACCTACTAAAGATTATTCACTAAAAGCTCTTGGTAAATCAGAACCCTTATTAAAAAACTATTTACTACTATAAAATCTTCCTTCTATTCTTTTTCTATTATCATTTCTCTTCCTCTTACTTTTATTTTCTTATATTTTGAACTCTCAAATCTCCTTAATGTTTTTTACCAATGATTTGCTCCTATTCTTTCATATTCTGTGTTCAATACATTGAATACCTATGCAGTATCATTTTTTAATTTATATTTTTCTGATTACAATAATTAAGAATTAATCCTTTCTCTATTTAATAAACAAGCCTATCTCTCAGTAAAATAATTCCAATATTTTTCAGTCTCCTCATGTTTACTTAATACTCTAGTTTCTTTTGTCAATATTCTCCTTAATTATGGTTCCAACTTTATTTATATCAATTTTATACCTATTCTACTTTACTTTTTTCACTCTCTGTATTTGTTTTTATTCTCTAATTTATTTTATTTAATTCTTCTATTAATTGATTTTTTGTTGTTAAATTGTTATTATGATTTTTCTTTTACTTCCCACTACTCCCAAATTTTGTGCTTTTTTATTCACTCTTTGGAGCTGAACCTTTATCTCCAGTGTCTTATCTAATTAACCCTTTATGATATGGTAATTATTTAGAAGCCAAATCATCAAATTACAATCTTTTACCAAGTTTTTATTTATTAAACCAATCACACTTACCTACTATTGAATGTTAAACTATGTCTCCATTTTCTGTAAATTTTGGCCCATTTTATAACAGATATTCATCGTTAACTTATAAAAAGATGTTAATAGGTTTGCAGTCTTTATTTTTTATTCTATGTTCTTAAGAAACACTCTTTGCCACAAAAAACCTTTTGTATGTCTTCTCTTCTTCTGATTATAATTACTATAATTATTTCATCAAATGAAATAAACATTATAAATTATAGATTAAATTTATCAAGAAATTCAGAATTCAAAATCTTTCTTAATTATTACTTCTTTTTTATGTATTAAATAAGATTTATATCTTATTTATTCATTAGAAAGAATATATAAACCATATTCACTCAATACTCTTGTTAATAATAATCTTAATCTTGTTTATTAAAAAAAAGAATCTATTTGTAAAATTTAAACGAATTTTTAATCATATGTGATAAAAATTCATAAACTAATGAATTAAANACTAATGAAAATCATTTCTTTTATCTGGAGATATCATATATGAACTTTAAAAATAATCTTATGTTTCATCTAATCTTTAAAGCAAATATTTATTGCTTTTAAAACTCTTAAATGCTAATGGTTCATTTACAATCTTAACCTCTGGTTTTTGTATATATTCTAATCTACTACCTACTAAAGATTATTCACTAAAAGCTCTTGGTAAATCAGAACCCTTATTAAAAAACTATTTACTACTATAAAATCTTCCTTCTATTCTTTTTCTATTATCATTTCTCTTCCTCTTACTTTTATTTTCTTATATTTTGAACTCTCAAATCTCCTTAATGTTTTTTACCAATGATTTGCTCCTATTCTTTCATATTCTGTGTTCAATACATTGAATACCTATGCAGTATCATTTTTTAATTTATATTTTTCTGATTACAATAATTAAGAATTAATCCTTTCTCTATTTAATAAACAAGCCTATCTCTCAGTAAAATAATTCCAATATTTTTCAGTCTCCTCATGTTTACTTAATACTCTAGTTTCTTTTGTCAATATTCTCCTTAATTATGGTTCCAACTTTATTTATATCAATTTTATACCTATTCTACTTTACTTTTTTCACTCTCTGTATTTGTTTTTATTCTCTAATTTATTTTATTTAATTCTTCTATTAATTGATTTTTTGTTGTTAAATTGTTATTATGATTTTTCTTTTACTTCCCACTACTCCCAAATTTTGTGCTTTTTTATTCACTCTTTGGAGCTGAACCTTTATCTCCAGTGTCTTATCTAATTAACCCTTTATGATATGGTAATTATTTAGAAGCCAAATCATCAAATTACAATCTTTTACCAAGTTTTTATTTATTAAACCAATCACACTTACCTACTATTGAATGTTAAACTATGTCTCCATTTTCTGTAAATTTTGGCCCATTTTATAACAGATATTCATCGTTAACTTATAAAAAGATGTTAATAGGTTTGCAGTCTTTATTTTTTATTCTATGTTCTTAAGAAACACTCTTTGCCACAAAAAACCTTTTGTATGTCTTCTCTTCTTCTGATTATAATTACTATAATTATTTCATCAAATGAAATAAACATTATAAATTATAGATTAAATTTATCAAGAAATTCAGAATTCAAAATCTTTCTTAATTATTACTTCTTTTTTATGTATTAAATAAGATTTATATCTTATTTATTCATTAGAAAGAATATATAAACCATATTCACTCAATACTCTTGTTAATAATAATCTTAATCTTGTTTATTAAAAAAAAGAATCTATTTGTAAAATTTAAACGAATTTTTAATCATATGTGATAAAAATTCATAAACTAATGAATTAAATATGTGTTGCATAATCATAATTATATATATTTATTCATCTTTCCAATACAAAATTTCTTAAACACATTGCTTGTCTTTTCTATATTTAATCCCTTTCTTCTTATGATTTTGCAGCGAAAGTTGGATTTGCAGAATCCCCTATATTAGGATTATGAAAGATGTTTTCTATTGTTTATAGTATCTCAAATTCTTTGGTTGTCTTCGTCCAATATGTAAATAAAGGAATGCATAAACTATTATCTAAGATATTTTATCAATCAAATAATACCTCCATAAATGTTCAAATGTTATATAACTTCTAATGTATTATCTTTTGTTTTTACAAGATCAAAAAAAAACTTAGGAGGTTCAATTGGATGATTTTAGTGAAATTATAGTACTCCTAATTTTTTATTTAAAAGTAATACCACTAATGCATTTGCCTTCAAAATTTCCCTTTCCTGCGAATTCAAAGCTCCAGAACTAGTAAATTGCAACATCATTTTAAGTTACTGGAGATATATTGTATTGACATTCAGCTTATTCAATCTCACTTTTTACTTCTCCAATAAGACTCTCAAAAGTTTGTGATTTCTCTCTATAATATTTAATTTTACACTATGATCAACAGTATATTATTGCTTAATTTTGATTTTTGAACTGACTTTTGTTGGACTTGTTTGAGGTTGAACTACTATGAATGATCAATGATATTTTTTACAAGTTGGAGTATAATTGTAAGTCTATTAATATGGTGTTGTTTGTGTTATTTAAGTACTAAGTGGAGTAAAGCTAATATTTGTAGTATATGTATTAGCTGGTTGTTAACTTGCAATGCTTGAAGAGAGAATTTTTATTTTAGGCCCCTTTTAAATCTATTACATTAAATATTTAATAAAAGTAAGAATTATTTCAGCTTTAAAGGCTTATTATAAATTAATAGAATTAGATAATGAGTGATAAAACAAAATAAAATAAGATTTAATTATAAAATGTTGGACTTTAAGAGTGCTTCTTGATTATAGAAAATTTTATCTAATTTTATTACAACCTATGAAAAATTTTTAATAAGTAAGAATTTGTTATGTTGGCTCTTTTTTTTTTGATTTTTTCTATCTTAATATTTGATTTTATTATTATTATTATTGATGAGTATGTGTATTTCATATTAACCTAGAATTTAAATGATTAGTTTTATTATATTTAGTTATATAAAATGTTTACAAATCCAATTTAAAAATTAATTAAAATTATTATCAATGTCAAAGAGAGGAAGAGGAGGACAAGTTGGTATTAAATTAAGAATTACACTTGCTTGTAATGTTGGAGCTGTTCTTAATTGTGCTGATAACTCAGGAGCCAAAAATATCTATGTGATTTCAACTTTTGGAATTAAAGGACATTTAAGTAGATTGCCATCCGCTTCCATTGGTGATATGGTTTTATGTTCAGTCAAATAGGGTAAACCAGCACTTAGAAAGAAGGGTAATAAGATTATTTATATCATAGTTATGTAAGCAGTTGTTGTTAGATAAAGAAAACCATATAGACGTAGAGAAGGATATTATATTTACTTTGAAGGTTAATATTTTAAATTTATTGTTAGATAATGCTGGAGTTATTATCAATCCAAAGGGTGAAATGAAAGGATCAGCAATTACAGGTCCAGTTGGAAAAGAAGCTGCTGATTTATGGCCAAAGATAGCATCAGCTGCTGGTTCAGTTCTTTGATTTAAATTTGCAATATATATCACATTAAAAATAAATCAATTTTTTTAGCATCTTTGGTTTAACTCTTAAGTATTTTTAATCAATATTATATTATTGAAAAAGTATATTAAATAAAAAAATTAAACCTGTTCATACTATTTTATATAAAATTAATTACATTATATACTATATTATCATTAATTATCAATAATAAGTATTCTAGACTAATTTTCATCATTTACTAAATAATTTTAAACTTTTCAATCTAAGTTGATATTAAAATCTGTTTATTAAAAAGTTGAAGTCATTTATANAGTTGGAGTATAATTGTAAGTCTATTAATATGGTGTTGTTTGTGTTATTTAAGTACTAAGTGGAGTAAAGCTAATATTTGTAGTATATGTATTAGCTGGTTGTTAACTTGCAATGCTTGAAGAGAGAATTTTTATTTTAGGCCCCTTTTAAATCTATTACATTAAATATTTAATAAAAGTAAGAATTATTTCAGCTTTAAAGGCTTATTATAAATTAATAGAATTAGATAATGAGTGATAAAACAAAATAAAATAAGATTTAATTATAAAATGTTGGACTTTAAGAGTGCTTCTTGATTATAGAAAATTTTATCTAATTTTATTACAACCTATGAAAAATTTTTAATAAGTAAGAATTTGTTATGTTGGCTCTTTTTTTTTTGATTTTTTCTATCTTAATATTTGATTTTATTATTATTATTATTGATGAGTATGTGTATTTCATATTAACCTAGAATTTAAATGATTAGTTTTATTATATTTAGTTATATAAAATGTTTACAAATCCAATTTAAAAATTAATTAAAATTATTATCAATGTCAAAGAGAGGAAGAGGAGGACAAGTTGGTATTAAATTAAGAATTACACTTGCTTGTAATGTTGGAGCTGTTCTTAATTGTGCTGATAACTCAGGAGCCAAAAATATCTATGTGATTTCAACTTTTGGAATTAAAGGACATTTAAGTAGATTGCCATCCGCTTCCATTGGTGATATGGTTTTATGTTCAGTCAAATAGGGTAAACCAGCACTTAGAAAGAAGGGTAATAAGATTATTTATATCATAGTTATGTAAGCAGTTGTTGTTAGATAAAGAAAACCATATAGACGTAGAGAAGGATATTATATTTACTTTGAAGGTTAATATTTTAAATTTATTGTTAGATAATGCTGGAGTTATTATCAATCCAAAGGGTGAAATGAAAGGATCAGCAATTACAGGTCCAGTTGGAAAAGAAGCTGCTGATTTATGGCCAAAGATAGCATCAGCTGCTGGTTCAGTTCTTTGATTTAAATTTGCAATATATATCACATTAAAAATAAATCAATTTTTTTAGCATCTTTGGTTTAACTCTTAAGTATTTTTAATCAATATTATATTATTGAAAAAGTATATTAAATAAAAAAATTAAACCTGTTCATACTATTTTATATAAAATTAATTACATTATATACTATATTATCATTAATTATCAATAATAAGTATTCTAGACTAATTTTCATCATTTACTAAATAATTTTAAACTTTTCAATCTAAGTTGATATTAAAATCTGTTTATTAAAAAGTTGAAGTCATTTATACAAAAGCATTTTGTTTTTTTTTCAATTTTTGATGAATTTATTTTAGTCGAATTTTGCTTATTAATTAAAAATGTCTTAAAAAAATGCACTAGAATATTTGATTATTATTTATATTTTATTCAATAACAATTATTATATACATATTAATTTTAAAGTATAAATATTTTTATGTGAATAATTAAGTGGTTAAATATTTTATTTATAAATTAATTAAAATTTTGCTTCAATATGTCAGAAAAACACAAATATTTTACTTTGAGAATGAAAAATATTGAAAACAAAAGTAAAGCAATAATTATAGATGATGATGAACCAAAAATGTAAGATGATGATGAACCTAAAATGTAAGAGTGAATATTCAAATTTTTAGATAAAAATAAATAAAATAAAATGAGTACTAATTTGACAGTGAGATTACGCCATGGTTAAGTTTAAAGACAGCGTCTATTAAGCATCCAACAATTAGATTTCATAATGAGATCATTGAGTTTTATGATTACATCACTCCTTCATAAGATGAACATAGAAAAAGAGAGTAAGCTTTAATGAGAGTTGAAATGTTTATAAAGGGATGTGTTTCTAATGTAGATATCTAACCATTTGGTAGTTTTAGAACATAACTTTATTTACCTAATGCAGATATCGATGTTGTTATGATAGATAAAACAATGTCTGCAAAAGAATTGTATAAAATTGTAGCTTAAAATTTAATGAAAAGTGATAAGTTTGAAAATGTGAATTTAATTGCTAATGCAAAAGTACCTATAATAAAATTCTTTGAAGTAGAAACTTAATATCAATTTGATATTTCATTTAATTAGATGGATGGTATTAGATAAATTGAAGAAATCAATAAAGCATTTACAATTTATCCAGAATTCAAATACTTAATAATGATTTTAAAATGTATGTTAAAATAGCGTGAATTAAATGAAACATACAGTGGAGGAATAGGTTCATTTCTACTTTTTCAGATGATTTTGGCATTTCTTAGAGAAATAAGAAAAGAAGCATTTGCAAATAAGAAATAAGAACAACTAAAAAATGTTACTCTAGGAGAATATATTTTAAGATTCTTAGAATTTTATGGCTCAAAATTTGATTATTAAAAAAAAAGAATTTTAATGGTTAATGGAGGAAGCATTATAAACAAACCTGTTCCTGATGACAAGTTTTCTTTAATTAGTCCATAAGATCCTGATCATGATATTGGAAGTAGCAGTTTTAAAATTAAGGAAATATTTAAAATTTTTTCAAACAGATATAATTTTATGTCTAATTATAATTTCAAGTTAGAAGAATCTGTTTTGAAATACTTAATTAACCCTTCCGATCAAAAATTTACTTTTATCAAGCAAAATTGAATTAATAAATAAACATTTTTATTTTTAAGTTAAACATTTTAATTGAATTCCAAAGTCTAGATTGAATTTTATTAGAAAAGGAAACAATCCAAAAAAATACATCTTAAATTTAATACATATAAATAATATGTATTCTATTTTGAATACTTAAAAATTCATTGACTGTTTAAATGAGTTTTAATCCTTTTTGTTGCTTTTAATTCTTTCTCTATGCAATCATAATATAATCCAAAAGGTTTTTATAGACTTTTGCCAAAAATAATTAAATTTTGCATAGCCTCTTCAAAGTTTTCAGTATACATATAAGTTGGCTATACTGTTTATATTGGATATGCTCTATCTGCATGAATAAAAGGATCAAATTTTTCATAATTAGCTTTTGGAAAGTGCTTTATGAAATAAGTAAATTCTTACATCACATTCACCTATAGAACTTGCAATTCCTGCTCCATAACCTTTTATTTGTCCATTTTCTTTACATGCTCCAAATTCTAGTGTAAACCAATATAGAGTTCCAAGTCTTGATAAATCTTTTTATTATGCCCCACATGATAATATTCCAATTTCTTATGACAAATCAGCTACTTCTTTATCTGCAAATAATGGTACATGACCCTAATCTAATCACTATTTTATATTACCACTAATTCATGAACTATATCTGGCTCAGGAGTATATTCAGGTGTAGAATGATGTCTAATGTATTATGTACAACAAAAAACTCTATGTCCCAAAGCATTTAAGAATTCTCTTTAACTTAATATTCCATGTGTTGCTTTTAATCTAAATCCTGTTTCTGCTTTTAGATAAGCATCAATGTCTCTCAATTATGGTATTTTGTATTTAAATCCCAAAGCATTTTCTATTTTATATAGATTTCTTAGATATCTTTATGACATCACTTGCTAAACTTTCTCTCTTAAAATTGTATATATTTTTTTCCATGTTTCTTCTTCCTATTATGTGTAATTTATGTAAGGAACAGGTTCCCCAACCATATGACCTTATGATATCTTTGCTATTTCTTCCCTTCTTTTTCTATATTCCAAATCTTTGAATTAAGGATGGTCTTAATTGTTTTCTTCATTTACCTACATAATTAGTCCAACTTATTTAATGATTATGAAAAAGTACTTGTTTTTAAATCCTCGTCATTTCTTGGATACCAAGGTACTATTGGAATTTATGAATCATTATCTATGACAACTTCATCATATCTCTATTTTAAGTCAAAAACCAACTCGTTAAATTTATAGTCTTCTACTTTTTCAAATGTCAATTTGACTACTATTTTTTATCCTCTTTTATAGATTATGATACATACTTTGTTGTTCTATTTAATTTCAATGTTTCAATATCATATAGGTTGATCTTATGATTAGAAAATGACTTTAAGATATTCCTTAAACTACCGTAATAATCTCTTGTAATGATTTCTACATCTTAAAGATACTCAATGTTGAAATTTCTTTTTGGATATACTGTAGAAAACCTATTGATTGAACGTAGGATTTTATTTAACATTAATAATGACGTATTTTTTATTTCAATTAATTTATAAATCTCATAGAAATATATATAATCATCATTAAGATTCAAGACTTTTTAAATTATTCATTACTTTATTTGCTAATTTTTGAGGTTAAATCTGCTGAACCTCATCTTTTTAATTACCTTAAGTTAACTTTCTTGAAGTCACATCAGGAGTATTCTAATATATTAATAGATATCTAAATTACCAAAATCATCGGGGATCCATATAATGATGAAGCTTTTGAATCTACAACTAATTTTAATTTGCTTATAATTTAATATTTGGGTAGAAGATGTGATTATGGAGATTCATCCTCAACCTAAATATCTGTAATAGTATCATCTAATAATTTTATAGAATTAATGTTATCATCTAAAGATTCATCGATTTGTTACATTACTTATGGAGTAAATAATTATGAATCTTTGCCTTTCTGACTTATCTAATTTTATTGAGGAGTCGAGAAATTATGTTTAGAAGCTTTATTTTATATTAGATTTAAAAAAGGTATATCACTTAAACTTGATTTAATGGTTGAATCTTTTGTATCTGAAAGATCACAATTTAATTCTTTAAATCGAGCTTCATCTAAATTAATTTAAAACCATTTATGTTTAAGTGCTATTCTTGCTGAAGGTCTAAATTATGGTTTAGAATGAAGAAGTTATTTTAATAATGATAAAGCATCAAATGATATCTCATTATCAATAGATTGAAAATCTACTTTACAATGATAATTTTTCATTACTATTTCATCATAATTTGATCCTCTAAATGGTTGTTTTTGAGTTAGAAGTAAGTACATTAAACAACCAACACTAAATAAATCAACTTTGTGATCATATATTTTATCCTATAATACTTCTGGAGCAACAAATCCTGGAGTCCCACATCTTGAGAACATATAGTTTCCAGTTGAAGAATATATATCTGCTAAACCAAAATCAGTAATAACAACATCTTCTAAGATACCTTTATTTCTTAAAATTATATTATCAGGTTTTAAATCTCTATGCAAGATATTTTTCTTTTATAAGTAATCTAATGAATCTAATATTGTAGCCAGAATTTTGGCAACTACTTTTTCAGGGAATTTTTAATTTTTTTAAATATGATTATTTAATTCTCCCCCTTCTAAATATTCTAAAATAAAAAAGACATTGGAATCATCTTCATAAACCTCATGCAATTTAATAAGACCCTTATGATTAATCTTTCTCATTATACTCATTTCTTTAACCAAAGCTAATTGATCGGTTTCAGAATTTTTGATTTTAGATTTTTCAAATACTTTTACAGCATACAATTTCTTAGTTTCTTTATTTATAGTCTAATAAACTGTTGCAAAGTTGCCCTTTCCAATAACCTTTCCTAGAGTGTAATCTTCCTTAAATTATGTGAGAATAGCACACTTCCTTAAATTTTCCCAAAGTTATTAATTCAGTTCTTTAGATCTACTATAGAGCTCTCTGTATTGATTATTTCGGATTAAACGAAACCCATATTTCTTCTAAAAAATTGAATACGCACTTAAACCTTATTAAAGCTTTCCTTCTCTTGTTTATTTTCGTATTTTAACTTTTGAATTCTAGAAAGGTTTAGATTTACAACATGACATTATCTTGTGTTTGGCTATATAAAAATATATGAATTACTTTGACTTTAACTAACTAAGAATCATAGATTAAGTAATTTCTACTAACCCAAAATCCAGTTTTATAGCTTTTCTTGAACAATAGACATTAATAATCTATTTTCGATTCTTCAATGATTATTGGCTGTTTTACCCAAAACGAATCAACATGCTTTAAATCATCAAAAAATGATTTCGTAAATTTACAATTCATAAGAATAATATTAATCAATTAAATGGAGTCACGGTCAAAAAGAAATGAACATATTGGGCAATATCTTCTGAATCTAAACTATTTAATCCATAAAAATGGCCTTTCTTTATTAATTATCCAAAACCTATTTTTGATTTATAAAAAAACTTTTACTTGCATTTGAATAATTTGCATGAGGATTATTATAATTTTAAAAGAATTAATCACATAAAGGAGACCCCTTTATGACTATAATAGGATGATTAGCCATAACAGCCTATTATAATTCATTTAAGAATCCTTCTTATTCTCCTAAAAGAATATGAATAATCTTTAAACTTTCTCTTTAACCATTTTTGCCTATCTTTCCTTCAGCTAATCTAATTTAATTTATACTAATAAATTACTTTTTACATAAATTTATTTTAAAAACACCTTCCAATCCAAATACCATCATTTTTTCTTTATTATCTATAAGAATATTATAATAAAATTACTTAAAAGAAATATATGTGTATGTCCATTACTAATTTCATATGGATCAATAAATCCAGTAGTTTAATTAGGATATTTGACTTCTTATTCAGGAGCAACTCCAATTAATTTAACTCCTCTTCTTATTACATACTTTTCAATTCCTGTTGAAATTCCACTATCAACTATTACAGCATCCTAAAATTAAAATAAAATTAATTAAATACTGTATTAAAACAAGCTCTTGCAATTCCTGCATAGAATTTACCTTTATTAGTTTCTTTTGCTCCAATTAAATTTACAACTGGATAACTTTAATTCAACTATAATTTAAATAATATATCTTAAATAGATAGATTTTTAGCATTGACATCTGTTATTTTTACTAATTTAGCTACCCTTCCAGTAGGAAATAAAAAGTCATATACTTTCCAAAGAGGTTCTTCCTTATTTAATAAACTGGTTTAAGACTTATGTGTTTATGATTATCTTTCAGGACTCTGTGGAGGTTTTTCAACTTATTTATTTGATTATTATGTTCTATATGATTATTATAAATCTCCATCACCTTATGGTGTTGTTATTGGTATTTTCTAACTTATAATTTATTTTAATTACATCTATAAGCATATCCATATTCTCACCTGTCTTCACACTAACTTCCAGATATTCAACATTAGGATAATCATTTATAAATTCAAATGCTTACTCTTAAGAAATCTATCTGTTATCAGAATCAATTTTACAAGCTACTAAACATACTTACATTGAATTGTTTATTTATTTTTTTATATCATCCAACCACTATAATGTTGAATCAAATGAATCGATATTTTCAACATCAAAACATACAAATACTATATGAATATTCTTTAGCATCTCAATTACTTATTTTCTTTCTGCCACATTTCCAGGAGTGTCATATATTGTTATTGTTTCATTATTTTGAATTGTAACATCTATACTCTCTATTTATTCAGTTGGACTATAATCTTCATCAAATTCTAATCCCTTCAAATATTTGATAATCGAAGTTTTTCCTACTTCAGGATCACCTACAAAAGCTATTTATTAATTTTCCATTTTTAATCCTTATTATTTTAAATATATAATCAATCCAATAATCTCTTATATTTTACTAATACTTTCTTTACCTTTTATTAAGGTAATTATTAGTATGCTGTAATATCTAAAGATAAATTAAGTCTTTCAGTTTATGTGACCTATCTATCCTCCTAAAATCTATTCTTTTTATTGTTATACGTAGCTATTATTATACTTATTAAATTATACTTTTCAATTCTCTAGTTGTTTCTGTATTAAACCTTTTCTTTTCCTATTGAAAATCAAAAGTATTTTATCTTTATTTTTTTATGATTGAATGATTAACATTAATAGTTTTCGTAATAAGATCCACTTTTGCTATCTTATTGTTTTAATATGACATTATTGTTCTTTCATCTTATTAAAATGGTAAGAATTCAAATTTAAATCCATTTCCATTAATTTTTACTTGAAAATCAGTCCCTATTAATTCATTATGTAAAATTAAAGAGAAAATTACACAAAAATACTAATTAAATTATTTTAGTTATTTATTAATATCTTAAAGTATTTAATCAGTAACAGTATTTTGTCTTAGTAGTTTATTCATTTAATTTTAATTGTATTGTTGTTCATTAAAAAAATCTGACTTAAGTTTAATAATATCATTATAAACCTTTGTTTTTGGTGATTAAATGATTTCCTATTAATTTTAATTTTACATCAAGACATTCATTTAATCAGACTCAAATAGTTAGATTTAATCTTATTTTATAATATTCAACTTTTCATTTTGTTATACTTATAAAGATTAATCTGTTTTTATAATTTTTGAAGTTCCACTTGTATTTGTAACTTAAAAATTATCGTTTTAAAAGTAATCAGGTTTTTATGGTAGATATGTTATAATATCATTTTAATTGTTTAAATATTAAAATGAGGTTTAATGAATTTATATTTCTTTTTATTTCTCTTCAATATGGACGACCTTTAAATGAGTTTCTGCCATTCTAAGATCCAAACCAGTTATTTAAGTTTATATAGTTTAAATTTCTTGGGAAATTTTTTGAAATTATACTTGGTTTTGTTCATCAATTTCTTTAACAATTTAATTTAAAGCCATTTTATATTCTTTAATTGATGATGTTACAGCATTTAATAATTTTTCATTTGTATCTTTCAAATTGGAATTCATTAATTGATGTTTTCGAGAAAAATCTTACTTTAAATTTGAGAATAACATTTTTAATTCTTCTATTTAAATTTTATTTTGTTCTTTAGATTATTAAATTTATATATCTATATTTTTTGATAAATCTTTAATTTTTTCATCAATGATATCTTAAATTTATTCTTTATCAACTTAACTAATAAAAATATTGTTAATACTTTTTAATTTATAAATTTTCAGATAAGATAGGTGGAACAATTTTTAAATGAGTTTATTACAGTAAATCAGTTTGATCAATGGTTAAAAAGTATTATGATTTTTATCTTAAGTCTACAATCATATCTTGCATCCATTATTTACTGCATTGAATTTTAGTGATTTCTTATTCGTTACTTTAAATTTTCTATAATAGATTTTATGTGTTTATTTATAAAGTAGAAATTTCTTCTTGATTCTAATAATAATGATAAAAATTAGATACTTTTACATTGATTTCTGTTTATTTTGAGCTAACTTTGGAATTAGAAGTATCAAAATTACTAATAGCTAATTCTTGTTGATACAATTTCTAACTTAAATAATTGTTATAAATTTCAACTCTTTCAGTCAAACTTTATTAACCTTCACCTAAAATAGTTATTTCCTTCTTTTAATTTTATTATTCAAGTTTAATAGTTCCTTATTCTAATCTAATTTTATTCAAATCCAAATTAAAATTGCTTTGAATTTCAAACACTTTTGTATAATCATCTTATGCATTCTTTTTAAGATGCTCAATTGCATCATTGCTCAATTTACTTTTATAATCATAATTAAATTACATATCAAAACATTATTAATCTGATTAATCTGCCAAAATATCTATTCTCCTACTATGTTGATGAATGAATAACTAAATCTTTTCAAGTTCCTTTTCAACATAAGCAAGTCTAAATTATGATAAGATTATTACCTTTCAACAAAAGGGTTGCATATATTAGATATTAGTTAACGAACAAGTGTTTCCTCTTAAAAAATTTACATATTATAATTTATTAATACAATTAACAGAGGATACTCTTCCTATGAATTACAAATGAAATTGTAATTAATTTATGATTTCTGTTGTGGGCTATGAAAATCAAAATAATGTTATATACTATGTTGTGTAATTTGAGAATACTGTTTTACAAAAAAGGTACTAATAGCTTTACAGTTGTAGATTTTCTTAATTTGAAGAACTTCATCAATAATTACTTCCTTATTTTCCTTTACCCAACCTACCACCTAAATAATATGTGACTGTACTGATTGGCAAATCTATTGAATAATTAGAAAAACGATAGAAAGCTCTTGATGTTTACATAAAAGAGTTGAACAAGAACCCTCGAATAGTGAAATCTTATCAATTTTAATCATTTTTGGGATTAGCATAATCTATACAAATGATATATGAATTTGAAGGAGTTAGCTAACCAATCAAAGACTTTACTATAAATTTTGATATGGGTTTGATGTTGGTATTAGGAAGCATGAAAAAGAGTATGCCCTCTATTTTTAATAAAGTAAATCAGAATTCATAAGCATTGGGAACTTTAGAATGTTGGCTTTAAAAAGAAGAAGTATTTAAGAAAGAATGGACATATCCATTCACTAAATAAACTACTTGTTTCCATCATCTTGAATAAACTGTTGTAATTGGATTTGAAGATGGTTCAATTACTTTATTCTTATTGAATTAAGAAAATGAGATAGCATCGATAAAAGAATATTATTAACATTCATCTAAAGTTCTTGCAGTTTATTTAGCTATTGAATTTTTATATTCTATTAGTGATTCAGAATTTAAGTAATATTATTCTTATTCATTTCAGAGTTTTCTCTATGAATAAAAATGAATTTCTAATTAATTAATCTTTGAAAGAACTTAATGGATTATTGATTAGCAATAATAAAGCATATGTGCATGACTTATTCGGCACTATTTATATTTATGATCTCTAAAAAATGTCCCTCATACTAAAATTCGATACTTATTTAGAGAACATTAAGGGAATTGAAAAAAACAACAATAAATTATATATTGTGAATTAATCTGGGATTATATAAATCTTAGAAACAGAAACATATACTGTTTTATATAAAGGGAAAGGGAAAGTGTAAGTAAGATAATAAATTAATTATGAGAGAGTAAAGAAATAAGTTATTCTGAGAGTAGAAAAGTTGTATATATTGGCAATAAAGATGGTTCAATAACTGCACATGATTCTTCTGATTTTTCTTCATTATGTAAATTTTGTTAATAAATTCTAGTTATTATAAATGCTCATATTAATAGTGTGAGTAGGATAAGAAATTTTGAAAATGAAAATTTGGTCATTACAGCTGGTGAAGATAGATATATTAGAGTATAATATTTATATATTTATAGGCTTGGAGATTACCTAGTATTTTGATAAATGAAGGATAGAAATAGTCTTAATTATAGTAATCCTGAATTGTAATCAATATAGTTTAGAATTTATTTTATTATTAATTTGTTTGTAACACATTATAAAAAATATAATCGAAATAAATCAATGGGTAGTGGTGCAAGTGTAGAATAAGAGTAATAATATTAAAATCTACCAGCTCAGAATAATATATTCATAGATGAAGGAGTTGGAATTGAATAATCTCAATTATCTAGAAAATGGACAACTAAAATGACAATGTTTAAAAATTTAGAAACTAAGAATTTCTTAGAAACACATTTTTAGAATAAATCTCCTAAATAAATAACTAAATTAGAATAAAGGCCTTCAGTTGTTTATTCTGAAGATAGTGATTAAATAGTTAAATCTTCAAGTTCATCTGCTATATCAAGTAAAATGCATATTTCACATTAAAAGAGAAAGACTCCATTTCATAAAGAAAATGAAGAAGACAGTGAAGATGAAGAAAGTGATATTGAAGAAAAATAATTACATAATGATAGAAGATAAACTAAATTCTAAAATTTTTAAAGTGATGATTCTTTTGAAGAAAGAGATGATGGTACTAAATTAATTAAATAACATATATAATAAGCTGAAGAAACAATTACATCAAGAAAAAGCAGTATAAATTCTAAAACTGATTAATAATTTTTAGCTAATTTTGAAATTAAAGAAATTGCTGAATAAATTCACTTGGTTAAATAATATTTACCCTAAAATTATCCAGCTAGTTAATTATATATAAGAACCATTATTAGTGAATAAAAATTATAACCAGGAAAAGATAAACTAGTTAAATTAGCTTGTAGATAAAACCTTGATGATTCAGAATTAAATGATTCTATTAAAAATGATAATGATAATGAATCAAAATCAGAAATATAAACGGATTATTCTCCTGAATAATTATTAAATTAAATTGGAATAGCAATAACTAGTAAAAAAGGTAATAAAAATGATGCATCACCTTTGGCTTCAGATTATTTAATTTATAATGATGATTATCAAAAGGTTTTAATTTTAAGTAATGGGCATGGAGAATTCGGTGAATAAATTAGTAATTTAACTTATAGAATGGTCTTTCATTATTTAATCAGAACATCAACTTTCTATACAAACCCTATGAGAGGATTAGAAGTTGTCTTTAAAAAATTACAAAACAAACTAAAAATGTATATAGAGAAAAAGAAACTAGATGATACTCATAATATTTTACTTAGTGGTTGTGTTATAACAGGTATCAATAATATCATATAAAATTAGTGATTATTTAAAGAGATTCTAAATTATACTGTGCCTAACTTGGAGATAATAGAACTTACATCTACAAAGAACATGTTCATAATAGCAAAGAGAAAAAGATTATAGCTGAAATCTTACCTATGCATACACCTGTAGATAATTCTGAAAAAGCTAGAATTTTTAATAGTGGAGGAGAAGTAAGAAAGAATCTTTAAGGAGAAGAATATGTTTTTGTTAGAGGCAGGTTGTATCCATAATTACATGTGACTAGAAGTTTAGGTGATGTTATAGCCCATGTTATCGGAGTATCTTCCTAACCATATTTTTTAGAATATGATATAACTTATTAGGACACATTCTTAATTTTATCAACATCAGCTGTCTTTTCCTATCAAGATCAAAATGATATTATGAATCATTTAAGTGGATTTTCTCTTCATGATATTAAATCTGCTTGTGAATCATTATATAAATAATGCAAATCTAGTTGGATAGTCACAGAAGGAATGTTCGAAGATATGACTATTATATTATTATGGCTTGGTTAATTAAAAGAGCCAAAATGATTAATTTTAATTTACGAAAACCTCGAATTCTTTCACCATTAAAAAAAAATTCTCCTATTAAAAATTTCTAATCTCTATGTGATAATGATCAAATGAAAAAAAGCTAGATCTATCAAGAATAAAAATATCGATAAAGATCTCCAAAAAAAATTATGCTTGACAAACAAAAAAATTCAATTACAAATCAAGCTATTGAATCTCCATAATTAGTTGAAATAATACCTAAAATTTAATTTTTTTATTAAAAGGTAGTGCTAACTGATACATATGCTGTTATATTAACATTCAATACTTTTACTATAAAATATGGAAATTTCATTAGAAAATTGAATTTTGATGAAACAACTCAATTAATGCATTTAGAATCAATTTAATTGATTAATAAATACATATAAGAAAATCTGTAAATAAACCATCATGAAAATATTCATATAAAAATAGAACAGCATCAAGATTTGTTTTTCAAATATTAGATTCCAATTAATCCTGTTATTATCTCTTTATAAAATATAGGAGACATTGAAATTAATTATCCAAAACTAGAAGCCTACTTTTAATTTTCAGGCTAATATGAAAGCATTTAAATAACCAATTCAGATGTTCTTCATTTAATTGGAAATAAATTTTCTACAATTTAATAATATGTAATAATCCATAATAAGCATAGTGTTAAAGAATAAATTTTGGAGAATAAAGATCTTATGTTCGATAATTTCATAATTAAAGAATCTAAGAAATAGGAGTTGACATATATGATTATAGCACTTTAAAGCAATTGTAAATTAAGCAATCAAGTAAAATAAGATTTATTATTAGAGCATCTAAAAGATTTAAGTTAATAATTTTTAAAGCAGGTTTGTGAAATTGATAAAAAATATGTTATTTTAACATTACATCCTCCATAATTAATATTGAAATAATTAAAAAAGACAATCTTCAAACGTAGTCTTACACTATTAGAATTTATAAATCTTTGTTTTATGTTATAGAAAGTATAATTAGAAACTTTCTTAATAATGATAAAACTTTATAAATAAAATGGAAAGTATCGATTTGTGTATGATTTAAATGATTATCCAATATCAAATGAATTAAGTTAGGCTTGTCTTAAAAATGGTTTATTAGCTAAAATAAATAAATCAATTTAATATGATTTACACTATTTTAAATTAGAATATGTGCCTTTTAAAATTGTCATTTATGATCCTTTAGAAGTTAAAGAATATGAGATGTCTACAGATTTTAATGTAATTGAGTAAATGATTACTCTTAAATTAAATGTAGAATTTAAGATTTATTGATTCAATAAGAAAAGAGCTCAAATATGATATAAAATTTATATTATGAATTAATTATAAATCTCAACTTAAGAAATTAGCAAATACAAAGACACAATTACTTAATTTCTAAAAGACAATACTCTTTATGATTGTTTAGCTCATCATAATTAGGTATGAGTGTGATAATAATAAAAGTTGATTGTTTTGGATTAGACATTTACTTGTTGGGAGGTGTTTTAGATTTTTGTTGAAGACAACATAGAAGAATCGCTATTCTGGAATTCTGATATTTCTAATTATGATGGCGTATTTACACATTCAGATTTGATAAAAGTACTTTTGAAATTATATGAAAATGCATTTCACAATAAATCTTCATGTATAAAATTAAATTTAATTAAGTGTAATAGTCTGGACCTTTATTTAATGTAATAGAAGAGGAAAGTGAAGATCAGGAGGAAAGTACATAGAAGAATTTATCTCAGAAATAATAACCAAGGGAACTAAACGATGATTAAAAACTAAGATTAATTTATGAAATGAAAACTATTTCCATTAGATAATGGAATCGGATATTAAAAGAAGATGTAAGTTCGTTCTCTCTATTCAAATAGATGGAATCTTCCATAGGATTTATTTAAGGAAGAAATGATGAAAGATTATACGATGCTTGTGTTAAAATAGTTAAGTCTGGAACTAGTCGTCTTTTTGTCGTTGATCCAGAAACATTAATGTTTTAAGGAGTCATTCATCAAAAAGATATATTATCCTTTTTAATTAAAGGTTTTACTTAATATTTAGGAACAATATTAAAATAATAAAATAATATTCTATCTTAACATTAAATAAGTATTAAAGCATTTTTTTCGACTTATAACCGATAAATAGAGATTATAACTTGTAAAGAGAATGAAACTGTTTATTAGTATCTATTTAACTTTAATCAAGAGTATTTTATACTATGATGCATAATCATAAGTCTTATATCATTCCTATTGTTAATAGTAATGATTAGTATCTTGGGTAGATAAATAGAAGAGACATCCTTTTAATTATAAAAAATGGTTTATTTGAGTTGGTAAATTTAAATAATATAAAAAAATAGTTTTCTTAGACTGCCTCTTAATTATTAGTATTCTTGTAAAATGAAAAGGCAAGAATACCTGCCTATTAATACTATTCAAAACAGTTCTTTAGTATGGATTAAACCATAAAAGAAGTAATAAATATAAATTAATGAGGTTGTTGAAAATTTAGTTTTATCGGATAGCTCAGCTTTGATTTCTTTATCTTCAAATAGACAAATTTAAGCCATTATTACAATTTCAGATATTTTGAGATTCATTTTAAAAGATGCATATTGAAAATAAAATTTGTTCATTCAATTATTTACTAAATACCATTAAAAAACATATTTATCATTTGTTTTCTCACAATTTAATTATCATTATGAATAATAAAACCAATTCAATTAAACATATGATTAAGCTTATAATACTCCATACAAGATATGTGCATCTATGATTTGGATAACCATAATAGTCTTCCTTTAAATTTTAGTTGTAAATTGTAAATTCAATTTTATTTTTATTATTAGATCTATTTTTAATCATTTCTTTAACATTTTTCGCAAAATGAAGTCCTTCTGTTTCTTTAATATCTAGCTTAAAAACCACATATCTTTTCTTCATCATAACACAAATATCCTAATTTTCAACCATATTACTAAAAGGATCTATAACCAAACCTATAATTTTTAATTGAATTTACTTATATTATTCTTAAATATCAAATAATTTATATTCAATCTATATGATGCTGATCCGATGAAAAAGAAAAAAATAATGTTAACTATAGGAATAAATACAAGAATCAAAAGAATAAATGAACCCAAAAAACTATGTAAAAAATAATGGACAAATTGCACAACTTTACTAGGTTTCATCTCTTTTAATTTAATTCCATTTATCAAATTGATTTCTTCATTGTATAATCTAATAAACTAAAGAAAATTAGATTATAGTTTACTTGATTATACATTGTAATTGGATCTTCTTGATAGAAAAAACAATTTGATTTTTGTGTATCATCATTCAATTATTAATATGATGGCTTTTCTATTTCTAATTCACTTTTCATAATTAATAAAATTTATATAATTTATCATAATATACTATCAATTTATTTAACAATATTTTGTAATTCTTATTTGTGTAAAACAGTAGCTCCAACAGCAACACAAGGACATTCAGGTCTACCAATATAATTTATTGATTTAGAGGTAAATTGTAAAGATGTCATAATTTAATCAATAAAAGGTTGACAATAATTAAAACCACCTTAATTTTGAGGTTCTTCTTAAACAAAATAAAATTTAGCATCTTTACTAATTTACTTTAATCCTTGTTCTAATTCATTTTTAGGAAAAGGTAATAATTATTCAAATGTAAAAATGACATAATTATCAGCATTTCTTTTTTCAAATTATTCTAGTAAATCATAAACAAATTTTCCATAAGTGAAAATAACTTTATTAATAGAATGACCTTTTTTATGAGTGATAATTCTTTAAAATGAATTATTTTCAGTTAAATCTTCAAAAGTACATTTAGCTTTATTTGATCTTAATACTTAAAAATAAATTAAATAATTTACATGATTTGGCATTAGCAATGATTAATGGTTTTCTAAATTATCTATGCATTTATCTTCTTAAAAGATGAAAAATAGAACTTGGATTAGATGGAATAGCAAATTAAAAGTTTTAATTTTAAACTCCTTATTATAACCATCTTTCCATTCTACAACTTGAATGTTCAGGACCTGCACCATCATAACCATGAGGTAAAAGTAATACTAAACTACTTTACCTCATCCATTTTTCTTCTGCACATGTAATAAAAGTATCAGACATATGTTAACCTGTATTATAAAAGTCTCCAAATTAAGCTTCCCACATTACTAAATTATTTGGATTTTCTAATGAATATCCAAATTCATAACCCATTACTGAAGCTTCAGCTAAAGGACTATTAGCCACTTAAAGTCTTCCTTATAATTTAGCATCTGCAAAGTTTTACATAGGAATCCATTTCTCTTCTGTTTTCTAATCAATAAATGCCCAATGTCTTTAACTAAAAGTTCCTCTTTCAACATCTTCTCCACTTAATCTTACATTAAAACCTTCCTCTAATAAAGATCCAACAGCTATTGTTTCACATGTAGCCCAATCAATAGAGTTATTTTTAATCTAATCTAAACGATCATCAATAAAATATTTCTATAATCTAGGATGAAGATTAAAGTTTGGTCTAATAACAACTGATTATTTAGCTAAATTAATTAAATAATCTTTATTTAATCCAGTTTTAGCATCTGACTCACAGAATTAACTAAATTTCATTTAACTCCATTTTTAAGTAAATGCCTTAGATCCTTTTGATTTATCATCAGTTACTTTAGAAAGAGTCTATTTCATTGTTTTAGCTTTCTCATATTCAGAATCTAAATAAGCAAACACTTTTTATCTAATCTTATCATAATCTTCCTATCTAAAATAAAGTTAATTATATTTTTAAGGTAACGATTTAGTTTTTCTAACTTTTTCATACATATTAGGTTATGTAAAAGAAGGTTCATCTACTTCATTATGACCATATCTTCTATATGTAACAATATCGATTAAAATATCTTTCTTAAACATTTATCTATATTGAACAGCAAATTTAGAAACTTTATGTAACGTTTCTACATCTTCTCCATTGACATGAATAATAGGATATTTGTAAGCTAATAAAAGATCAGAACTATATCTAGAGAAACGAGAATCCTTAATATTAGTAGTATAACCAATTTAATTATTTTAAATAATATGAACAGTACCTCCATTAGAATAGTTATCTAATCCTGAAAGTAACATACTTTCATAAACAATTCCTTAACCTGCAAAAGCAGCATCGCCATGTAATTATAAATTTAAAACTTGATTAATATTCCTATAATCATCTTATTTAGCCTTAGCTTTTCCTTAACTTACAGGATTAGCAGCCTCTAAATGTGATGGATTGTGAACTACAGTGATTGTTAAATCTTTATTATTAAACTTTTTTTTATTTGATGTTGATAAATGATGAACCACATCATCTACTCCAAATGTATATTCTTATGGTAAATCATTTTCTCCCATTATTTTTCTAAAAATATCACTTGCTGGATAATCTAACAAACTACTCATTATTGGAAATCTTCCTCTATGTGCCATTGATTAAACTATATCTGTCACTCCTGAATCTGCAGCTTAACCATAAATTGCTCTTAAAGCCACTATTACACCTTCTCCGCCTTCTCCTGCATATCTTTTAAAAGTTGTGAACTTTTTATGATAATAATGATCTATTGCTTCCATTTACACTAACAAATTATGAATACTCACTCGATCCGCTTATGTTATTTATTCATTCATATTATTCTCATAATTTTCATAAAGCCATCTCTTCTCTTCTGGATCTTCAACCTATTCAAATTCCACTCCCACACTTTATGCATATAATTTATTCACATATTCTTCCAATTCTTCTATACTCCTTATCGTACCCTTCAAAATATTATTAACGTTGACATCATCGTTGTATTTTATTCCAAAATCTAACACTCCTGGCATCTCTTTCTATTTACTATTTATTTATCATCTCTCTATATACCTCTCTAACAATCCTAATGGATCCAATTATGCTACCAAATGTCCATTTTATCTATAATACTAAATGTAGTGATATTGCTTATTCTCTATATTCTCCAACAATCCTCTATCCAGCTTAACTTGGTTTAGCTAACCATAATTCTTATAGTTGGTAAATTGATATCTTAATAATCGTGCGTAATTAATTTTTTATTACATATTTATAATATCTCATTTTATTTTTATGATGATAAAATAAAAATTCAAATATTTTAAAATTTATTTTGATTCTCTTTTTCCTATATTTTATATATTTATTAATTTTATATATATATATAATTTAACTATATTAATATTCAATAATAATATACATCCATTATTTTATGATTTATAAATTTTGGTTACTTTGCTTTTTGTTAAACTTATTAATTTCTCGATCACCAGATTATATATTATAAATAGTAAAGTAAAATAACTCCTTTAAAAGGATTTATTAGATTCAAAGAATACCATTAATATTATTACAAATAACATCCTTAAATTTGAGAAAATATCAATTAAAATTATAATTTCTATTTTTCTATTTTTCTATTTCTTTCAATATTAAAATATAAGTCATTAAATAAAAGATATAAGTCATCTCAACTTAAAATAAAACAAAATCTTTCTTCTCTAAATCAAAATCTTATTATTTTAATTACAAAGATAGTATAGGTCACATAGGAGTGAAAGTCAAAAAGATGAAATTATAACAACACTTTAACACAACTTTTTAAATTATACAAAAATAAATATGAAAACTGAAATAAAATTAAAAAAGCAATTTGCATTATGTTCTTCCTTTTGAAAAATTGAAACTGATTTATAAAAAGAGAGCTAAAACAAATTGAATCTAATAAATCCCATACTCACTATCACATTATCCAATATATAAAAGGTAATATTATGAATTGATAAATGTCTAAACATTCATTAAAATCTATAATTGTAATAACCATCCTCTAAAGCTATTCAACTTTTCAAAAATTAATTATTTTATTTTATGAGTCCATTTTAACATAAAAATGGTACCCACCAATTTATTTAAACCAAATTTAAACATTATCCCACATTATTTATAACATTATTTAAGATTTAGTTGATGTATCGGTAAGGCATTTTTTATTATGATGGATCCAATACAATTCCTTTTTGATTAATCAAAACTTTGCACTATAATCAAAAATTTATCATTTAATTTTATTTTCATAAAAACCATTATAACTTAAATTAGGATAAATTGTAAAAAAGATCTTACGTTTAATTTAATCAAACTTAATATACTTGTAATATGATATTGTTAAATAAATTATGTAAGAATATATAAATTATAATCTATTTTTTTAATTATTTACTTTCATTCAAATCAGTTAATTATTTGTTTAATAAATAAATATTATAAATAATATACAAATTGAAAACCATTATTCTACTATTTTATGTCTATATATTAGAATATTCATTCTTTTTTTGAAATATTAGATTTCATTAATCTTAAATAAATGATATAAAGAAAAAATTGTCAAATATTTTGTATTAATATTATTATTTAAACGCATTTATCTATCTCGTCTTTTTTGTAAAAATTGGAAATTTTCTGAATTATTAATGATTTTAAGAATTCAATGTAATAATAATATAATAGTTAAATGAGTTATTCTAATCTATCTCCTTCAAGCTAATCAAGTGAATCTAATTCTTAGAGGAGTCGAAACTATACAGTAATTTTTAATGTAATTCATGACCCTGTGTTGGAAAATAAAAATGATAACAATGAAAAAAATCAAAGACAATCTTAAAAGAATGTGAAAATGTTGAAAATGGTTAAGACTGTCAATCAATATTTATAAACCTATGAAATTTACTTAAAACTATTGTTTGGAAGGTAGATTAAGGGCAAAGATGAATAAAAAGCGAATTAAAAATTTGGCCGATTTATTGAATAGGTTGATGCAAATGTCTTACCAGAAGCAGTATTAAAGTAAGTATTGTTAAATAATAAAGGTTTCCAAATCCAGATTGTTACTAATGTGAATAATTGGAAATCATGTCCCCTATCGATACTATACTCTTTATAGAAAAAGTCCTAAGATTGGATATGAAGAAAATAGACAATTAAATATTTATGAAAGCAATTGAAGGAGTATTTACTAAGCTTAACCCATGTTTAAAAAGAAGCAAAAGTAAGTATGGCTTCAAGTCAAACTCAAATTTAAAATCAGAAACAATTCTTGATTAGATCCCTTTAGATTAAGAAAATATTTAAACGCCATTTGAAAGCCTTCATCAAAGAAGATGGTATACATAATCAAGTCATAAAAAAGTGGATCCATTAACTAATTTAGTTATGTAAATGCAACATAAATTAATTGGATCGGAAACAGTTAATTTGAAATTGTATAGATAAACTGATATATTTGACTTAGATTATTCTAAAATAAAATAAATGAAACCTAAAATGATGTAAGGAGGAGGATATTTTGTTTTAAAAAATGGAAAATGGAATAGAAGTGATGAAGATACTAATGATGTTTTAACTTTAATAAGATAAATTATGCTTATATAAATTATGATTAATGGCTTTAGTGTTTAAAGTTGTATTACAGATGATGGAAAATACATTTTATGTAGATTGTATGCTCATGAGGAAAATTTAAAAACTTTGGCAGAAAGATAGAAATTGAAAAAAAAATTAAATTTTTGGTTTACAGATCTTTTTTCTATGGAACCAGTTGATAATTGTTATAGACCTTTAAGAATGAATAATAGAATTTGGAAGCCTAATGATTATGATGACGTTACAGAAATGTTTTTATATCTCAGACCAAAAATTATTAAACTTTTGGATGAAATAAATTTCAAAAGAGTTTCTAGAGAAACTAATTAAAGTAGAATAAATGGACAATTATTTTAATATGGAAAAATAGATTTATAAGATGATGAAGTTTAACCAACTGATGAATAATGGTTTGCTTTCTATTAATATTTGGTTCATTTGGAAAAAGAAATATCAAAAATTAGAAAAAATTTCAAAATTGATAGTGATATTTCAGCCATAATTAATAAATAATTAAAACCTTATGACCTTTATGTTATTAGAAATTAAAAAAAAGAAGAAATAAAAAAATTAAATAAAAATAATATTAAAGATGAATCAAATAGAATTCATTAGTTAGAAATTAAAAAAATATAATAAAGAGTATTTTATGTTACTTAAGAATATTAACCTTTTTTAACAGAAAATTAAGTTCCACATACTAAATTAATAAAGCTATTTAAGAAGGAGAGATTAGCATCAAATTATTAAAGTATTTTTGAAGAAGCACTTAAAGTAGCAAATAGTTAAAAAAAATTATTATTTACTATTTGGGACTTAATTGAAGTTTAAAGATTAGAACCATATGTTGTATATTCTAAACCAAGCATGCTTATTTCTCCTAAAATGAAACTTTAGCATATAATGTGTTGGTGTAAGTATTAAATAAATGAATATAAAAAAATTTCTTTGTTTTCTACTTCAGAGAGATTGAAATTAACAGATTAAACAATAAATAATATGTTTTTATTAAATGATTTGATTAGTAAGAAAGTTGTTTCATAATTTTTTTGTGTTAATGATCATTATGAACTTTTTGGACATTTGAGTATTTCATAAAATGATTTTATGTTAGAAGATGACTTTTATAGAAAAAAAATGTATCATTTAGAATTTGAATGGTCATTTAATATATAAAAACCTTGGAGTGCTCCAGTAGTTCTAATTTGTGATTATTATGGTTAAAAAATAGGACTGTATTTTTATTATTAAACATACTACACAAAAATGTTATTAAAAATAGCATTCATTGCTTTAGGTTGTAATTTAGTATAATGGGTAATAGAAGATGATAAAAGTGATTTACATTACTTATTGAGAATTTCATTTGCATTTGTTCAAATTTAATGGACAAATTTATTTGTTGTAATTTGGTAAAAAAAATAGGTAATCTTTAATTTATAATTTGGTCAATCAGGGAAAGATGAGATTTAGGTTTAGAGAAGCAATTTTGTAGGAAAGAGTCGAAGATCAGTAGAAAATGATTAAATGAATAATGTAGGAGTTGATGAATTTGAACTATATTCTAGAATGATTTTAGCGACATTGATTTTAATTTTATTGATTATTTTTTATTGTGGAATAGGAATTGGTCTATATGTTTTAACTATTACATTAAAATTAAAGATGTAGGAAGATAAAACAGTAAGAGACACAACTTTTGAAGTGATGGTAACAGCTACAATAAATATTATAATCATATAATTTTTAGATAGGGTTTATGATATTATTGCAATTAGATTAACTGATTTTGAGAATTAAAAAACTGTTAAAGACTATGAAGAAAGTTTTGTAACTAAGAAATATATTTTATATTTTATATCATATGTAGGTCCATTAATAATTATTGCTTTTTTAAATGAACAATTTAATCTTTATTGCAAGGAGACTAATTGTTAAGAACATATTTAATATCATTTTGCAACACTGATTATTTGGGTTTTTTTTTTTAAAACTGTCAAAATCTTTTAGCTTATAATTAATGTAAAAAAAATTCCTATTTTTAAATATAAATTTGATGAAATTAGTATCTCTAAATATATTTAAGAATAATCAAATCGTAAATCTTATGCTATAAGTCAAGAAAGATATGGAACTTTAGAAGATTATATGGAAATTTTTCTGTAAAATACACTTCTTTCTATCTTTGGTTATAGCTTTCCATTTAGTTTTTTTCTTTTATGGGTTTAAAACATAGCATAAATGTAAGCTGATAAAGCCAAATTTATTTATTTTTTATAAAGGCCTTGGCCATAAAATAATTCATCACTTGGAGTATGGAATAAAATATTAGAATTAATTAATTATGTTTGTATATTAACAAATACTGGTTAGATGACTATGGAATATAATAAAAAGTATGGATATGAAATCATCTTAGTTTATTTGATGTTTCTTATATTAAATTTTTCTATGAATTTCATAATGAATGCTACATTTGGTTAAATTCCATATGAATTAGGTCTTTTTATTAATAGATAAAAATACTTAATAAAACATACAATAGAATAGTTTTCAAAAAATTAATCAAGTGGATAATAATCAAAACATTAAGATTTAAAAAGATTTCCTATCTTAAAAATATTTTCTACAGTAAATGATTAATTTTCTGGAGAATTTGAAACTGTAAGTTCAGAGGATGATTTAGAAAGTCATTATGATTTAAATTAAATGAAATTTTTATGTAAAAACGAAAATAAGAAAGAGTAGATAGTTTAAAAAAAGTAAGGTATTGTTAATAATGAAAAACAGAAAAAATCAGCAATTTAAGAAAAATTAATATAAAAATAGAAGTTAAATGAAATGAAATAAAGACAACTATTATAAGATGAAGTAATGTCAGATTAGGTTATGTTAAATTATTTTTTAAAAAGAAAGTTTAATTGGGCTTTTGAAATTAAATCATGGAAAAGAAATTTTCATAAGAAATTTGTTAAAACAATGTAATTTTTATATCAAAAGTAATTATTAAACTCACACAGATCTTAATGGTGTGACATGAGAGTATCATATAGATATTTATATATAAAAAGAAAGACTATCTTGTTAAGATAATTGGAATTAAGAAAATTAATAATTTTTAGAAGAAATGAGAAAAAAATTATAGAGTAATATAAAGAAAAAGCAAAAACTAAATTTAGAAAATAATTCAAAATGCTAGATCCTAAAAGTAAAAGATTAGAAGAAATTCAAGAATTATAAACACTCTAGAAAAAATATGACACTTATGTAAATAAGCATGCTTGGCTTAATAGTACAAAAGTAGTAGTAATTAAAATGAAAGGTATTTGGTTTAGTTAATTTCGTAAATCTACCATTAAAACAAGATCATTAAATATGGTTAAAGATTTTTTTTTTAAAACAAAATTGATAGATAAATTAAAAGGAGATTCAGGACTACAAGATCAAATAGAAGCAGCTTTAGGAGATCCTCATAAATTATACAGTATTACTTTGGAAGATTTTATCAAAATCTTTTAAACTTTAGGGAATGCGTAAAATATTTTTTATTTTTAGATCTAAAGAATAATTTGAACTTCCATTATGCACAAAACAAATAAATATGATGGATTATTATAAAAACAAAAAAAAATCAGAGACATATATTCATATCGTAGATAAATTTAGAGATACATATGTATTTGATTATCAGTATTAAAAATTGCAAGAGATTACTATGTAATATTTCGAAGAAGAATTGTTTCCTACAGAACCAATAAAATTACAAAGACAATTAAGTGATACTGTTTGGATTGCATCAGATAAATTCAAAAAATAATGTTTAATTTAATTTTTACAAATTAGACATGAATAATAATTTAAAATTAGTCCTGATTGTAGTATAAACTATGGAATATTTTATGTAAAAGCTTATCCTTAAATCAGATTATCAAATATAGTAGATTAAGTAGATGATTTTTATATTAAAGGTTATTGTGTATTCAAATACGAAATTTTATCTTAATACACTTTAAAACATATAATAAAATATAGATCTACTTATAGTATAGAGTATTCTTTGACTGATTTGCATGAATTCTTGCACGCTAACTTGATGTTATTAAAATAATAAAGTCACGGGAATATAAATATAAACAATTATTATCTTTATGGTAGGAATTATGTATTATTATAATCAAATAAAGAAGAAAATGATTTAATAAATTTAGCGCAAGTAGTAATTGAAATGATTTTGTTGCATCCAGTTGAAAATCCAATTAAAGGCTATTAAGAATTAAATACATTACATTCTTTACGCCCATTACTTATGTTAATGATCTTTGAATCTCATTCTATTGATGAATTGATTGATAAATTAATTAGCAAACATTCTTTTATGGAATATAATATAAATTAAGATGATAGATACAAATCAATTAAATAAGATAATAACATTCTTGGACAACTTGCCTTGGCAACACATTAAATAAATTTAAATTTCCGTATGAAATAACATTAAGAAACACTTCTTGAAATTTCTGAAATTGAAAAGTTGTTAATGTCAAAAAAATTCTAAGAAAATGAAGATTTTTTAGATTCATTTTTATCATATTTGATTTCTCATTAAAATTAAATAATTTCTAAATAATCTGAAATTAAATTATTAATCAACATTTTACTTATTATTTATATAAAGTTTGCTACCTTATTATAAATGCGAAAAAACTTTTTACTTGAAATGGAATAACTAAATAACTCATTAATTCGATCTATTGAAAATATTAATGATTTAATAAAATAATTGAGTTTAAATGTTAAATTGGATTAGCTTAGTAGAACTGAATAAAAAATATTATTAAGAAGAAGATTAACAAAATCAAAGTCTTAAATAGATTTAACCGCTGCTGATAGAATGGTTTTAATTGAAAAAATAAGAAAGAATCCAAACTACATTAAAGTAATTTGTTAATTAAAAAAAGAATTATAAAGATATTCTTTATAATTGTAGGCGCTACATTCTATATATTTATATTTTAATAACAACTTTTTATATTCTGCATAAATTTTAGAAAATATTCAGAAAATTTAAACTGAATTAATTCATTCTGATCATAATATTTAATTGGTAATAGAAGAACCTTAAGATCTTAGTCCAAGTTAATTTAATTTTGACTAATAATCACCTACATTAGATGCATCACTTAAATAATATTAAGAATAAAAATTTGATTTACAAAAAGAATTTAATGACTCTCCTAGTTATTGTTTATAATTACTTTTTTACAAATATTTGCAATTATTAGTATGGTATGATGGAGAAAAAGAAAAATTTTAAAATGATTGTATAGATTTTATTCAAAATTAAATTGAATCACCAGTTTTTGATTTCTTTATTTCATAATTAAAAGTGATGTAAAAATTTGAGATACCTGAAGAATATATTTAATTTAATAAGACTTGTGAAATTGGTAAGTTTATCGTAGTTAGAATGAATAAATGGATAGAGTAAACTTATTTAACTCCATCCAATTATGAACCTTCAAATGACTTTCAATTCAACTGGAAATAAGTCTTAACTCTTAGTACTATAGAATAGTCATTAGAAAATAGAAAATTTTTAACTAAAATAATAGGATAAAATAAAATAAGTTTAGATTATATATTATTCGAAATTAGAGCTATTCATTAAATATTGCACTTAGATAATTATAGACCATTAGATCATTTAATTAATCTTTAAAACTTGGATGTATCTAATCTAAAACACTGTTTTTTAGAGCATAGCCTAATTAATAGACTAAAAGTGCTTCATAATGAAATATCAATAGAATCTAATTCATGGTTTCATTGTTCAGGATTGCTATAATTTAACGTATTTTATATTTAATCTTTATGTTTCACATTTTCTAAAAAACATTTCGAAAATATGTGTTGCGAATCTAGTAATCTTTTATTTTTAGCTGAAATTGCTCTAAAATAAATATCTTATGATTCTTAAAGTGATGCTCATCGTATGAAAGCCTTTTAGATTTTATAAAGATAGCATTCATTGTTTGAGTTGAAATCAAATCTTAAATCTAATTAAATAATCTAAATTATTAGTACATATTTTTTTGTATCTCAATATTATAGCAATTAAGAAAAAGAATAATACTTGAAGAACATTCTTGATTTATTTGGAGAATAAGTAAAGCCTTCTTTAGCTATATTGGCATTAATTCATTTTTATATATCAAAAGGTTAAAAAGAGATTGTATAATTGATAATTAAAACAGCTGTAAAATTAATCCATTTAGATTCATTAATGTTTTAGAATTCTCATTAATCATTTATAGATGATTTACATATAAGCTTGCTTGAATGTAATCAAGATGTTGTTGAGTATTTATATCCTTATGATTGTTTATTTAAAAGAACTACAGATATTAGAACTTTTTCATCAAATGAACAAATTTTAAATCTCAAATATCTCATTTATAACTAATTTTTTCATCAAGATCCTGATTTCAATGTAGACCTATTAGAAGATAATTTGAAAATCTTTACTTCATATCCAAATCTTATTAGGTTGAAGAATATTTATCAATTATTTATATATGTGTAAAAATCAATTAAAGGAGAATCCTCATTCGAAGAAATTGATATGTAAATTATTAATTTATTTAGTTTTCTTAAAATGCAATTTGAAAAGATAACAATTTATTCTTCAATTATAAAAAGTTTATTAGCAAGATATTATATAAATTTGAAAGATTATGAAGAAGCTAAACCTTTGTTGGAAGAACTAATTTCATCTCTTTACTCTATCTAATTAAAATCTAATTTATTGTTATTTGTTGATAAAAATAATTTTGTAAAATTTATCTATAAATATTATAGAAAATTTACAATGATGTACCTATTTTTAAAGTACTTTTTGATGTTCAATAACATGAGATAGTAACAGAAGATACTGATAATATTTATTAACATTTAATTGATGAGTAATTCATATAAGAAACAATAATTAATTATTTAGAAGTATTAGCTAATACATAGAATGAAACAATGAATATACCTAGTGTTTAGGTTATTCTTTCATTTTTTTTCTAAGTAAAAACTTTTGGAACACAAAACCATTTATTTAAAGTATTATCATAAATATTTCTATGTTATTCATCTCCAATTGGAGTTGAAATGGTGTAAGAATAATTAGGTAGCACATATGAATAATAAGTAATAATTAAAATAATATAATAGATTCAATCATACATTTAATAAAGGAATCAATTGAGAGAAAGATTAAATCATTTATTCCTAATTAAATAATTAAGTGTTGATGAAAGTAGCAAAATTAACTCCCATATAAATCTCTATAATTTTGCTATAGGAATATATGAAGGAATAAATAAAGGTATATCAAGCAAAACATTGTTGACATGGAGTATTTCGGCAGCTGAAAAAGCACTTATAGGATATAGAATAATGTGTAAATCATTTTAAAGACGGATTCATTATTAGATTGCAGATCTTCACTTGACATTGACAGATTGTTTTATATAGTTGGAATAATTATCAACAATTATTTTTCATTTGGAAGCAGCAGAAGATGAACTTATGATTTGGTTCAAAAACAATAAACATCCACTAAAAGCACACTTTTTAATGAAATAAGGAAATCTCAGACCGTGGATTTAAGAACAATATATCATTTATATATCATGGATGAATGAATTACCTAGACTAAATAGATTAAATATCTTCACTATTATTAGAGGGTTATTACTACAAAATAGAAAATTATTATAAATATTTGAATAAAATAGTTAAGATCTAGTTAATCTAGAAATAAATTTGCTTTTATATCTTAAGGGATTAGATGAGAGTTAATAAGTTTATGTTGATATTTTTGAATTGTGCAAAAACAATGATCCAGAATTATTATTAAAACAAGTGACTACACTATCAGCTTTCGATTTTAATGGCGTAAATATTTTGATGGACGTATTTGTTTATTACAAATTTAGGCTTAAGCTATATTTTAAACTTTCAATTAAAATAATTGTTTCACTTAAAGATTATAAATTATGATAGATTAAATGATTTCAAAATAAATAAATTGATTGTTTAAATTAATCTAAAACCTTAATATATTAGACTAATAGAATCATTTCTTTTAATTGTATTTGTTAAAACTTCTAAAAGAACTTCTATCAATTATACTATAAAATTATTCTGATTAAGTGATTTTTACAGGATTATCAATTATTGAATAAAACTATTCATTTTAATCTTTTTCTTAAGAGCTTAAATTTTACTATTCTTATTGTTCTTTTTGATGATTATGATCAGATTGCTATTACTAATTTTTTATGAATTATTATGAATAATTTTGACTTTGATTTCCTTCATGGCTATTTTATTAAATTTTATTTTCTTCAATTATTGTTTACAATTTCTGACCTTTTTCCTAGATTTCCTTGATATTTAAATTTTTGTTTTGTTATATATTATCATCAAACAAATTCAATAAACTAATATCTCTAGAATATGAATCTACTTTATTTATTGTGTCGCCTAGACTTAATTAATAAAATTATATACTTTGGAATCATGTATTTTCTGAAATCTTTCTCTGATTCTGCTCTACGATAAATAGACTCACTATGAGCGAAAACAGGTGTAGATGTACAAGAGTGTAAGACTAATGGTTATTTAAGGGAATGATCAATTGGTTATAGTTCAATAACAGGAACAACGGGTCTTCGAATTAATGGTCTAATTATTCCACGTCTTGCAAATATTTCAATAATTTTTTGAAACAAAGCTTCATATAAGTGATCTAGTGATCCTAATAATTTATTAAGACATTAATTCATTAATTAATAAAAATAACAGCAAAATTAGAAACCAACCACAATACTAAATTATATATAGATACACTTTTAAATAAAAGTTTATTCCATTCAAATTTGATCATGAACTAAAAAGAATTTAAATGATTTTAAAATGAAATATCAATAAATAATTTTTTAAAGAAATAGACTTAAATTATTTATGGTATAATAAAAAAGAAAGAATATAATTAAATAATGAAGTAATATAAATGAAATAAACGAATATAAAATGAGATGATAATATTTAAAAAAAAATAAGAAAAATATAATTTTTAAATAATAATAAAAAAAGAAGTTTAAAAATATGATGATAATTTGGAATGAGAATTGAATAATAATTGTAGAATATGTGAATAAAAGAATGGTAAGATTTAATTATAATAGTTATATTGATGTATTTATATGTATAAATTATATATAAATAAATTAAAAATATCTTTTTAAATGAAAATAAAGGGTGGATTTTCAAGCATAAAGAATGTTATTGCAAGAGAGATTTTGGATTCTAGAGGTAATCCAACGGTAGAAGCTGATGTAATAACATCAAAGGGAGTGTTTAGATCAGCAGTACCTTCAGGTGCATCAACTGGAATTTATGAAGCTTTGGAATTAAGAGATGGTGATAAATCAAGATATCTTGGAAAAGGTGTTAGTAAGGCTGTAGCCAATGTAAATGAAATCATTAGACCAGCATTAGTAGGTAAGAATATGAAATAATGAATTAGGTAAGAATGTGACAGAATAAACAAAATTGGATAAATCTATTGTCGAATAATTAGATGGAAGTAAAAATAAATATGGATGGTCAAAGAGTAAATTAGGTGCTAATGCTATATTGGCAGTGTCATTAAGTTTAGCCAGAGCAGGAGCAGCTGAATAGAATGTTCCACTCTATTAATACTTAGCTTAATTGGCAGGTAAGAGAACAGATAAATTTGTCACTCCAGTTCCTTCACTTAATGTTATAAATGGTGGTAAACATGCTGGAAATAAATTAGCTATGCAAGAAGTATATATAAATAAATTATAATTTTTAGTTTATGATTTTACCAACAGGTGCTAATTCTTTTAAAGAAGCAATCTAAATTGGATGTGAAGTATATCATAGCTTAAAGAGCGTTATTAAATCTAAATATGGATTAGATGCTACTAATGTTGGAGATGAAGGAGGATTTGCTCCTTCTATTTAAGATCCTAATGAAGCACTTTAATTATTAGAAGATGCTATTAAAAAAGCTGGACATACAGGAAAAGTTGATATTGGAATGGATGTTGCTGCATCTGAATTCTTTGATAATAATACTTATGATTTAGATTTCAAAAATACTAAAAATGATGGATCTAAAAAATTAAGTGCATAAAAACTAACAGAATTATATCTTAAATTTGTATCATCACATCCCATTGTTTCAATTGAAGATCCTTTTGATTAAGATGATTGGGAAGGTTATGCCTAATTCACAGCTAAAATTGGTTAAAAAGTTTAAATTGTTGGTGATGATCTTTTAGTTACCAATCCTATTAGAGTTTAAGAAGCTATTAATAAAAAAGCTTGTAATGCTCTCTTATTAAAGGTTAATTAAATTGGATCTTTGACAGAATCTATTGAAGCATCAAATCTTTCATAAAAAAATGGATTTGGTGTTATGGTTAGTCATAGATCAGGAGAAACTGAAGATAACTTTATTGCTGATTTGGTATTATATTTATTCCTATTCTAGGTTGTTGGTCTAGGAACTGGATAAATTAAAACAGGTGCTCCTTGCAGATCTGAAAGAACAGCTAAATATAATTAAATCCTTAGAATTGAAGAAGAATTAGGAAATAAAGCTGTTTATGCTGGAAAAAATTTCAGAAATCCATAATTATGAGAGTCATATCATAAATAAAATAAAATATCATCAAATAATATCTATCAAATTATTATTAAATTATGTAAAAGCAATCTATAATTTCAATTTTTCTATCTCATCTTCTTATACTATTAAAATTCCTCATTTACATATAAAAATTAAGAGAAATCGAACATTAAAAAATAATTTAGGAATTTATATTCTTTTAAAATAATTAATATTTTAATCAATTTATATTATTTGAATAATTTTATTTTTTAAAATGGAATATTATAGAAAGTATATTAAATACAAAAAGACTCTTATTTAATATTTAACATCATGGAAACTAAATATTTAGTAAAATATAATTTTAATTAAATTAATTATGTTTACAAAATTTAATTTTAGAAATAAGGAATGACAATCAACAGAATAATTACATGAAAATTAAACTCACTATTATGCCTGGGATAATTTATTTTGCAAATTCTCATATTCAATTTATAATTCTTAAATTTCTGTGTCCAATTGATGATTCTGAATTATTTATAATCATTTTACTTTTCTTTTATAATCTGCTAAAATGTCTTGACTAACAATTTATATTGCTTTTTCTATCGTTGCTTTAGATTCATTAATATCAAAAACTGTAAAATTAGGTTGATTGTATTTTAGTATCTATGCTGGAGTCATCTATTCAAAATCAGGCTCTTTTTAATCTACTTAAATTTCCTCTTCTACTGGATTATTTTCTTAATTTGGCTTAGAGTTTAAGATTTCTAAAATTTCAGGCTATATTACAATTAATTACGTACTTTTGGATTAATAAAAACAATTTCATCATATTATTCGCTTACCACAGGCTTTTTTGTTAGTGGAATGTTTTATGTTTAGTTTTAATATAATTTTAGTGGATGTACTGTAATCAATGGTTAGTCATAATCTCCTTTCAAATATATTTTTATAATGATATCAAATTAACCCCAACCTGTTTCTGAAATCACAAATGGATGTTGAGTAACAACTAAAAATTATATAATATGTTTTACCTCTATTAGTATTTTCAAAGGAACTATGTAATACAAATATCACTTTTTCAATAAAATAAGATAAGTCTTCATTATTAACTCCTCTTACATAGCAAATCCATGAATGTGTTTTCTTTTCATCTGATTTTCTTCCAAGCCAAGTTGCGATTGTTCCATAAACAATTGATTTTGATATTTGCATTTATTATAATAATATTTCTTACTTATATTTATAAAACTTTAATATTTTTTTTATCTCATTTATAAATGATTATGTTAAAATTAAGGATAATATTTTCAATATTAAAACAAATTCGTATACATAGATGTCTTGGATTGGTAAAAAATAAACTAATCTATAAAATTAATATTTGATCAAATAAATTATCTAATTATTTAAAAAATTAAGTTAGATTATCCTAATATAAAATTTAGAATCTAAAAAGATTTTTTTGTTGTTGAGCATTATCGTGAAGTTTAATTTAATAAAGATTTATAATTTATTAGTTAATACATATTAGATATACAAAATATTTATCAATTTTTAATATTATATGAAAAAATTTTTAAAAGTTATAATTAATACCCAATTATAACTTTTTTTTGAAGTTTTTTAAAAATTAGGGATTTATATAAACAGAAATAAAGGATTTAAAGATTTAGAGTTATTTATCATATTAAGAAATTTTTTATCAATATTAATTAAATAAATTATTCAAATTTCACAAAAATTTTTAAAGTCTTTTAAATCTTTAAAAGTCATTTAATCTATAGTAATTAATGGCTTTTCTAAATTATTTCAATTTTTGTAAACACTCCCCTAAAAATTAAATGAAATAAATGCCTATATTTTGGCTCATCATATTTTCGTTCTCATAGATCTACATCTTTTAGACATTATTCCAAGAACAAATTGCTTCATAAAATCTTTTCAAGTTAAATAGTGCATTCCCTTAAAAAAAATTTCAATGAATACCTCTTGCACCATGGAATAGTTGATAAGATTGGTTATTCAGAAGAAGTTCATCAGTAAACTAAACTATCTCTTAATTTCTTTCTTAGGATTGTAAAGCAAATACTCGACCTTAAAAAAAAAATATACATTTTTCCTATTAAAATTCTATGCTATTTTAATTTTCTTAAACTCCTCTTTCCCAACAATCTATTATTCCTTAATTGTCTTTTAATGATTCTAATGATTGAGCTAAAAAGGTAATTAAATTAATATATGCCTAATCTTCTATAAAATAAAATATTATTCTAATTTTTCTAAACTCCTTTATTCCAGCAATTATAAGCTTCAACTAATAGATTGCATGATATTAATATCGACTCTAGATTTTGAAATAGACTATTTTACATAGTTATTCGTAAAAATTAATATCATTTGGATTAGCCTCTATTCCTTAATTCCAAAAGTCAATAATCATTTTAAACTTATCTTCTTAATTTAAATTATTTTATTATTTTAAAAAATTAGCTATAATTAAAAAAATAAAGAAATTACATTTTTCTTCATAAAATTATAAATTATGCATGTTATTTTTAACCCCTTAATCCCAGGTTTCAAGAAGTTCATCAAATTTATTAATCAAATGTAAAATACTTGCTTTAAAATGTTATTATTGATAAAATACCTTTTTCTTTAAAAAAAAATATATCATTAGGAAATTAAAGAATTGCCTTATTACAACATAAGATTGCATCATCATATTTTTTACTTTTTTTTAGTAACTAAACTTATTATTTAATTAGTTTTAATTGTACTTTTTTTTATATAGAATTCGCAAAATTTTTGTTCATTTTATGAAATATCAATAGCTTAATCAAAAAATTTAATTAATTCTTAAATATTCCCCAATTTCTCTAATGCAAAAACTAAATTATAAATGCATGTTTAGCTACTTTTTAATTAATAAAATTAAATTTCTTTTTAATTAAATTCTATTCCAAAATCGCATGCTTGAATAGTTTCTGATATTTTTCCTTACTTTAATAAAATTTTAACTAATAAATATTATAAAACTTAAAAACTTTTTTCTATTAAAAAATGAATTTTATCTTGAAATATTTCAATAGCTTGATTACAGCAATCTATAGCTTCTTTCCATCTTTATTATTACTTTAAGGCACTTACTAATTATGATATTTAAATTTGTTTTACTTTTTTCCTATAAGAAAAATTGATTGTTAGTATTATTAGCAATTCCAAAATCCCAACAATCTATAATTTCCTATATGTAATCTTAATCATTTAATGCTTAGGCTAATTAATTTGAAGTTTAAATAACTTTTAGATTTGTAAAATGCTATATTATTTAAATTATTTGATATCCCATGATCCCAAACTTCTATAATTTCATCTAAATATCCTTATTTTTCTAAAGCTCTACCTAAAACAATTACTAAAAGAGCTTAATACATTTAAATTTGTAAAATTCTATATTGTTCTTATTTTTAACTATTCCAAAATCCCAACATTCAAGTATTTATTAGTAAAAAGACATTTATTGTAAAGCATCAGCTAAAATTTTCTTAATATCAATACTTTTTTCCAAATACAATTAAACATCTTCAGGGAAAAGCGAAATTCCAACATTGCAAATTTCAATAACATCTTTCCATTGTTCTAATCTTTTTAAGGCATTTCCTATTATCAAAAATTTTAGAACAACCTTTTTTTCTATAATACTCGATAGTGATTAAAGAATTTTATTCTTCTTTTAGAAAAATATCGCATTTCTCGATAATCTTTCTAAACATCTTCTATTTCTCTAATAACTTTACTAAAAAAGATTAATTTGAATCAAAATTTTTACAAAGTCTAATTTTAAATTAGATATCTTGTTAATTTATTAATATTGCATCTTCCCAACAACATATTGCATCTTAATATCTATCTTGTTTTTCTAAACAATTAGCTATTATAAAATAATATTAATATATACCTTTCTCAGAATAGTACCTTATATCATTTTTATTGTTTAAAATTCCATAATCCCAACACAATATAACATCGTTAAAACGATATTAATTTCTTAATGAATTTGCTAAATATATTCTTTAATATATTAACCTTTAGCAATATAAAACTCAAAATTATTTTTGTTCATAGAAATTACATCATCCCATAATTATATAATTTCTAAATGTCTTTCCATTCTTCGTAACTCAATTGCTAAATTGAAAATAATTAGTGTTTCTACTTTTTTCTTCATAATGTTTTAATTAAACTTAGTTAAATTGATCTTATATTATCATTTTTTATAAATGATTTGAAATAGTAAAAATTAATGAATTTAATTATTCATGAAGCTTTTTTGTTTCAAATATTAATATTTTAAATATACCATACGATCTTATATAATTGATAACGGAATAGTTGTAAATAATGATTGTGTTAGAGTAATTAAATTGCTATATGATGAATTAAAACGGAAAATGATATTAATAAGGATTGATGAAATTCACATTATTAATTTTCTTAAAATTTATATGTGTCTTTATCTTTCCTTTTTTTATCTTCTTAGTTTGATAAAATAAACATAATTAGATGTAAGATAATGCTTCATATTAAATACAGCATTAAGAAGCAATTGATAAAAGTTTTGAAGAATTGAAAGCAGTCTTAAAACAACGAAATTTATAAGAAATACTTGAAAATTTTAAAAAGTCAAACAAGAAAAAAAAAATAAAGATAATTAAGGAAGTTTATTGTTAGTTTTTCTAAAGGTTTATTATATTTATGATGAATCTGAAATAGAGACAAATAAATTAAAATAAGGAATTTAAATCCATAGTTTCAAATTTTTATGATACTAACATAACAGTATATAGGCTAAGGTTGGTATAATAACATGAAAAATTTTTTAAATTAAATAAAATATTAGAGACCTAATAAATATATATAAATGACTAATTTTAAGCAGTATATTGTTACAGTTAGTGTATATAAGAAATTGAAAGTAATAATTGTGACAAATAATTTAGAGTGATTATGTTATTTTAAAGTATATATTATATCATTATGTAAATTTTATAAGATTTTTGAATAACTTTTATTACTTAATTTTAATTAAGTATAATTAAATAATTTTAGTAACTATTTTGATCATATAATTTTAATGAACCCTCTATTATTTGAAGAAGCAGTATAAAAATTTTTAAATTTAATTTTCAGCTTGGAGAAGAGGATGAATATCAACGATTAACAAAAATAAGTGATGCAATTAAACTAGTAGCAGGAGCTATTATGAGAATTAGAACTTTTAATAATTGGCAGATATTAAAATACAGTAAAAAATATGAAAGAATTATTTAGTGATTTGTTCCTATCCTTTTTAGCAAGAAGTAATATAATTGTTGATGAATACAATCTTTGACTATTTTTAAGATATTGATTTTCTAAATGCTTTTGAAAAAGCTTTACTGGAAATTGCTTAATTGAAAGAGTAAAGAGTGTTTCTAAGCTCTCGATCCCAATCATTAAGGATTGGTGTTCTTCAGCAAAAGTACAAAAATATTTCAATAATAATTAGTTATAATAATGTTAACATACGAAAAGAATAATTAAAATAAAGTGCTATACCATTTGCAAAGGCTGTTATAGAGTAATTGACAGTAGCTAAAAAATTTGCAGCATCTTTTATTAAAAAATACATATTATTAGCAAAAATATTAGATGAAGATATTAAATAAAGAGTATACATAATAAAGGATTTTGTAGTAAATACTAGAGATCATCATTTTATAATACTTTTAATTAATACATTTGAAGAATTAAAATAATCTGAATTAAAAGATGAGCATTGGGTAGTTCATTTTGATCACGAAATTGAATAATGTATATATACATATAAATTATATATAGATTGTTAATAACATAGTATATTAGTCCCTCATTTTATAGAAAAGTATAATAAGCCTCAGTAATATAATAATAGTTCATCTGGAAGTGAATAAGATGATGATGAAGATGATTCATCATCATAAAAATCATAATCCTAATCAAATTCTGGAAGTGATAAACAATCCATAATTGATGAAGAAGAAATGATGTAAAAATGGATAGCATAAAAATCCTTTATTATGGAATAATAATAAATTGAAACCTTTTCAAAAGATGAAAATATATTTGTATTAATAAGTTTCATTTTAAATCCAAATGAAGAAATTATAGAAGATTGTTGGGTAATATTATTTAATATTTAAAGAAAGATTAATATCCTATTTAAGATGTTAATGATGATGAATTATCTAATAAAATTAAAAATTAAAAAATTGAATTTTATGCCATTGTGAGATCCTATAAAACTGCATAAATGTTTCATCATAGATAGAATATTGAAAAATTGTAATAATGCAATTCAAGTTTTCTATAGAAGTTTTGTAAAATTAATAAAATAAATTTTAGATAAAAAAACTTTTGAAGCTTTTTAAAATAAAAATAGAAATTTAAATTTATATCATTTAGCCTTAACTATAGATTCTTTTTTAAATGTATTTCCTAAAACTTCTATTGCTCTAATTTTAGAAAATTAAATATTATTCTCTTTATCTAATTATATTTTCAATCCTCTAATTATGGGATTATTAATTGATATACATTAAATTTAATATAATAAATATGATTTTGAACCTGCTTTTATTGAATAAATTTGGAAATATTAACTCTTTACTGATTGGTTTATGTGGTTATAAAATTTATTATTTGAAAAAGAAAATGATTCAAAATAATTAGAATAACAATTTAAAGGAGAAAATATTGTAATAATCTTATTTATTTTAGGAATTTATCATTAAATCACTTAAGGAATTTGCTAAAAAAGAATAAAAAATATCAAAACCAAAAATATCAGATGATAATAAAATTAAATTAACTTCTTTGTTTGGATCCTTAACACCTGGAAAAAGTTTAATTAAATAAAATGTAAAAGATTATGAAAATTGGAAATTGAACTTAAAATAAAAAGAACATTTAACAATTGATGAATTTAACAATTAAGATTATGATAATTTAATGGAATTTATAAAATAAAGAGATTTAAGCTATAAATAATAATTAGAAAAGAAAATTTAGGAAGATTTATAAATCTAGATTGAGAATATATAATTAAAAAGAACCTCAAGAATTCGAATGTCTTAGGCAAATAGTCATCATTAGTATTAATCACCAATTTCTAATTCTAAATTAATTTTATAGATTAACTCATCAAATTAAAGTCAAAATAATAGTTAACCAAATAGCAGTCGTTCAATTAAATTACCATCTATTTATGGAAATACTTAATAGATTGAATCGAAATATGGTGTGTTATCTAGTTTTAGTTCTTAAGGAGATATTAATTTTGATTAAAAAACTAGAAATTTAAGTAATTTTGGATAATCTCCTAAAAGTAGCAAACTTAATATAGCTAGTCAAAGAAGACTAAAAACAGAAAATGATGAAATTGCTACTCATACTATTTAATCAAATGATGGATTTTCTAGTAGTAGATTGTTAACTATTTATCCTTCTAAATAAGCAAAAATTAAATTTGAATAATCAAAGATTGTTTAAAAATAGGATTAAATTATGGTAGAAAATTGTTTAAATTTCTTTAGTGAAATACTTAGAACAATTTTAAATTATTTTTAATAACCTAATAAGACTAATTTATAATAATTAAATGAACAAATTCTAATATAACAAATTTTGAGTATGAGTTTCCTAAATCAAATATTTGAATTATATTTATCTAGCTTAATTGATTAAAATATTTAATAATAAAAAATAGGAGAAAATTGTGGATAAATGATTAATCTAATTTATCATAAATCACATCATATTGAATCATTTTAATTATTAAAAGAATAATTGAGAACTATTTTTTTAGCCAACGTTGATAATTTAACTAGAGCAATAGTAGCAATAAATAAATAAATTAGATGTGCATCAAAATTTGTTAATAAATTTTAATTATAACTTCTTTTATCAACTTATTTCTATGGATTTAATTTATTTAGTATACATACTTAATTAATAAGTACATCAAATATTTATAAACATTTAAATGAAACAGTAATGCATATTTTTATAATATGGTTTTTTGATAGTCAATAAAATAATTGTTATTAATACTTTTTTGTAAAATTTTTAACAATTTTATTTGCTAAAGCTCCTACATAATCACTCAGCAATATTTTATTTAATCTTGGTTTAATAAACTCTATATATAATGCATTTTAATCATTTTGGATAAATGGTATGAAAAGTAGATATTTTGAATCAGGAGTCTATTTTTATATGAGGATGATTATTTATCTTATAAATAAATCATTAAATCATAGGAATATGACAATTTTATAAGAATATTTATAACCTTTAGAATCATGGAAAGGTGTATATAAATTAATTCCAGATGAAGATTCTAATTATATGGTAGAATTATAAGAACTTTTAAAAACAGGGTAAACTCCAATTCGAAGGATTTAACTTAAAAGAACAAAACTTGAAAAATTAAAATCTTAACTAACTGTTGATTGTTTTGATGCTAAATTAAGAGAAATAAAATAATTTGAATAGGCTTAACAAGATAAGTTAAAATAATCTTAAACACCAAAAATAGTGTAATAAGGAAAAAAAATGTAACATAGATTAAGTTAAAGATCATTTAAAAATAGAACAAGTTTAAAAAACGATAATTGATCATAAAATTTTATTAATTATAATTTTATAGTTTTACTTTAAAGGAAATCTTAGCAAAATATTACTAATTATAAAATTTATATGTAAAATTAATTATGAATCCTTAAAAAATGTGATTGACAAAATGTATTCAAGTTTCTAAAGAATATACGAAATATGAAACATTTTAGAAAATATCAATTATATTTTCAATATAAAAACATTAATCTAATGGGAATTATATTAATTTATAAAATTAGAATTGATTAGATGAAAACATTTTTCATGAATTGATAAAGTTTATATTTAATTTATTAAATGACAAGTTTTATGTGGGATTAATCATTTAAGTTAGTTCCTGACTAAAATATAGCATAGGTGTTTGACCAAGCCGTACATTCTTAATTTATATTTAGCTCAATGCAAATGATGATTATTTGAGGTTATTAAAAATAACAGAAGGCATAAAATATGTAACTTAAAAATTACCTTAAGCGACAACATTTTCAAGTCCAAAACTATTGTTTTAATGTATACTCAATTTCAATAATTTTATAGTAATGTGTTTATATCCCTTTTAAAAATCAAATATAGAATAATTGATTTCAGCATTTTTTGATTATTTCCAGGATTTTCGTTTTATTAGTAGCTTTTTTGAAGCTGCAACAGATATTTCTCTTCTTCAAGAAACTAGTACTTAAAGTTTAAAGTAAAGAATTACTATGCTATAACGGTTTAATAAGTATTAATTAATAAAATGATGCAAAGCAAACCTAAAGATAACCATGATGGATAGTAATTTAGCTAAGCAGTTAATTAGGAAATAGTTACAATAAAATTATTCACAGTAAATTACTTAAAGAAGTTTTTTGAATTAGCAAATAATTTATAATTAGACTTTTAACTTTATAGTTTGATGTTTAAACATTATATTTAAAATTCAACAAATCAAAAATTAATAGAAAAAGTTATGGATAGTTTTTAAGATTTAAGATTTACAATATTTGCTAATTGCGATTGGGTTAATTAATTTAGCGAAGAAATTATTATATGTATTAAATAATTTCTATATTTAGTTTTTAAAAATACTCCAAAATTATTTCCATCATACACTAAATATAAAATAGTTGTATTTGAAGAAGATTCTGATACAGAGATTGTTAGTTAAACTTAAATTACAGTAACTTAACAATAAAATAAAAGAAGGTCTTATATTTCATCTGAATAAGACCCTAGTTTATATTTATAAAATTTATGTTGTAAATAAGATCCAGATCAACCACTCCAACATAATTCAGTTTTTGAAGAATTTGAAAATATCGACATATTAATATAATTTATCTTAGATCCTATGTAAATTTCAATAGCTAATCTTTGGGTATATTATCCTAACTAAAATTAGGTTGAAAATTTTCCAAAATTACCTGATATATTGGATACTGATAAAAGTTTGTTTAAATAAAAATCTACTTATAATTTAAGTAAATATCAAGTTTATAGATCCTATAAAGCTTTATAAATACTTACAAATACTGAAAATTTTAAAAATTTATTAGGATAATATGCATAAATTTTTTCAAAAATATGTAAATATAAATATTTAAAATAGTTGTTTTTATTAATATCAATTTATATGATGAATCAAAAAATTTAAATTTACATCATCTTGCGATATTTATAAAATTTTTAATTAATTTATAACCTAAGTTTTGTATAAAATAACTTATAGAATAAAAAATATTTCAAAAATTGTTAGAATTATCTTATAATTCTTCGATTAATTAACTATTAATAGAAATAATTAATTTTAATGAAGACATAATAAAATTAGGAATTTATTATTTAGAATAGTTATGGTCTTATTTACATTTAATTAATTTTTTGTAATAACTTTCTAATTATTCATTTGATAAATAACTAGTTGCAGATTATCCACCTCCTGATTAAGCAGTAATATTAATTACTATGAAAGGCTTACAATGACATATTTTAAATAATTAAAGCATTATCATTACTAGATCCATAGAGACTATAAAAAAAATTGTTAAAATAAGATACTCAAGAAATATAAGAAATTAAAGCCCTTGAACTTAGAAATGATTATGACAATTTAGAAGGGTTTGATAATGAGAAAAAAGAGAAGTTGAAAAAAGTGGAAGAGGATTTACTAAGAAGATAATCATCTATATCATTAAATTAAAATAATAGCAAAATACCATAAATATAAAAAAGAAAATCAAATAACTTTTATCTTCCAAAAATATAGTCTAATACTTCATGTTAAGATGGTGATGGCAAGTTAATAAACAATAGTTAAAGTATAGATAATAAAATAAATTCTGGAAGTATAAAAACATCTCCTTTAATGAAAAGAAGAAATTAAACTTCTTAACATTTAGGTAAAAATAAAATAAAAACTGAATAAGATACAGATTTATATTCAAATGATGGATTTTCTAGCAGTAAACTTGTTTAAATATATCCAACAACTAAATCTGTAATATTTTTATCAGATTTTGAAAAAGAAAAATCAGTTTTTAATAAGAATAATATTTCAGAAAATCATTTAAGAACACTTATTTTATTATTTGATTAATTAATCGTTTATGCTGAATAATAATAAGAAATGTAAAAAAGATTACCCAAAGCTTAAATTTTTAATATTAATAAATTTACAGATTTAATAATAAATGAAAAAAATATTTACTCATTATTCAAAGTGTTTTTATATTCAATTTTGGAAATTCCACATAATCCAACTTCATTATCTGTTGAATGTGGGGTTTTATTAAATAATATTTACAAAAAATCTAAAACTATTTAAATCTTTTAAAATTACTAGGAATTATTAAAAAACTAATTTTAACTTATAATTGATTATTTAGTTAAATGTATAGTTTAGCTAAATTCAATTAAATCGAAGTAAGAATCATCATGTTTTGCTTTTAAGTAATATATTTTAGTTTCTTTAATGACTAATGGTTTATTATTATATGACAGATAAAATTATTTGATTAAAGTTGATAAAAATTAAAAAAGTGTTTTTAGAAATTTAACAGATACTATGCTTCATATAATTATTATATGGTTTTCGGATAGTTAATAGAATACAATATATTAATAGATTTTTACAAAATTTATTACAATATATTTTGCAGGAGCTCCAATGCCATATTTATCAAATATAATTTTTAAATTAGGATTAGTAAGTTCTTTATATAATGCATATACAAAGTTTTATTAGAATGAAATAAAGGACACATCATATGTAGAAGGCATATTTTTTTATATTCTATTAATAAATTATATTATAAGAAATGCAATAAAAGTGAGAAATTTGAGTGATTTATAAAGTGCTCTAATAATATTAGATTCTTGGTAATAATTAGAATTAGCTTAACCTTTTGAAAATCCTAAAGCTTTAAAAAATGCAGATTAATTGATAAATGTAGAATAGCCAAAAGCAATAGAAAAAGTTTAACCTAGAAAGAATGAAGAAAGGAACAGCAAATTAATAAAAACAAAAACATAATTAAATTAAAAGGTAAATTCAATTATGTCTTTTCAAAAGTATATTATTGAATAACGTTAATTTTAGAAAAACAAGTGAACCAAGTACAAATTAAACAGCATAAACAGCAAGACCAGAATAATCATAAAGGAAAGTTATTTGAATTGGTAGATAGATTTATTGATTATAATAAAAAATAATTTTAATCACAAATATAAATCAAACCTAATGCATTTAGAAATTGCTGTAAATTTTAATCCAAAAATAGCTCAATGAAGATGATGAATACATAAGATTATAGAAATTATCATTAGGGATAAAAGAAATCACATAGAGTTTACCAAATTAAAAATAATTTAAAGACATTTCCTCATTGAAGTTATGTAAGTATATAATAAAGTATTGAAAGTATTGTGTGCTTATCCATTTTAGTAGCATAGTGTAGAATTACTTATATCAATATTATTTGATAGATTTAAGGATGGTTAATTTATTTCCGCATTCCACTAAGCTTGTTTAGAAGTTGCTTCATTATAAGAATAAAGAACATTATTAAGTTAAAGATCATTATCTCTTAAATCATCTCGTCTGACAAATATGTAATTTAATAATCTATTTCAGGTAAAATACATCATTTGATTCAAGAAAGAGTTCATAAAATAGTACATTTGCAAAATCAGTAATAGAAAAATTGCTGATTACCAAAAAGTTTAGTACTCGATATTTAAAATAATTATTTTTATTGGCTAATGATTTAGATATGGATCTAGAAAAAATGGCAAGAATATTTAAAATATTTATAATAAATACAAAAGATTAAGAATTTAGATTGAAAATTATATCCATTTTCGATGAATGTAAAAATGATATATTTGGAAATCGATAATGGGTAGCAACATATTATGAAGAAATAGATTAATGTAATTAATATAAATTACTTAATTAGTTTTTTTATCTAATCATGTACACAGTCCAAGTAAAATACCAGATGTTATTCCAGATAAAAATACTAAAATAAATTTTCAATTAATAGATGATCATCTCAATTATGATAGTGATGATAGTGTAGAAGAATGTATTGATAATTAAATTTAAAAATGGCTTTGTGAAACTAATACTTATGATGTTTTAGAAAGAGAAGATATTTTCAATAAACCAGAAAATTTTGATGAAATTTTAAAATATATTACTTAACCTGAAAATGTTGATGTTCATAAAATATGGGTATTATATTCAATCCAATCTTAGGCTTAATATTCAGAAATTAATATGTAAAATGATGATCCCACTTATTATAAATTAATTGGAAAATCTTTAAAATAAGAAGAAACTATTAGATCTTATAAAGCTCTTTAAGTTTTAATTAAAGAAGATAATTTTTAATTTTTTGATGAATTTGTTAAATAAAATGTCATATAGATCTGTATATTTATAATTTAAGCTATGTAGTTAATGGAATTTATGACTTTATTAATGATTAAAATCATAATGCCAATTTAAATCATATTGCAAAACTTATTGAAATTACATTAATGAGATAACCAAAGTTAAGTGTAGTTTAAATAGTTGACTTAAATCTTTATTTTTCATTAAGTCTTTATATCTACAATTCTATGATATAACAAATTTTAGAAAGTATAAATCTTATATATATATCTAGATATTATAAATATTAAAATTGATTATTATTAATTAGGTTATTTCTTTTAGGAATAACTATGGAAATATTTATGCAAAACTGAATGGTTTAGATTTGTCATTTTATTAGTGTTCAAAGAAGGTGTAAATATGAAAATTACAGAAAAAGAAACCAAAACTGAAGCTACCATAAGTATTTTATCTATACTTAAGACCCTTTCATAATATGATTAAAAATAAATTAATTCTTTATCAATAAATGCTGATGAAAAAGAATTAGTAACTAATTATTTGGGAGTGCTTTAACCAGGTAAAAGTATTGAATAATATTTCACTACAAATTAATTTAATTGGTAATTAAACTAGGATGTCAAAGAATATATCTCAGCTAGTGAATTTGAAAATAGAGATTTAGATAATTTAAAACATTTTACATAAGAAAGAAAAAACAACACATTATTTAAATAATATTTTTAAGAATTAAAAAATTCAAAAATGAAAAAAACAACTAATACAATTGTTGATTCTATGTAATTTGAAATAGATTTAAATGAATAAATTATATTAACAAAATCTATAGAATCTCCAGCAACAAATAAAAGTACAAGAACAAAAAATAATATTATCATAAGTACAAGAAAAAGCATATCCAAAGGAACGTCTAAGTTAACTTAATCTAATTCGTTATAATCATCTCCAACTTAGCTTATTGACTCTCCTTATTTAGAATCATATGCTAAAACATAAGTCTAAGATTCCATAGAAGAAAGTTATTCAACAAGTTTTAAACGATAATAATAAAAATCTCTATTTTTATATCACTAATCCAAATTTAGACATAGAACAGAAGGAAATTTTACAAATGATGGGTTTTCAAGTTCAAGATTAAGAACAATATATCCAAGTTATAAAACTTCTATTAAGAACACATAATATGAAATTTAACTTGAATAGTTCAATATAGATTATAAATATTATTAAAAAGGTATAAGATTATTACATGAGACAACTAAATCAATTATTGAATATTTAAAATAAAATAACGATAAAGTTAAATCTGCATTAAGTAAATTGGATATATCTAGTATTTCTAGATGTTTTTTAAATTGTAAATTATTTGATAGATATTTCTAAATATATATGCTGAATATATTGGATAATTAGCCATATGATTAAAATTTATCAGATGAATGTGGTATATTCATTAATTATATTTTTGATAATGTAATTGAAATAAAATCCTTAATTGATAGTTCTGTGGATTTATGCAACAGCTTTTTAAATGTTCTTGAATATCTATGTAAAATAGTATTTGAAATGCATAAAAATCCAAATTTTCTTATTTCTACAAAGCATAAATTTAAGAAAACATTATTAATGACCACTTTAAATAAAGGTTTTTAATTAGTTTAATAAACATATCAAGATCAAATAGAAAAATTAATCAATAAATATTTAAATGAAAGTGTTTTACATATTTTGGTGATTTGGTTTTTCGATAGTGATTCAAACAATTCATATTAAAGAAATTTTTTTATGTAATAATTCAATTAATTTTTAGGTTTTTAAAGTTATTACTTGATAAAGCCCATTCTGCATTGATATCAACACTTTTTTTTAAAATAGGATTTATTTCATCATTATAAAATGCATACTCTAGATTTTATGTTAACGGTATCAAAAATGATTCAAATTATGAAAATCTCTCCTACTATATTCAAATTATTATTTAATTAATTTAAAATGTAAAGAATTTATTTAAATTAAGGTTATTCGTTAGAGATAATTAATTTAAATTGAAAAAAATTTAGAAACAATGTAATCATGGCACATAATTACTGGAAATAAATATTTAGAATCATATAAATCAATATCAAATACTAATATAGTTTAAGAAAGTATGTCAAATTTAGAAAAATAAACATCAAATAACAAAAAATTTGCAAGTTTCCATAAAATAGAAGAGAGAGAAAAAAAAGAAAGGAAAGTTGGTGAAATTTTAATTTAGAAAGAAAAATAATTTTTATCAAGAAAATCATTATTACTTTCCCCAAGATTATAACCATTAAGTCCAGCTATGGCAAATAAATTTAATTAATAAAATTTAAAATCTTGATTACTGAATTTTTATTATCATTCAAATCAAATCCTTTAAAAATATGTATTTTTTAAGAAAATGTATAATTAATAAATCATTTCTTAAAAATTTCTTATTATTAATTAGGAAATGTTTCAGAGAGTTCAAAAGATACTTTCTTTGTGCTTTTTTTAAATGAGTTATTAGATTTAATAATACTGTTGATCTATGTAGTATCAGATTTTCTGTGAATTTCTTAATTGAATTGTTCAGTATATTTATTATCAATTTTAAGTATTGAATTGGTAAACTAATTTTGTTTTATTTTTGGAATATCAGTCCAAATTCCATCCTCTAGATAAGTTGGAACTATATTTTGAGGGTTGACTCCTTAAGAAAAATATGACTTAATGTAATTTTAGTTATTTTTATTGATTATTATTTCATCTTTTGTTTTTGGAAGTAAAACATATTTCAATGTACTAATAGGTATCATATTTTCATAATCTAATATACTAGGATGATAATACATATACTTTTTCATATTTTCAAGATCTTATTCAATCATATCAAATAGTTTCTAAATAATAATATAAATTAGATAAATCGAATTTACTTAATTAATTAATTTATTTTAATAAGTTATTCAAATTATTATTGTTAAAAGAAATAATTGTATAAATTGATTTATTTGATGTAAGGTTAACTAATATAATTAAATTTAAGTTATGCAAAATAAATAATAATAAAAAACATTTATATTGAAATAATTAATTTTGATAATTTTTATTTTAAAATTAATTAAAAATGGCTTCATAATCTCAAAAAAATCGTTCTGAAAATAAAAGAGATACACTTTAATTTATTTAGCGACATAGTTAAAGTGCATAAAAATTTATAGAAAATAAAGAAAATGAAAATCAATAATTCTTAAGTATTGACAAACAAAATATTAATTGTAAAATAAGAAGTAGTATTTTGACGATTGAAACAATAAGTAATAAAAAGTAATGTGAAATATTAAAATTAATAAAACCAGGTAGTAATAATTATGTAGAATTCATTGTGTATGATGATGAAGAAGTAGGAATAACAAAATAATTTTCTGATAAACTTTAAGAAGCATATGATAGAGATGATGATGTTGAAACAACAGATAGTGTCTAAAAATAATTATAGGATATATGTTTAAATGATTTAGAAGAGGGTATTCAACAAAATTTAAGTGATAAAAATAAAAGGGTTATTAATTTAAGAAGAATTCGATAACATTATAATGTACTTGAGAGTAAAAAAGAGATTAAAAAATGATAAATACTTATAATAATTATTATTTATAATGTAATATCAATAACTATTTAATATATCTATAAAATAAATAGAAGAACACTTAAACAGTAATGATACATCTCCATCAAGTCAATTTAATTTCTTTTTTTTAAATTGATGAATAATCTTTCAATAATAACTAAAGATTTTTAAGATAAATAAAATATTTTATGTAACAGGATATTATACTTGAGATTATAGCTAAAAAAGAGTTAAGAATACTTTATTATATTGAACTTCTAAAAACATAATTAAAAATAAAATCTCTTTATTATTAAATTTTTGTTATTATTAAATAAAATTTATAGTCTTATGATTTATAATTACTTATAAATCCAAAGTCTAAGGAAAATTTATTTTTAAATTCTAATTCAGTTGATTTCATTTTTATACAACTCTAAGAGTATTTCAGAATCAAATCTTGAATCGAAAATGACTTAAAACTTATTTTGTATCATAAAATTTTCGATTTATTATTATTTAATTATAGGCCAATTTAATGGAGGAGGATATATAATATCTAGAGTATTTAGTAATACACTATCAATTAATTGTGTTATAAATTATTAATGATATGGACAATCTGGAATAAGAGATGGATTTAATTTGGCATCAATAAACCATGGTTTAAAGGCTGTATCTAAAATGAAATTTAAACCTACAATCTTAATTGATATTTTTTATACTTCGAAATTGTAGTCTCTTAGAATGATTTTAGTAAACAAGGACTTGATTATGTTTGAAGCTATTATTTTTAATTTAGGGATGATTGTTTCTTTTAAATTTACTTTAAATTAATTAAAAAATTCCTATAATTTATCAAAAGATAATTTATTTCCTGGTTCATATAAAGAAAAGGATTTAGATTCTTTTTAAATATAAGTGTTTGTAAAATGAGTTAAAGGATCTAAATCATTATCTTAATATTCTTTGCTACTCGTCCTTCCGAATACTTCATCATAAAAATATACTCTAACTATTCCATTAAAAGAAGTTATAAGGATATATGCACAAATATCAAACTTTCTTTTGTAATATAAGAAAGGTTTTATATATTATTATATTACAAAAGTTTCAAAAGTTCTATTTTAATTTTTTAACTCAGATGTTATAAAATCAGATACTTATTTTGTATTTTAACAAAGCTTTATTGAAGAATTATCATTTATTTTTTCTCCAGGCTTAACTAACCATAAAGAATTTGTTAGTTTGTATTTTATTTAATAAATATTAAATTTCGGATCTTAGAGGTTGGCAACATTTATTGAATATGGAAAAAATTAATTTAAATCTTCGTTTGCTAATGTTTAATATTTATTTATAAACTTAATTAAATTCTTTTTATTATTTATTATTAAATTAATATCTATATGGTTATGAACTTTACTATTTTATTTTATTAATGTCAATTTTTATTCTTGAGCTAAATTATATAAGTCTTCGTTATGATTAATATTTTGTAAATTCACTATTCTGCTTTTTGATTTATCAAATAATACATGTGTTTGTTATTTTTATAAAAATTAAGAATTTATTTTTTTGGACCAATAGAATTGTATATCTTCTGATTTTTCAGGGGATTCACACCACCACCATCTTTTTTTCATTAAATTTTTTATTATTTATTCATCTTAATTTGTTTCTTCAATAAAGTATATTTATTATCTAACTTAAGATTATTTTACATAAAGTAAATAATTACATTAAAGTTTAAATATCAATTAATAAAGAGAATTTAGTTTAGATTAGAATAATTCTTCTAAATTTCCATAATTTGATAACTTTTATAAATTAGATTATGTATCCTTCTATTCTTTAAATGTTGTATTTATAACAATTTCCTTTTTATTTAACATAGGAAGTTTTTTTATTCGATTAGTAAACTTTTCAACTTAAGGTTCATCTAAACAAATACAATTTTATCTTTTTAATAATGGAATGGGAGATCTTGGAATAAATTATTCTTTCTATGTATATTCCTATCTTTTTTTTTTCATTTCATGTAAAACTTTAACCAAATCTTTAGTTTTTTTCTCTTTGTCTCTTTGACCCAAATTATCAAGAATTAAAGGTTCATCTTATAAATGATTTTTAGACTTTATTCTAAATATAAATGCTACATTTATATCATTTTATTAATTGTTATTACTCTAGTTTGATGTACTTCTAAGTTCTCTAAATAATTTTGATTGTTTTCGGAAGTAAAGATCTTCATTTTATTATGTATAACTATTATTTTTGTAAGTTGATTATGAATTAGCAGACTCATTTTATTAATTAAATTTCTATTGATTAGGAGATAAAACACTAATTTAATAAGGGACATTAAAATAATAATGATGATTTTTCCTAATGTCATTCTATTTTAGTTTTTTTTAAGATAAAGATGATCTAAACATTTAATTTATCAATTAATTTAATTTATAAAGAATTTTAATTATAAGTTGGAATATTTAAATATATATATTATGTTTATATCATAGTTGAAAATTAACATTTCTTTTTCATTTTTGAATAAAATTTTAAAATTATAGGAGAGATTTAGTGAAACTCATTTTGAATAATTTTTCCATTTATGTTTCAAATTCTAATTAATTTCTTCCAAATATTCTTTAATACTGGGTATCAGTTAATTAAATTCCAAAAGATTCTATAAAGAGTTAAATTCTATTTTCTCCATCAATAAAGTGATTGTGACTTTATTCAATAATTAATTTAACAATGTCTTCTTAAATTTGAGTTTGAAATACACCTGGTTTAATTTATTCAATTAATTCTATGTAACTTAAAACAGCTTAATCTAGTTATTGTGAAGAAATTTAAGTATGGTATAATTAATTTTGTAATTTAAGTAATTATTTTAAACGAGGTAATTTTAAAGTAGATAGTAATGAAATAATGTATGTCTTTGGATTTTTAATTTATAATTCTAAAATATTCCAATTATCAATCATAGGTGGAATAGCAATCACAACAAAATTACATTATTGTAATAATTTATCATTATCAAAGTACACTTAATAGCCTTTGGTCACATAATAATAAATTTATTCAGGCCTATTTAATTGATATAATTATAATACCTTCTTGTAGATATATGCACATCTGATGGCTTTAAATTATAGAATTTGATGGCGTAAGGTATAATTGAATTAATTATTAATTTTCCAACTTACCCACAACCAATCAACCCAAAGGTAATCGATTCTTCATTATGAATTGATTTCCAGGTATTGAAAACATGTAACACTTAAGCAACTATAAATTATTTAGCTAATCGCACTCTAACTAATTCAGATTTTGGATTTTAGGTGATGGGTATATTGAGGAAGTTATAAAATTGTTGATTCATAAATTTTTATAATTAATAATATTCATTTTCAATTTTTATGATTTTTTATTATTATATTTTTATTATTTTCACAATATAATTTTCATCTAATTCTGATCCTCTTTCTTGAGCTATTTTTTATTGTATTTATTTTATGATTTCTAAATTAAAATAAATATTATTTAAAAATCAAATTGATTTTTTTTATTTTAAACAATAATCATTAGTTATACTCATAATTAATGTATCTCCTATTAGTTTTGGTGTTAATTTTTTCTATATTTGTTATTTCAAAAGAAAACAATATTCTAGATATATTTAAACCTTGAGAAATTCCAAGAGTCTAAACTTTAGAATAATTAAGAAAGAATTGAAACCAAATTAAGTAGGAAAATAATAATTGCAACTAGAACAAAAAGATATACAACATAAATTCAAAGATTAATTTGAAAAATGTATTGGTTCAGATTATTCTTAAGATGTTTATTATTTTATGAACCTAATTATTGTAATACAATTGGTATTGATATATAAAATAAATATTAAATTTACAAATAGTCTAATGATTTTTTGAAAGGAATGATAGAATTAGACTCATCCTAATAAGCATTGATTAAAATTGATGGATTTAATGTTATTTAAATTTATTATATAACAATATCAACGAGGATCATCTTTAAAATGATGTTTATTCCAATCCACTTAGGATTTTCTACAAACATACCAATCATGTCTAATAGCTTTACATTCTTTATTAATTCCTTCAGTTAAACAGAATCTAAAATCTCCTTCATTGTTTTTCATACAATCTGATTCTAATACACATTCTACTATCATTTCTTTTAAATCATGACAAGCTGGTTTATATTAAAGTCTAGATGGACCAATCCAATTATCAACTCTTTCAAAGAATTTTGTAAGTCTTGATTTGGGAGGCTCTGGGTCTTAATCCATTATTTATAATAATATAATTAAATGAGGTATATTTATTTTTTTGAGTAGAAAGAATAAAAATAAAAATATAAATAAAAAAGCGCTAATGGAAGGGTTTGAACCTTCGACCTGTTGGTTAACAGCCAACCGCTCTGCCGACTGAGCTACATCAGCGTATTCAAATACTTGGTTTCAATTTTGATATTATACTCCTGAACTTATCCTTTATTATTTTAATGATTCTTATTCTTAATTATTTATTGAAAGATTTTAATTTAGAAATTTATTATGTTCAATTTAAATATATAAGTTAAATTTACTCCTACGATCTTTTAATTAAAATAGAATTTTAATTATAAAATAATAATTATTTAAAGATTGTTCTATTCTTTCATAATTATTTATAATCTTAAATTAAGAGAAATACAAACTATGTAAATTTGATTTATATTTAATTAAAATTTTTCCTTATTGATTTTAAAATACTTTATCTTTAAATGAGTGAACAAAGAATAAAACCTATTTTAGTGAAAACTATGGTTAGTGACTTCATAAACAAACAAATCAAAGATTGTGGAATCATAAAGAAACTCAATAAGAATGGCAAGCCTTAATTCTAATTAATTAATGTACACTTTCATTCTCCATAAAAAACAGAAAAGAATTCTCAATATTTATATCACTAAGCTAGATGATTCTCAGTGATATATAACTCAGTAAAGTATATATTTCCTTAAAGTCAACAAGATATCTTACAAGATAATAGGAGATACTAAATTTAGAAATTAAGATTATATTTATTATAAAACTTGTAAAGAAGATGGAATGGCATCAGGTTTACTTATATCAAGATTTGTTTGAAATGAAATTGAAGGAATCATTCTAAAATATCATATTAAATGATAATAATATAGAAGCTGGAAAAATTCATCAAGATATTGATTTATATAACAATATCAATAAATTATTTTATGTTGATTAGATAAAAAGTGGATTATCAAATATCTGATTATTAATAGTTAGTTATCAATTATTATATATAAATATTTGATGACTCTAAAGAATTTTTTACTATTAAAAAAATCTTTAAGAGAAAAAGATACACTTGTAGTAAATGAAAATTTATTTTTTAAGCATATTCTAGAAACACAGAATTACTCATAATTTGTTATTTGTCAAGTAAATTTTAAAATAGATCTCAGGGATATAAAATAAAGAATTTTATAAATTTAAACAAAATAATTTAGATAAATAGTTAAATATAATAGATGTTTTGGATAACAACTTTAGAAAACAGGAGCTTTATCGTAGAATTGAGAAAATTCGCTTTGAATTTCCTAAATTATTTTATTTGATAATTGTAATAAGTTTTTTGTGGAATTATTTGAAAAACATGGATGTTGGATAAATTCTGAATAAATAGTTATAATCCTCCAAAATCAATTAGTTAATTAATTAAATAGAAAATAAAATTCTTGTAAATGTAATTTAAGATATTTGTAAGATGATAATTTTATAGCTTTTTAATTATAAATTAAATGATGAAAATGTATCTAATTTACTAAATTTGTTTAAGTATATAATTTTAGTAATATAAATTGTATAAGGATATAATGAAATAAAACTTATCAGTAGTATTTATAATTTTAAACTAAGAGAATGAGTGTAATTAAAAATAAAAATAACTATTTCAAAAATGAAATCTAACACTTCTTCTTGATCCAGAATATAGTGATTTAGCTTTAGTACTTTTTTATTTTAATATGCTGGATTAAGGCTAACTATTAGATTTAAAAGATTTAAGAGATTTAATATCTTCTTTTAAAGTTGATATTTAATCTGAATGATTAAAGCAAATTTATTTGAGTGATAATTGTCTAGGATAAAAATTAATATCTAAATTGTTAATTCGATTATTATATTCTTATTATCTTAATTCTCTATCTGACCTTATTAAATTGTATTTTTTTCTAGCAAACATATCACCAAACATTTATTTCATTAATAATTCTTTTTAATATTTAACTCCTTAAGAGAATGATCTTCTATTTTTTTCAGGAGTAATAATAAAACGAACTTCTTTTTTTTTTAGAATTCTAGTTTCAATGTCAAAATCAAGATCTTCTTGAGTTTCAGGTCGACTTTCATTATAATGTAATTCCCAAGTTGGTTTTTTTGGTCTATGTATAGGTTTGATGGATAGATGCATAGGATCATCATTTAATTCTTTTTTTTTATTCATACAGCTTTATCCCATTTAATTTTAATAATTTATAAAAGTGAATGAACAATAGATAATTTAAAACAGTGTTTTTAGGAAGTTAAAATGTAGGAAAAAGTTGTATAGTAAAGAGAATAGTTGAAAATAAATATGATGGTAAGACAGAACCAACGATTGGTAGTTCATTTCTATCTAAAACCATTAATATAAATGGAGAAGAAATAACATTCTAATTATGGGATACTGCTGGTTAAGAAGCTTTTAGAGCACTTACTAAAATATATTATAGATGTATTTATTTGAATTTGGTATAAAGTATATAAGAATCCTAAATTGCCATATTAGTTTATGATATTACACAAAAGGATTCATTTCGTAATCTAGAGAAATGGTATGAAGATCTTAAAGAGAATTGTGATCGAAATTAAATGATTTTAGCACTATGTGGAAATAAAGTTGATTTAGAGAATGATATTGTCACATATGCAGATGCTAAAAAATTTGCAGATAAGATTAATGCTGAGTTATTTTTTGTATCTGCTAAAACTGGATAAGGAATTGAAGGTTTGTTATTATTAAAATATTGAGGAAATGTTTGATAAAGTTGGTACAATGGCATCCCAAATTCAATTAGAAAATCCTGAATTTAATAGAGGTACTTCTAAGAGTTTGTACTAAGTTCAAAAAAAAAATAAAAAATGCTGTTGATATATTATAAATTATAAAGATTTATCTTATTATAGAATATAATAATTAATAATATTATTCATTTATTCAACCAATTCATAAATTCTGATTTCCTTTTTTTTGCTATTCTTTATCCACTTTTACTTATTGATGGTAGTAATTTTGGTTTTATCTTATTCTAAATAATTTGGATATTTCCCAAATAAACATTCCTTATTTATTTAGGTTTATCAAAATCATAATCTAAACGAACTGATGGGGGTGTTTCAGCTCTATCTTATTTCATAACAACTTTATTAGTAAATTTACTAAATTGTACATATCCTACATCAAGTCTTTTATTCTTCATTATTTTAAATAAATTTTACTATTCTTGCATAATTTACTCCAAGTAAATCATATTATTGCTAAGATTCTCTCTATGTATATTTACGATCAGTATATTTATTAAAATCAGGAGATAAGTTATTAGTTTTACTTCTCTTATTCTTACTAAGTTACACTTTTTCAATATGTTATAATTTTGGACATTCTTCTTTTGTTTCAGAAATTGTACTTTATTTCTCTGTTTAACCCTTTGTTGATTTAGATATTGTTCTAAAAGAAGTGTATTAATCAATATAGTAATCTTAACTACATATTGATATTGATCTTGTTTTCATTTTACTTTTTGATCCAAAATCAAAAGAAGGAGATTTACATTAAATTACATCAAATTTTGGTGAATATTTTGCTTCATAAGACTTTTCTGGCATTAAACAACATAATGTTGGCTTAGCTTTTCTTGATACACTATTAAATGGAAATGATTCAGTTTATTGTTTCTCTTCAAATTTTCTTAACAGGGAAAACATTTAGAGCTTGCTTTATAATTTCAATATCTTTACTTTTTATTTTACTATATTGTAGGTAAGATATGACCATTTAGATTTATTACTTCATCAACTGCTATTGGTTTAGTTTTTTCAAGAATTTTTCCAAAAGAAGAAAATGATAAACTCATATTAATTTTTATTATGATTAATATTAGAAATAAAAGACTTGATTAATCTTAACTTACTTGTGGTCGATAATCCGTTAATAGTTCTATTGCAACTTAAGGAAAAGATTATCAACAATTAGAAAAATCATTCTATTAAATAAGTTAAGAATAAAAAGTTAAATAACATACATTACCTGCTTTATAAGAAAAAAAAGGATTATTTGAATAAATATTTGTTGCTGTTCATGAGAAATTGAATGATGATTTTTAAAGTACAATATTCAGGCAGACTCAATACAAAACATTAATTAAAAAAAGTAATAAAACTTTAAAATTGAAAACTAATAATACTAAAATAAAATTTAAGAGATAACAATCAGTAATTGAAACTAATATCAATTAAAATTGTATGATAAAAGGAAATTGGATAAGTTGTGAATAAAATTGGTTTCCTTAATTTAGAGAATTTGGATAAATGGTTTCCCATTAAGGTTCCATATATTTAAGTGGAGGTTTTGGTAATTCTGTAAATAATGATTTTTGTTAATTTGATTTAAGTAATATATTATTCATTTAATTAGCAAGCAATAAGTGGAGTTCTTTATAAAACGTTATTCCAAGATATGGTCATACGATGACATCTATATTATCTGAATTATATGTAATTGGAGGAGAATAAATAAATAATTATGGACCTCTAAGATCAAAATGTTTTGTTAATGAAATTCAAAAGTTTGATGGCGAAAAATGGCATACTATAAGATATGCAGGAATATTTTAAATGAGAAAATATCATGCTGCTACTAGTTATAAAGATTCAATTTTCATTGTTGGAGGAGAAGGATTTAAGAATAAAGTTTTAAGTGATACAATGATTTTTGATGCTATTCATTCGAGATTTCATGAAGTACCCAATCCTAAAAATATGTTTGCCAAAGGAATTATGCATACTGCAATTGTTGAAGCTTAAGAGACAATATATTTATATGGTGGAGTAGATTAGAATGATGAAATTTATGATTAACTTTATACTTATGATTCAATCTAAAATTGGAAGTAAAAAGAAACAATTGGATCAAAACCTCCAAAATTGATGATGCACACAATGGTTTATTACGATCCATTTATCTTATTATATGGAGGTAAGATTGATGATTTGTAAGAAACGACTTTTTCAAATAAAATATATGCATTAAAGAATAATGAATGGTTTATAATAGAATAAGAAGGTGCAATTCCATAGCCAAGGGCTGGACATTCTTCTTGTATTGATGGTAAGTGTTTATGAAAATTATATAGATAATAAATTACTAATCTTTGGAGGTTTTAACTATGATGGTTATCTTAGTTGTTAAATGTAAATAATGGAATTCAAAAGAGTTTATCAAATAAATAGAATAGTTTCTTTGCCTGCTTTAAAATCAGAACCTGCTGAAATTTCATAGTGTCAAAGAAAGACTTTTCTACTAAGAACAAGATTTAGTTTACTAAAATGATTTGATGAATATAATAATATTTTTATTAGTATTCAAAAATAATATATAATATTGATAAGGAGACAATTTGTGATTTTAATTAATGTCTAATTTTTATCAATATTTTTATATTGCAAAATAATTTCAAAACAGAATAATAATAAAAGAGCGATGGATGAATGGATTGTAATAGATATAGAAACACCAGAGGGTAAATTCTTTAAATCTCCAATATATGAAGAGGAGTAAATTCATAATGTAAAACGCAATTTGATTGATAATATTGTTCAAAGATGCGCTTAATATGGGAAATTGGATAATCCATATTAAATTGCTAGAAAAACAGGGGCAATGCAAAAAGATATTGCTTATGAAAAGGGTTAAAATGTATATGATCAGGAAGACTCTTTTATAGATGATGAAGAAATAGGAAAGGAAGATCATGCAATGGTTATTCCAGAAACAGAACTTGATGATTATCATATGTGCATTTGTAATTTAAAAGATTTTCAGAAATCAATTGAATACAAAAAGAGAATAGCAATTTTAAAGAAACATACAACAGAGTCTAAAAATAAGAGTGCTAAAAAAAAAAATAAAAACAAAGATAAATTAGATTAAGTAATTGAAAAGCAACAATAGGAAGATTTAGTGTAGTAATAAAATTCTGCAACTTAAGAGAAAGAAATATCTTGATTAAATTATATTATAAAATAAAATGGACAATCTTAAGACAATGCAAGCAATGAAAGTAGAAAAGGGTGATGGATTTCATCATACTTATTCTCAAGATGAAGTTTCATCATTTTGTGATCATATCAATTACTATTTAAGAGATGATAAAGATGTTGCTGACATTTTACCATTAAATCCAGAAACAAATGATATGTTTGTTAAAGTAGGAGATGGTATATTGTTATGTAAAATCATAAATCTGGCATAAAATGGTGCAATTGATACTAGAGCCATAAATGTAAAGAAACCTCTTAACATCTTTAATGAAAATGTATTTATGAATTAAATATATCTATTAGATCAACTTAAATTTAGCTATATAATCTGCTAAATCTATTGGATGTGTAGTTGTTAATATTAGACCAGACTTAATTAAAGATAGAAGAGAGCATATTATTCTTGGTTTGGTTTGGTAAATCATTAAAGTATTAATCTGTAACATAATAGATTCAAACAACTAAAATGGTAAATTTAAAAGAGAATCCATTTCTTATTAGACTAAAAAAAGAGGAAGAAGAAATTGGAGATATTCTTAAATTACCACCTGATTAATTACTTTTAAGATGGTTCAATCATCATTTGAAAGAAGCTAAATCATAAAAATAAGTAAATAACTTTGATAAGGATTTACAAGATGGGGAAGCTTATACAATTTTACTTAATTAATTAGATAAAGATAGATGCAATTTGGATGGACTTACTTAAGATCCTGAAAATAGAGCTAAAACTATTATTTAAAATGCTGAATCTATTGGAGTTCCTAAATTTATGAGACCAGTTCATATAATTAAAGGAAATTCTAAATTAAATTTATTATTTTGTGCATAAATTTTCAATGCTTGTCCAGGATTAACACCAAGTTAAGATGATTATGAAAAAACTAAAATGTTATAAGAAGATGATGATCCTGAAAGTAGTATGGATGAAAGAGTATTTAAAATGTGGATTAACAGTCTCAATATTGAAGATGGATATATAAATAATTTAATTGAAGATATGAGAGATGGAATCAATCTAAATAGATTATTAGAAAAATTAAAGCCATAAACTATTAATTGGAAAAATGTTAAGATTCCAGCTAAATCTAGAATCATTAAAGTCCAAAATGCTAACTATTCATTAGAATAAGCTAAATAATTTAATATCAAAATTGTTAATGTTGGAGGAGTTGATTTTGTTGATGGAAAAAAGAAACTTATATTAGGTGTGATCTGGTAATTGTTTAGATTAGATGTTCTTAAAGTATTTTTATTCCTTATAAATTAATAGACTATGGGTGATTAAAAAGATGAATAAATCTTAGAGGCAGCCAATAAGAAAGTCCCAGAAGCTGATAGATTAGCTTCATTTAAAGACCCTAAAGCTAGAACTAGTCATTTCTTCTTTAGAATTTTGAATTCTATTGAACCAAGAGCTATTGATTGGGACTTTGTTTAAAAAGGTATTTCATTAATATTATTATTTAAGGTGAAACCCCAGAAGAAATTGAAAGTAATGCTAAATATGTAATTTCTGTTGCAAGAAGATTGGGTGCTACAGTATTTTTAATTTGGGAATAAATAAGAGATGTATATTATTTCTTTTAAATTTTCTTAGGGTAAAGTAAAAATGTTAGCAGTTTTCACTGCATCATTGTTACATTTTGCAGAAGATTATAAAGCAGCTAAACTTGGACATGCAGAATGAAGAATAAATAATATTAAACAAATCAAATATATTCATTTATAAAACTCTTTTTATATCCATCTTATATTTAAATTTTCTACTTTGTAGCGTTTTTAAATTATTCAATATTGTTTTTATATCTTATTCATTTACATTATTATTTCTTATCTAATTAAGAAATTAATTTTTTAATTTAATTTTATTTCTTTTTAATTTCCATTTAAATTTATCTTTATTTATTAATAAATATATGCTTAAAAATAACAAATCATTACAAATAACAAATAAGTCTTAATAACCTTAATAACCTTAATAAAATAAAAAAAAATTAAAAAAACAATACAGTTAATTATACGATGCAAATGCTATAATCAACTTAAAAACTAAAGGTAGTAGATTTGTCTTATCAAAACTTTATCCTTAGTATTTTTTAAGGAATAATTCATTAATTATTGAATATATTAGCGATCAAGATCTGTAAATATTTTTAGAAGATCTTAATAAAACTATCTTAAACGCTTGGCCATCTTAAAAACTAATTACACTTGCATACATGTTGATTCCTGTTAGTTGTGGATTCTCATTACTTTGCCCTTTTTTGAGTTTTGAAAAAGCTGAAAAACAGGTTTAATTAAAACTAGAAGAATATAATATGAAATGGGAAAATAAAGGAATAAGATTGCATTGGGATGATGATGACATTTAAATTTAATTATTTAATCGACAAAATAAAGGGGAGGATGATAATAATCATATAGATATTATAGTTGAATGAAATAGTTATTATTAAAAATTATATAATGGAATTTGATTTTTAAAGTCGACCGTCATCAGTAATATTTATGGAAATTTAGGCATTTAATTTAAAAGGTCGTCCTGATAGTGCAAAATCACGCTTACCTTCATAATTATAAAATACTTATGGAGGAGGCACAAAAAAGTTACCAAATGTAAGACCACATTCTGCTATAGTTACAAAGAATTCGAAACTGTAAATAAATTAAACTATTTTTAGTGGAAAGAAAAGAACTGATGATGAAGTAATTTTAGAAGAATAAGATTATGATAATTTCGATAAACAAGGAATAGAGTAATTATAATTGTTAAAAATAAAGTATAAATGCAATATTGTTAAATCCACCTTCGTTAGTTGGAGATAAAAAATTACCAAAGAATATAAAAAAAGAAAAAGAAACACTTTATGAAGAATAGATTGAATTAAAACAGTAAATAAATAGGATAAAGGAAGAGAATATAAGATTGAAAACTAAAAATGGTTAACTTTAAAAGGAGAATTCAAAATTAGAAAAACTTCTTGAAAATTTGGATAGTTATATACAAACAGGTTCAGGACATCAACCGTTAGGAGATCATATTTTAATGAATAATCTTAAAAAGACTTTGAAAGAGGTTAAATCATAATTGACAGAAAAGGAGGCAGAATTATAAATTTTAAAGAAACATATAAAAGTAACAAAAGTATCAGAGATTGAAGCAGAATTAAAAAATTACATAGAGGAATCAATAAGATTAAGAAGTTTGTTAGACTAAGCATTGAGAAATTAAGCAGCATAGAAAATGTATAAAAGTATTAGATTTTAGGGCTGTTCAGATGGATAATTTTGAAGAGAAATTTTATGTTTAGATGAAAGTTATTAATTCACTTTAATAAGAAATGGATTAATTTAATGGAATAATAAAATTAAAAGATGAAGAATTATTTAATGCATAAGTTAAATGTGAATAATTTGATATGCTAAAAACAAGAGCAGAAGAATAATCTGAATAGTTAAAATAATAATTATAAGAATATAACGATAAATGTGAAATATTATAATAAGAGATATAAAATTTAAAGACTATAAATAATAATTTAATAATAAAAGCAACTAAAACTCATAATGATGATTTACATATAAGAGAATTAGAATAAAATATTATGGAACTTAAATTAAATATTGATGAAAGGAATGAAAATATAAAATAATTAGAAAAGTAAATATAAGATATGAAAAATTATGAATAAGAGAATTTTAAATAATAAGAAAAAGAAAGAAAATAGTTAGAAAATGATATGGAATATTATAAAAATTAATTTGAATTAGTAGATGAAAAATACAAAAATTTATTACTTTAAGTAGCTTAGTAAGATTTTTAGGAGGAATATTAATAATAACCAAAATCTGATAGAAAGAGTGCAAGAACATCAACAGTGAAATTGGCAACAATGGGTACAATGGCAGTTATACCAAGTTTTGAAAAAGATTCAAAGCCTCCACTTTCTTAAATACCTATAAATTAAGCATAAAATCACAATTAAAGTAGTCAATTAGGATAGATATAAGAAGAGAAGTCATTATAAAAATAGAGACCATAAAGTGCTGGTCTAAGAAGGAGAAGAACAGTGAAATAAGAAGATATAAAGGATTTAGGTTTAGAATTGAATATGAGATTTAGATTAAGGAAATTAAAATTAGAAGAAGTTGTTGAAAATGATCTCTTTGATTCTTAGATAAGATAAAAAGGAAAGATTTCTATAAAAGATATTGCCTTAAAATTAAGTGATAGACCTTTTGAATTAAAAGATGTAGAGAAGATGTACTTATTAGCTAGATATATGATTGAAGATAATACATAAGATTGGATAGAATATGACGAGGAAGCTACTTGTTAATTGTAAATAGTTAGAAGCATTTTTAAATAAATAGTAGGCAAATGTAGAATATTTACTGAAGATGAAGAGAGATAATATAGTAATGAAATTAGTTCATAAATTATGAAATTCAAAAAATCAATCTTATCTTATCTACCTACATTTAATTAACCTTAATTAACAAGAGATTAATTAACTAAAGCATTTAATTATATTGGAATAACTCTTAGTAGTGAAGCATTTGATTATTTCTTTTTAAGATTATTTGATTTGTAAGGAGAATCAGATGTTCGTAAATTTGACTATAAATTAGTAATCGAAGAATGGGGAAAGGAAGATAAAGAAAAAGAATAAAATAGTAAAAATAATTATAATAATTTTATAGAGAAATAAAAATAACAAGATAGAAGAGATACAAAGTTAAATACAAACTTTTCTTATGGATAAAAGTTTAATATAGAAAAATGATTGGGATTAAAGGTGTTTCTATAGAAATATATCCAATATTATTATTATTTAATCATCACTCTTATTAAATTTAGGTATTTGCATTAAATGTTTCTAATTTTTAAATATATTCTTTTAATTCTTAAGCATTAAGATGAATAAATTTTTAATTTTTACCCAAAATTCCAACTTCTACATTTTTTTCATTTAATCTATATCTTAAATATGTATAATTACTCTTCATCTTCCATGATAGCTTTTTTAAGAGCACTTAATCCATGTAAAATTAACTATTCTAAAGTACTTTTTTCAAATAAGTGGAACCAACTTTCAAAATAAGTTCTAGCAGCTTATGATCTAGAACCAATAGCTTAACATTTATATTCATAATAATTTCCAGAAGGACAAGTTTCAAATAAATGTACACCATTAGGATCGATTCCTGCAACTAATAATCCTACACCATAAGGTCTCTTTGCTCCACTCTAAGTTTTATGTTAAGATTCTATGATTTATTATATTTTATAATACTTTCTGCAACTTTAAATACTAATCTTCCAACTGGATGATGAGATTCGTATGTATATTTATATTCCAAACATTCTGTTCTCATATATTTACATAACACACCTATATATTAAATATTAATATTACGAGCATCAGCAGTCAATCCAGCTATAGCTATAGCCATATGATCATCTATTTTAAATTACTTTTCTTAATAACCAGCTAATTCAGATGGTTATCTTTTCAGACTGCATAATACTACATTTTCATTTGATTTTAGTCCTAAACAAATACTTCCCTATTTCACAGCTTCCATTGCATATTCCACTTAAAATAATTTTCCTTGTGGAGACCATGTTACACAATCTGTATCATAAAGATGTTTTAGCATTAATATATTTAAATAATTATTATCACATTGGGATTATACAATTATACTGCAGTTAATTTCATTATTCTTGTTATTCTTTCTTCTTATTACAATGTTAAGTCATTAAATAATATGAAAAAAATTCAATAGGATTTTTGGGTCTCTCCCTTGCTAATGCCTTTAAAGCATCTTCACCTTTTATTAATAATAATCTACCATGAAGTTAATCAATAACTGCTTTCTCTAAATATTAACGAGTTGGTAAAGCCTAATCTGGAATTGATGGAATCTAACTTAGAGCAGTTTATTCAGCCAATTATTGTTCTGCTAAATCATCTAAATCATGTTCTTGTGACATATCACTTTATTATTTATATAATTTATTAATAAATCAAAAATCTATTCTAATATTTATTTACATCGTTCTCTACTAGAGTTCACTATTTATATATTATCCAATATTCTCATTTAAACTCCAAGTTAAAATAATCTTTTTCTCTTCTCTTTAATTACAAAATTAAATTATTAAATGTAAGTTACTAACGACGAATATATACTCCCAAATCTACTTCAAGGAATCACTATTAGAAACCAAGTATTTTATTTAAACTATTCAGGAAATCTCAAATCTATCATAAACATTAGATAGATTACATTTTATTAAAGGATTGCATGAAGAAGATAATCTAAGATTGAGAGCTATAATTACTGATATGTAATATAATTTTGAAGCTGTCGTTGCATAAAAGTATTCTTTTTCATAAAATTATTAGAAATATCGAAATTTCTAGGCTGAGTGGAAGAGTGAAATATTTAGAAGAAGAACTTTATCATTTAAATAGATTACCTCAAAATAAATATTAAATTACTAATAAGGATGATTTTGATCCATCCAAACTTAGAGAGTTAGAAAGAGATATTAAATTAAAGGATTAATAAATTTAAGATATCACTAATGAACTCCAATAACTAAAGGCATAAATTGCAAATAGAATTTAAGAAGCTACTAATTAAGAAAGGAAAAAAGTATAAAATGAATAAAAGGAAATGAACTTACCTTTTTTAGTTGAGAATGATAATTTGAAAAAAGCAAATTCAGATTTGAATCGTTAAGTTAAAAATATGAATGATGAAATGAATAAATTAANTGGAGACCATGTTACACAATCTGTATCATAAAGATGTTTTAGCATTAATATATTTAAATAATTATTATCACATTGGGATTATACAATTATACTGCAGTTAATTTCATTATTCTTGTTATTCTTTCTTCTTATTACAATGTTAAGTCATTAAATAATATGAAAAAAATTCAATAGGATTTTTGGGTCTCTCCCTTGCTAATGCCTTTAAAGCATCTTCACCTTTTATTAATAATAATCTACCATGAAGTTAATCAATAACTGCTTTCTCTAAATATTAACGAGTTGGTAAAGCCTAATCTGGAATTGATGGAATCTAACTTAGAGCAGTTTATTCAGCCAATTATTGTTCTGCTAAATCATCTAAATCATGTTCTTGTGACATATCACTTTATTATTTATATAATTTATTAATAAATCAAAAATCTATTCTAATATTTATTTACATCGTTCTCTACTAGAGTTCACTATTTATATATTATCCAATATTCTCATTTAAACTCCAAGTTAAAATAATCTTTTTCTCTTCTCTTTAATTACAAAATTAAATTATTAAATGTAAGTTACTAACGACGAATATATACTCCCAAATCTACTTCAAGGAATCACTATTAGAAACCAAGTATTTTATTTAAACTATTCAGGAAATCTCAAATCTATCATAAACATTAGATAGATTACATTTTATTAAAGGATTGCATGAAGAAGATAATCTAAGATTGAGAGCTATAATTACTGATATGTAATATAATTTTGAAGCTGTCGTTGCATAAAAGTATTCTTTTTCATAAAATTATTAGAAATATCGAAATTTCTAGGCTGAGTGGAAGAGTGAAATATTTAGAAGAAGAACTTTATCATTTAAATAGATTACCTCAAAATAAATATTAAATTACTAATAAGGATGATTTTGATCCATCCAAACTTAGAGAGTTAGAAAGAGATATTAAATTAAAGGATTAATAAATTTAAGATATCACTAATGAACTCCAATAACTAAAGGCATAAATTGCAAATAGAATTTAAGAAGCTACTAATTAAGAAAGGAAAAAAGTATAAAATGAATAAAAGGAAATGAACTTACCTTTTTTAGTTGAGAATGATAATTTGAAAAAAGCAAATTCAGATTTGAATCGTTAAGTTAAAAATATGAATGATGAAATGAATAAATTAAAATCTGAATTAAGTGATGCAAATGCTGAATTAGCGATAAGAGAACGAAAATTGAGAGAATATTTATTAGTTGATAAAATGCGTGCAGAAAAAGATGAAGAAATGAAATAAAATTTAAAACCTGTCTATGTTAAAATCTCAGAAGATAAAAATTTATTAGATGGAATTTTAGCATTAATGCATTATATGAGGGAATCTGTAACAGATATAATTTTTGAAATATTTGTTCGATCAGCTAATCAAGCTTTTAACAGAAAACAAAGTTCTGCTATTCTATTTTCTATAAATACAAAAGAACTAAAAAATAGGAATGTTCGAGGATTTTTAATTGTATTATATTTATATAGAAAGTAATTAATATTCATTAAAAGTTAGAATGAAGAAATTCATTAAAATATATTTTCCTTATTATGGAAAATTGATTTTAAATGATCATATGGCAAGAATAGCACTTGGAGAAGATGAATATAATTTATCTGAAAGAAGAGACGGAACTAATTTATGGTTAGAAGAATGTTTAGGTAAATTATCACTTTAAAAACGAAAAAGCGATAAGAATAATGAAGAAGATTCTGAATACTAACACTTATTTAGACTTCTTTCATTAAGATATAGATGTAAATATCCTATGAAAGGAAATGATGAAATGAGAGTGGATTTAGATATAAGAGTAAGATTAGAAAACAAAATATGCTCTTCACTATTAAAAATATTTATTGATTGATATAAATTTTAATGATCATAATCTTTATTTCTTGATAACTTTTTCTCTCTAAGGTTTTTCATCAATTTCACTAGTCTAACTAATTTAACTTTTATCATTTGCATTTAATAGAATTTAAAAAGATTATTGGCTAGTATTAAGAATCGGAGTTTTCAATCTTAATTATTTATTGCTACCTAAAGCTATTGTTTAATCTCCTAAAACCATAGTTTGATCTTGAATGACTGATTGAGATGCATTTCCTAATTCTTCAGGAGGTTTCTTAGTAACGTCATTTTTTGGTTTAAATTCTAGTGGTAATCCTATAAAGGCATTTCCTCTCTCTACTTTTTCATCATAATCATAAAATTAATCATCTTAATTTTTATTTTTTTTGTTTGCTTACTTTTCATCACTTTAAGCTTCATCTTCATTATTAATATCATATTCCTATTCTTATTCAGAATCTGAATCATTATCCGATTCATTATAATTTTTTAATTTTTCATTAAATTTATCTTTATTAAATTTAATTTATTTTGTAAATCCCATTTTCCATTCTTTATCTTCTATTTTACCAACAAATTCCATGAACTCTCTAATAAATTGTTCAACAAATCTTTATTCACCAAAGAACATTTCGGAGTCCATACAATATAATTAAATTATAGTTTTACAAGTAATATCATATGATCCTTAAAATATATTTGAGAAGAACATTCCACAAATGAATACATACAAAGTTGGAATTATTGGAGATTCAATTCCTGATGTTGGTTTTCCCATAAATGTAGTTTCATAAAAATTTATGTAAATATATATAGGAATAGAGGCCATAAAAGCTGTTGCCATTCTAATTTGAAATACAATTAGAGTTTGAAGGAAATCCAAATCTTTAATTTTATCAGAGTTTCTAAAAATTAGAAAATAAGCTTTCTTAGCACTTTAGTAATATGGTTCAGACCAAATAGCTACTTAAACAACTGAATGTTTAGATATATATCTTAGAAATACTTCAAAAGCATGAATGCATGCCATACAACTTGCTTAAGTATATCTGACACAACTACTTGTTTATGGAAGAAATCTCATTATACTCTATATGAATAATACAAAAATTATTTACCCTAGAGTAATCCATAATTGTTTATGGTATTGTAAGAAACATTAAATTAAAAGCAATAAATACGCAAGTACCAAAATGATAACGAAATAATGTTTTAAAAGAAAAACAATAAGGAATTCTAACAGTATCCTTTTATTTTGTAAAAAACCAAACTGATAATGCATAACTAGTGAACATATCGTTCATTGTTAAAATTAAAGTCAAAGTAAAAATTACTGTAAAACCTACATAGACTAAACCAAATTGTATGTAATCATTATATAATATCTTATAGAGCAAATGTCCATCAATATCTATTTTTATATTATTATTAAATTATACATTTAGCTCTGTTTAATTCTATAGTTCCTACTGTCATGGCAAAACAGACTAAAATGAAGGCCAAACAACATACAATTAATCCGATAAAAGCTACAATAAATGGAAATGATCTAATCTGACTTAAAACTTGAATAATATGTTGAGCAGTTTTTAATAAAGAAATACCTCTTTAAATTCTTTTAAATAGAAATATAGTAACAAATAAGTAAATACCACCTAATCCTAAAAATATAATTGCCAAATATTCATAGATGGTAACTATTTATCCACCACATGTAACTGGACTCATACCATCAATACATCTAAAATTGTATGCCTAAATTTATTAGATAATTTACTCTGATTGATTCAAGATAGAATAACCATGCATAAATAATTAAACCAGCTTCAGCAAATATAATAGCTCCCCATATCAATCCAGTAACTATTTTTTCAAATTTAGCCAGAACTGTAAATAAATAACTTAAAATTATTGACAAACCAAAGCCACATAAAGTAATATCCCAACATTACCATAAATCTGATCCTATTCTTCTCATTGTATTTCTTAAAGATCCTAATTCTTCAAATACAAGTTCTCTACTTTTTGGCTCTTTTGGTACACAATAATAACCCATTTAATCTGCTTGCATTTGAATATAACAAAATGATGTTATTGTCATATGATCTGTATCATACATACAAGTCTCTCTCCCAGTTGAAGGAGGACATTATCTAATACACCATGTAACATTTATATCAATTACTGGACCAGCATAATATAAAAATGGTTTATTTTTTAAGTTTCCTATACCACATATCTCCCCTCTAAAATCCATTCCATGAGCCAATCTATCTGGATCTCCACCTACGATGACAAAATATGAATAAACTCCGTACAACACATATACTATTAGAAATAAACCTATCCAAGCTTTATCAGTTGCCTTTCGATCAACTAATCAGTATATTAAACTTACTTACCAACTGGACCTTTAAATCCTTAAGGTGGTACAAAAGGTAGATTTAATTCATCATTACGATCGATTTCTTCATATTTCTCCAATCTTGAGAACTTATCCTCAATACGAAAAAAAGTAGTTTTCTTTTCTGGAACAGAACTATTATTATTTAAATTGTTAGTAGAAGCCACAGTTATTTTAGAAGAATTAACAATTAACTTTGGAACTTCTAGGGCCTCTTTATTAGTTTTTAAGGTCTAGTCAAGCTCAGTAGTATTAAGCATAAATTAATTATATATATAAAATTATAAATAACATCAAATTATTCTTAGTTTGATTTGGAAACTAATACAGAAGAAGTAATAATAAGCATAAAATTAAAGAAAAGTAATTTGTAATTTCAAATAAAAATAAATATGCAAATTAAAACTTAGAATAAACAAATTTTATGAAAATAGTCTCGAAAAATGAGATTAGCATCAAAAACAAGTAAATTATTTAGCTATTTCGTAAAAATAATTACTGTATGCAATCAAATGTTTTAATAAAAAAACTATAACAATTCATTATCTATAAGAGATTTAAATATCATTGATAATCCTTATTAAATACATTTTTTAGAATATTTTATTTTATAATTTATCACAATTTTCAAATATAATGTTAAGAAATATATTAAATTTTATAAAAAAAATCATATATTTATTAGATTTCCAATTTAACATAAGTTTATTAAATAAGTATCTTTAAAGAAATATTATGAAAATTTTCTAGACATTCTTAAAATAGTTAGATTCTTCTTATAATTTTCAATATAAGTAAATCATATTGATAGGATATTTTTTAATAAATAAAATATTTTACTTATTACTTTAAATCAATTTACTTCTCAAAATGATGAATTAACTTTAAATAAAAAGAAATTAGTCTCAAAAAAGCAAAACTCAACCTATTTTAAAATGTAAAAATTCTCGTGAAAAAAAAAATAGAAAGGATAGAAGTGGTAATGATATAATTAGTGGCGGGAATTATAAAATAAGTTTTAAAGATAGTTTCATTATATAGAAAACAAATTCTTAAGCCCCTTAGAATGTAATTGAAGATTATTCAGATTCTTAATTGTCTGATTATTCAGAATCACAATAATCATAAATTAAAAGACAAAAGTAAATCTATTTAGCTAATTAAACTCCTAAAACCATTAAGAAAATGAAATAAACAAATTGTGACTTAAAAATAGAAATTGAGATGAATTAGGAATTTCCAAAAACAATTTCCGTTTAAAAATCAAAAAACTTTACCAAAACAACTTAGAAATCTCTTTGCTGTATAATCTTTTGATTTTTAAATAATGTTATAAAAAAATGATTCATATTCATGATAATTAATATACACTAAAATTCTGTTTTGGCAAACTATAATTTAAATTATAATTAATAAAAATTAAAATATATAATTACATTTCAAATATTTATTAGGTTAAGAAAATTAGGTATATATATTATGAAATAATTTTTATTTGCAGCAATAGTCCAAAATATCTATTTAAATTATAAAGAACGGTAAAATTGCGAGTCATAAAATAAATTACTGTCTAAATTAATAATTAGACTTAAATTTAGAATAAACAATAATATTTTTTTTGTAAATAAGAATTAGATTTTTAGAGAATTAAATATGAAATGCAAAAATAAAAAAAATAAAGCTTAGAAAAATTTTTGTTTTTTAAAAAACCAGAAATATAGTATCAATAACTATTTTAACTTTTTAAACTTAAATCAAAAACATTTATAATAAATTAGAATGCAAAAAATTAGAAATAAAGATAGATTTAATATTTTATGAAATAACATAAAAAATATAGTCAATAGTACTTTTAATCACTCATATAATTTGAAATTTATTGTAGATGTTGTCTAGTGATATTTTTTTAATCCCAAAGTAATTTCCGATTAATCAATTCTTAACTGTTTAAAATGCCTTATTCTTTTTAGTCAATTAATTCTTCTTGTTGTTTGCAATTTTGAACTTAAATTCTATTATAACCGTTTATAGTTACCGAATTTAATTATCAAAATCCTTTAATCCTTAAATTTACTGAGTTAACCTAAATTCTAAATCTCTAATGTGATTTTCATGATACAATAAAGTTTCGACTGTTTAATTCATCTTAGTAATTTATTGGATGTAAAATTCTAAATAATTAGAGATGACAGATACATTCCTTTTTATTCAACTCTTCTAAATTTAATTTAAGACGTTCATTAAATTAAGTATAATAATTGATTTATTCTTTTAAGAGTGATTCTTTTTCAAAAAGGGTTTATTCTCTAATTTTGAGTTATTATTCTCTTGTATTTAATTGATCATTTTTTTCTTAGATTTATTTTTATTATTCATTCAAAGATTATTCTTTATCCTTAAATTTATCAACAAAAGAATTTTGATTTTCTTTAATCTATAATTCTTATTGCTTAATTTATTTGATTTTTCTTTTGAGAAGTTCAGCCATATACTTTACTTCATTCTCTCCCTACCTTAGTTTCTATTTAAAAAAATCAAAGATACCTCAGCTCTTAATTCTAAATCTAAATGATCAGAATGTAATTGATTTTTCTTCATATCAATTTCTTCACACTTTTATTTATATTTTTCTTTTGTTCTTATTAATTCATAATCAGAATTGAAAATAGAGGATGAAAATTCATTGTCCCCACAATATTATGTTGCATATCTAATAGGTTTTTAAGAAGCTATTGAATAGTGTTATAAAGTTTTTCTCGAAAAGCTAAGTTAATCTCGAGCAGAAATCATTCTTGATTAACAGATAATATAATTAAAATGAAATTAAATTGCATAAAATTCATTAAAGATAATAGAATAATATAAAAAGTATTTATAATGTTAAAATCTAATAGAACATGTAAAAAAGAGAGGATATTTTGAAAGTTTGAATAGTGATTTTATTAAAATAGTATAATTAAAAAAGTTATAAAGTTAATAATAAAATTCTTAAAATTTTTATTTAGGAGGATGAATAATTTTAAATAAAAAGTGACATATTACTATGATGAAGAATTCGGGACATTTAATTATTCAACAACACATCCAATGAAACCATTAAGAGTGGCTATAACTGATGATTTGGTTGGACACTATGGATTAAAATAATATATGAATTGTATTGTAAAAGATTTAAAATTAAATTCTTAGGATTAAACATTTGTATAGACATATATTAAAAGAGTAGATGAAGATGTATTAACTTAATTTCATTCATATGAATATATAGATTTAATTAAGGTAATAACACCTGACAATAAATGTCAATATGAAGATCAACTTTATAGATGTAAATTAGAATTGAAATTTTAGTTAATTTTATGGAGGATTGTCCAGTTTTAGATAGATTGTTTGATTTTTGTTTGTGTTAAACTTCGGGATCAGTTGGAGCAGCATGTGTAATAGCAGATTAAAAAAGCAATATTGCAATTAATTGGAGTGGAGGATTACATCATGCAAAATAGAGTGAAGCAAGTGGATTTTGTTATGTAAATGATTGTGTACTTGGAATATTGGAATTATTAAAAACATATTAACGTGTACTTTATGTAGATATTGATATTCATCATGGAGATGGAGTAGAGGAAGCATTCTATTTAACTGATCGAGTTATGACATGCTCTTTTCATAAATTTAAAGAATATTTTCCAGGAACTGGACATATTGATGATATTGGACATGATAAAGGAAAATATTATGCAGTTAATTTTCCATTAAATGAAGGTTTAAATGATGATTCAATACAATTTATTTTTAAACCAGTCATTGACAAGATTATGGAAAATTTCAGACCTGATGTTGTTATGTTATAAGGAGGTACTGATAGTTTAAGTGGTGATAGATTAGGATGTTTCAATTTAAGCATTAAAGGTAAATATAAAATTTCATTATAGGACATGGTACTTGCATAGAATATTTAAAGAAATTCAATGTTCCTATTATAATGGTTGGTGGTGGAGGTTATACACTTAGAAATGTACCAAGATGTTGGACATATGAAACTTCTCTTGCTTTGAATGTACCAATTTAAGATAATATTCCTGACGAATCTGATTATAAAATCTATTTTGGACCAGAATATAAATTACATTTACCTATTTCGAATATGGAAGAATAAAATTCAAAAGATTATTTAGAAAAAAATATGTATATTATATAATTTATTTTTAAGTGTTTAAATTTTAGACAATCTTAAATAAATAAATCCTGGTTGTGCTTAAATTGACCATTACGCTATTGGAAAAGAAAGTCGAAAGAAAGTTGATTATTAAGAATTGTTCTCTGAATATCAGGATAATAAGGAAGAAATGCAAATAGAATAAAATTAAGATCAATAAGAATGAATATATAATATTAATCTGAAGCATAATTATAATGTAATCTTCTGTTTAATGAATAATTAAAATTATCATTTCTTTTTAATAAAAGGTCCTTTCTTTGATTATTATTATTATTATTGTTATTATTATTATTGAGGCTTTTATTATTATTATTCAACTTTTGGTGGGGCTTATTCTTAAGCTTATTTTGGTGGTTCATTTAATTATGGTTTTTCTTAAGCTTATGCAATTTTTTATCTTGCAATTTATTCAGTTTTATCTAAACCAAGTTTTACTAATTCTTATTCATCAGCAGGAAGTACCTAGAATATAAAAAGATTGAAAATACATTTTATAAACCAGCATGATTAGCTAATTTTTAAGCTTTTGGTACAATATTAGATGAAAAATCTTAGAAATCCAAAACATAATTTTAAATTAAACCAAGACTATCATTCCAAGCTCTTTTAGGGAATTTCTAAAATCCTTCTTATTAGAATAATCTAGCAGAATGATTAACAAAAATTTTGCTGAAAGCTAAAGGTGAAGCATTATATAATTCTTCTACTAATTCAATTTCAGCTGATGCATCTCCTTCAAAATAATCTTTGTATTAAAGAACTAAATAAATTATATAATAATAATAATATTACATCCTTCTTTAGCTGCAAGATTATAATAATTTTTTTCAGCCTCTAAAAGTGCAAATTCATTTTCAGAATTGACAGCAGTTTATAGATTCTTGAATACTGCAATATATTCAGGATCTTTAGTCATTCTTGCTAAATGTCTTTCAATTAATCTTTTTTCTCTAACTTAATAATCTTTAGTGCAATCAAATGCTAATCTGTATTTAAATCTCCATAATTTCTTTTCAAGTAATGAAGTTTAATCTTCTTCTGGATTATGAGTATAAGCTTCTTAGAAATCAAATCTAAGTGGACTATATTTTGGATCAACTTATGCAACAGCTTCATCAATTCTTTATTCAACTTATTCATCATCTTTATATAATTCTTAATCAGTTTCAAAGTAATCATTATATAATTATTCTTCTTCAGTAAGACCTCCATAGAAATAAGTATAATTGTTTTCCCATCTTTCTTTTTATCTTAATCTCATTCTTCTTTCTCTTCTGGCATGGTTTGCAAAATCAAGATATTCTCTCACATGAAATCTATTAACTTTTCTTTCTAATCTTTCTTAGATAGCTAAAACTTTTTCTGCTTCAATAACAGCTGCATAAGTAGCCTTTTACATAGGTAATTTATATTTAGGATTTCTGTATACTCTTTCTTCATTATAACCTGCTTATTTTAATTGTTAATCAATATATTTTAATTTATCTTCACCATGTTAGAATCTCCACATTCTATAAGCTGGATCAACAAGTAATCTATCATGTACATCGTTATCCATTGTTACCATAATGTTTTATTCATATAATGCACTTTCAAACAATGAAGCTTCTCTATGAGTCCACATTTTGAACATATTAATAGATTAAACATTTTCATTCTAAATTAATTAATTAAGTAAATTACATCCAATTCAAAAATATCAATAGGATGGAATGAATCTCTATAATAGGACATTTCTTCATCTTCTTATTATCTAAGTCTAACCAATTTGAAAACTTATCCACACATTGGGCATCTTTATAATGGACCCTCTCTAAGCATGAATAAATGAATTTCATGTTATTCATAATCGTCTTCATTTTATAAACCAGTGCATCCAACATATCTAAATGGTGTATCTGCTGTGAAAATTACACAAGGATTGTCAACTGTACCAAAATTGACAGTTTAGATGTTATCTAAGTTATTATACACTTATAAATGGAATGGATTTCCAGAATAAGCAGCATAATATTCATGAAGCACTTCATCAAAAGCCTAATAAGTCAAGTTAGGTGTCATTGAACTGTGAACACCATCCTATCTAACATATGACCTTATATGTCTTATTGGAGCTGTGATCTTTTATTTAAACTATTAATATTACCACGCTTTTCAATGTTTTGAATGTATCTAATACATTGAAAGTTGAAGAGAATGACTTCTTGCTTACTATTCTCAGCATATTTAAATCTTTATTTTATTAATAAATATATCATAATATCATATTTTAAATAGATATAAAAACAATCATTCTATCTTACTAAAATTGTTTAATATAAATTTATTTATATGATCTTGACCTTCTACTTAAGTTATATCTATATCAATATTTTTAATTATTATTATAAAATTATTTTATGTCATTTCCTATAATATATTATAGATATGTGATTCACAAAAATCATTAATTCATTTCATTCTTTATGATATAGACTTAATAAATTAGAACTCTATCAACATAGCATTTATTAAATTTAAGTTATTTGAGAATAGATTAAGTACCAGACAAATAATCTCCAATAATTTTTCAATAAATTCCAAAAGATATCATTTCATAAAATAATACTATTTATTCTTCTAAATTTAAATTCTAAAAAATAGACATAATTTGATGTTTATAGGTTATTAAAACAATAAAGAGATTTTCTTAATAATAATAATAAATTTGATATATTGATTTCCTTTAGAATAAAACAATTTAAAATTCAATATTTTTTCTACTTTGGCACTAAAAATTTACCTTTCTTATTTTTTATCTTTAATTTTCCTTGCTCTTTATCCCTTACGAATGTATCATTTGTCAATGGGGAATACTTTTTAGAAATATCTTTTAAGTATGCTTGTTAATTGATATCATTTTAAATTTCATCTAGATTATTTCTGAAATCTAATGATTTTGCCAACTCATATTCTAAAATATATTTCTTAAAATTTACATTTTCTTGACAATCCTTAATTTTAATAGATTTTTTCATAGTCAGTTTCAGTATTTTCAGGTAATTAATCTATCAAATCTAAAATCTCCTCAGAAATCTATCCATCATTCTCCAAAGATTTTAGCATTTCTACAGCTTTATCATTTGAGATTCCATTTTTATGCAAAAGGCTTACAAACTAAAAAAATACCTTAATTTAAAATTTACTTCTTTTTCTAAATTTTGAAATCCAATATCTTTAATTGAAAATGAATCTAAATCATATTTAACAAATGGTTTTTCACTTTTAACAATATATCTTTTTTTAGCTAAGTTATCAATAACAAAGTCATATTTTTCAGATCCAACAGCAACAAAATTATTTAAATCATTAACCATTTATTTAATATCAACTTCATTATCTGTAACTTCAAAAGTTTCTGTTGTAATTCCATGTTTGTCTAATGAAATTAATTTTTATGTATATGATTATTTAGAAAAGTCCTTAATTCTTGCAATCTAATCTTTTGTTATCATGCTCATTAAATGTTTTCTATTTGCCTCTTGTTATCTAATCAAATCACGTGTTTCATCAGTAATATCAAACTCTTTAACATAATTTATTATTTTTTCATTTAAAAATTCATTTCCTTAATCATCCTTAGCAAGAGCCAAGCTTACTTTCAATTAATCTTTATGATTCAAAGGATGAATAGCTATTAAACTTTCATTTTATGAATCTAATCCCAATAACATTTTTTTAATATATTCCAAAAATTCTTCATGTTTCTATAAAGCTAATTTCTTTAAATAAATTGGATTAGTTATTGTGCTACTAAAATAACGTTTGAATTTTTTTTTCTTTAATGCAATTTTTGCCATAGCCTCCTTTGAATCTCTATTTGCTTCTTCTTAAACATATTTACCTTTTTTTTTAATTGCAGAAAATATTTCTCCAATTCTTTTAAATTACATATCAACTGATGCTGCATACATAGCACCTTAACTCATCATTTTAGAAGATTTTGAAATATACTTTTTCATATTAACCTCTTTTTGTTAATAGCTACTTAATACTCTCGTTTATAATAGAGATAATAATGTATCATCTGATTTCTCAACATTTTTCTCTAAATTTCTTGATATAGTATCAGGTAAAAAAATTGTTTAATATTTTTTGACTAATTTATCTGCATATTCTGTTTCTCTTAATTTTAATGATTATGCTCTATCCTTGATAGCATCAACAAAATTTTGATATTATCCATTTTGAATAGATAAATCAAATTTTCTTCCAGGTTTAGCTTCAGGTACTACTGCTACACTATCTTCAAAAGATGCTAAAGACTCAGAAAAACTATTATTCTCAACAAACTTCTTATATTCATCAGTCTTATTTAATTCAGAATAAGCTTTTTATTTTACTTTTTCTTTTTTCTCTTCAAGATTTTTTTAATAAGTATTTTCATTAGTTTAAATTGCCTCAATTGTTTAATCTCTAACTTAAGAAATTTAATTCCTAAATTTTTCTAGTTGTTTAAGATTATAAATTAAATCAATTTAGTACAATTCTAAATCTTCCCAAGATTTCATAGCTCTTAATTTAGGATATGCCAAATTTTCAATTCTAAATTTACCTCCATATTTTTCTTGATTACTATGAGATGTATTTTAAGGATTAAAATTAGGTGTATTCAAAAGAGGTAATGGTAAAACAGCTAAATCTTAAGATCCTTCAGCATTAATAGCATATAATGCTCTTTAAGCCATAGCTTTACTTGAAAATGTACAAACACAATAGCCTCTATTTTTATAAGATTTAGCATATAATTAATATTGAAGATTTTCCTTTGGAGATTCTACATTAATTTAAGGAATCCATAATTTCTTATAATCTTCTTTGATACTAGTTGGAACCTTAAGACATTTTATAGTTTTTTGATTGAGTAATCTGAAAAGTCTAAATTAATCTTATTTTTAGTCTTTTTATTATTAATACTCAAACAAAGTCAACTCAAGATTTGGATCATAATATTCAGGGACTAAGATTTACAATATGAATTTTTACAATTTTTATAAAGCTATTCAAATTGTTCAAAATTAGGATAGAATTCAATATCTGTTTTTCCTGTTTATACATTAAGAATTTCTAATTTACATGGTTCAGTTAAGGTGTGAATGATATCTTCATATAGGGGAAGATCAGGGTTTTCAATCTCCAAAGGAACTACAGCATTTAAGACTCTTCCATATTATCCAACAGTGTGTAATACATCTTAGAGTGAAAGAGTTTTATTAATGTTTGTAATTACAATTGTTCTATTAAATGGAGATTCTTCTCCTGTATTATGAAGAGATTTGCATTCTTATAAAATTCCATTGAATTTTGAAAGATGTAATTATGATTTATATTATTCAGCCTAATTTTAAAAAGTTAGAGTAGCATAAGCATTTATATTAAGGGAACAAGTGTGAAGTTCAACTTAAACTTATTATTAAGTTTGAGAATAAACATAATCCTAGATTTGTTAGATAGTGGCATTAATAGGAATATTAATTAACAATAATTGATTTTCTGTTAGATTGTCGCAAGTAAGTTAAGGTTTGTATGATTACATGGCATCAACAGTAAATATATCATCCTCTTCAATTTCTTTTAAAGCAAACTTTTAATGCTTTAAAGATTCTGTTTCTCTAATGTATTAGAGTTAATCAAAAGTTGGAAATATCCTATCAGTTTACTTAAACTCTGGATGCTCAGGTGAAAGTATTTAAATTTCTGAAGGCTCTTATTGATGAGAAATATAGTCTAATTTAATTGATGCTTGTTAGTATTTCTCATAATTAGGGCCTAGAAGTTATTATATATTAGGTTTAGGTAGTTGGGATTTAAGCAAGCTAATTTGATGATTGTAGTCTAGAAGATCAACTATTGGCCACTTGGAGAAGTGATACACTCTCTTAAATTTAAGCATAAATTATTTGTGGATATATAACTCAAATATTAAACTTGAATAACTTGACAGACAAATCTGAACTAGCTGTGCAAAGGATTCCATTGTAATACTTTATTTTGTATATACGATCATTATGAACAGGAATCTCTGATATCACTTTCCCTAAAATAGGGTTAATGAATTAGAGATATCCTTATTCATCTCCTCCCACAATCAGTTCATCATTAATATATTATAATGACTCTAATTCTGCTCTTTCTAGTTGCTAAATATTAGAACAAATAATTTTACAATAAAGCAAATAAATTAAAGGTTTATATCCCAGATGTTGACTTTACGATCATCTCCACATGAATAAATATAAGAATTTATTAAGATAGAATTTACACATCCAGAATGTTTTTTTTACTTATTTTCAATTTTCATATGATTGAGTGACCATTTGATTAATTAACCACCTTCATCCCCTGAAACTATTAAGTCCTTTTTACTGGCTAAGGTATATACACAATTTTCATGTCCTTGTAATACTAAAAGAGCATTCTTTTATGAGGAATCCCATAAACGCAAAGTTCCATCTGTAGAACAAGTAATAAGATAATTGAATTAATCATTATAGACAATTCTAACTACATAAGATTCGTGTCCTTTTAAAGTGTTAACACATTCCCAAAGATTAGATTAAATCCCATTATTTGAATAAGTTTGAATGAATTGAGAAAAGATTTTAATTGTCTTATCATCTGAACAACTAGCAAATTTATTATCAGGAATTAGTGTGAGATCTTATACCCAATTAATATGATCTTTCAAAATTTGTGTACATTAAAAAGTATTTTAATTCCATATCTTAATTGTTTTATCCCTTGATGACGTTGCATAATCACCATTATGAAGTTTAATCACACATCTAACTACGTTTTCATGTCCATTTATAGTAGTTAATAATTAAAAAGAATCTTCTTATTAATGTTCACTGGCTTTGCGAGTTTTGATGTCAAAAAGGTGTTCAGCATCATTCTTTAATTTATCTACTTACTATTTGAGCTTTTCATTGAGAATAAGCAACTTTGTAAAGATATTATCTTCCACATAAGAAATTTATAACTATCCTTCAAAAAATAATTTTGGATTAAGGTAGTAGAGTTTAAGTATTGGGATATGTTGAAAATAATTGTTTTCATTAATATTTATTAAAGTTTGGTAATTTTAGTTGAGTTCATCAATATTTATTTTTTCAATCAAATATTATTTAATATCATGTTCTAATTGATTAAATATTTGATTAACCTACTATCTCATCTCTTAGATATTTTTAAACACAATGTCAAACTTATCTTTTTATTTTTCAACCCTACAATCCATTTTAATCTTAGCTTAGACTTCTTTAAATAATTAATAAATTGAGATCTCCTTATGAATTGAATTGTGACTAGAGAGACATGACTAACATAATTTCAATTAGTCACAACCAGCTTTTTAGTTTATACATAAAATTACATTATAGACAAACTTTGATTATATCCTTGTGATGTTATGTACATTATAATTGTTCATTTTCAGTATCAGTGAGGTCTAAATCTTTGAATGAATGCATTTAATTTTATTTAGAATCTATTTTATTATAATTATCATTTGTTTGCAGGTGTGACAAATGTCTTTGATATTCTCAATAAATCACATTCTTTTCTTGTAGTTTCTTATATAATGTTGAAAAATGTATTTTCCATAATCAAATCTGTCAGCTCTATAAACTCATCCTCTAAAAACATAGTTTTATAGTCTTTATAGTCTCTTTAAATAGACCTAAATTAGATATAATATATTTTACAAATCTTCTTATTTAAGTTCATCTCCTTTTTATTATTATTATTCAGGCTAATAAAGTGTAATTGGTTATTAATCTAATGCTCTTAAGATTTAATCAGTATGTGAATCAGTCAATATTTCTGTAATTATTTAACCTAATAATTATTAAAATGGATGAGCCATAGCATTATGTATTGGTGGTGGTGGTTACTTAAAAGAATTTACTAATTCAACATTCAAACTTGATTTTTTTTTAATTCTTAAAAATAGTGTTTCTTTATCAACTGTTATTGCTTATGAATTTTAACTAACCTAAGAAGTATTAATTTGTTAATTTTTATTTTCCCAACTTATAGTGCATTCACATTCTCCTTCATAAACAGATGGAGTTGATGCAGTTGTTAATGTTAATTTAAGTTCAATAAATGATTATGCTTCTAATTCACCTTAAATGGGTTCAATCAAAAATTCATCACCACAACACAATCCTGGTCTATTATTTGAAAGTGTAAATTATGAAACACCAAAATCAAATGTAAATTTACGATCATTTGATTAATTATATAAAATTATCATTCTATGTGCTGATTTTAAAGGTAATAATTCTCCAAAATCTATTTCTTCCAATGAAAAGAATACTTTTGAACCTATTGGAGATTAATGTGATCTTTATCTAGGAATTTCTTAAGTTTATTTTTAAATCTATTTTTTAGGTTAATTAGCATATCCAGTTCCTTAAATAGCTAATTTAACAGGTTAAATTACTTTAACCATATCAGATACTTCAACCAACAATTCAAAATTATATGATTTTTATTCTAATGGTCTAAATTAACAATACAAATATTATTTTTCATTTGGTAATAATGATCCTTGAGGATTCTAAATATCAAATACATTAAATTAAGATTCTATTATTTCTCCATCTATATCAATTTCTTTTATTATTGTTTTATATTAAACTTTAGAACTTCCTACATTTTAAATTTCTATAGGATATTTAACTGGTTATAATAAACCAACTGGAGTATCAGGTAATTCAAAACTATTTTTTTTGACTGCTAATCTACCTTCTAATGGAGCCAATGTTGTTCCCTTTAAATTGAGCACTAATGGTTTTCCATTCAAAATTTATAAAACTACTCTTAAAAAATGGCTTTCATTTGAAATTGAAATTCCTTTTGATTTAAGTTCTTCATCTAAATTACAAGGTGTATATATTAACTCAATATCTTTAAAACATTAAGGAGGGATTACACCACCTTTAGGCCTAATTTAAAATATATTTTTTTCTAGAATTGCTTTTTCAAATGTATCTTCTTCTGAAGGTTCTCCTGGATCTGCCCATGGTTCTAATTCTATTTAATGATCTGATGGTAATTTAAATTACCACTCTAAATCTGTTCCACCAATATTTTATATTGTTATTACTATTTTTCTTGATTTTACTTAAGGTTTAGATGGTAAATATCCAAAATTCCAATCATAACTTCTTAATCTCTTTTATAATTATTAAGCTTAATCAAATGTTAATTATTCTATTTTTAAAAACTTCTATTCATCTTCATTTAAATCCTTTCCTAATTCTGTATTTATTTAATTTATTTAAAAATTCTCCCACAATGTTGCAACACTTATAGAATCATTTCTTACATCAGCAATCTTTAATAAAGGATAACTTCCTTTTGCTTTTATTTCTAATTTACATTTCTAAGAGATTATTTTCTTATTTTAAAAATTAGGACCTTTTGGAGCTTTAGGATTTTTTTCTGTTGCAAAAACATCTAATATTAAATCAAATTCACACACTTCTATAGGATTGAACATTATTCCTATATCTAATTTTGAATTAGCTGCAATAATTCCATTTTATAAATCTAAAGTAAAAGCTCTATTTATAAGTGATATCATTTTTTGATCAAATTTATCTTTTTCTTTACTTTTAGGTCTTAAAACTAATTCAATATAAAATGTACAAGGTGAATTATTAATTAGTGTTGCATATTTTTTTGTATTGAAATTAACCTTAATTATATTAAAATCAATTTGATCAACATTTAAATGAAGATTTCCATCTGTTCCTTGTCCAAATATTTCAAATTAATATGACAATTCTATAGGTTTTCTTTATTCAAGTGGAAAATCTTAATTTCCAGAACCTGGAATATGATAACCAATAAGATTTTAATTATCTGCTAAAATTTCAGTAGCTGTCATAGGTACTTTAATTTTATATTTTTTATTTCTTTTATAAGGAATGAATTAACAATCTAAATGTAGAACCTCATTTGGTTTTATTTAACCAGAAGAAGGCTCAATGTATAATTCATTTTAATTTTTCTCTGGAACATCAATAGAATAACTCATAGGTACTCTTGATTCATTATGAACAGTTATTTTTTATCTAGAATATACTCCAACAAAAGAAGGAGGAAAGAAAACCTTGCCATCATTTTATAATTTGAGTGAAGGAGTAGAACAATATCCTATAGCCTAAAGAGTAATTTAATTGGAAGATTAATGATTCATATGACATATAAGAGTTTAATTATAAGCCTTGTTTTCTAATGGAACAAATTCAACTAGTAACATTTAAGATGATTTTCCAAAAACCAAACCTTAATTAGGATATACCCTAAAAGTTTTTGTTGGATCAGGACTAAAATTAAAATATATTGGAGTATCTGATTTATTGATAAATTCTACTGTTTAATAGACAGATTCCTCAATTGTACATGGAGGAAAATACAATTTATTTGATGGTCGAAGTTCTATTATTGGAATGTAAGGTTAAGAATTTATGCCAAAAGAATGTCCAACACATCCAATCTAACCACTAAATGTTGGTATCATTTCTTTAGAAGCAAACTCAACCGTATTTTTTTAATTTGTTATTCCTGTTTATGATAATTTCAAATTGGCATTTTATCCAAAAGATTCATTCAGAATTGAACCTTTACTATTTTTTACTTCATCTAATATTTTTTTAGTTAATTTTGGATTATACTTTATTGCAAAAAATTAAATATATTGATAATAGTAATATGATGATTTTGTAGGTCTAAAACTAACCTAGAATCTGCATTTAGAATTTGCTTAAGCTGATTAAGTTTCAGGATATACTGTAAAAACAGGTACTTTTTCACCATTTATTGTTGGATGAGTTTATATAGTCCAAAAAATTGTTAATTTACAATTAAGTCTATTATATAATTCTAAATCTCTAGCGCTACTTTATTGTTAACATTCTACATATCCAAAATCTATAAAATCTTCAGAAAATTTAATTAATCTATTATCAGAAGATGGGGGAAGCATTAATTCTTTAAATAAAACTGTTTAGTTTGGATTTTCTTGCCATTCTCCCTAAAGATTACTTTAATTTTATTAATTAATCTTCATCAAATAAGAATTTTCCATATATCTAAAATCTACTTCACTTAATTTTCCTTGAATCACTCTTCTTCTAAAATTATCAACATGTTATTATAGTAATGGTATTGGTTTTATTAAAAGATCATAACAAGTACCAATCAAATCAACAAATTTAATTTGATTACTTGCTATACAATAAACTCTTTCATAATAATTAATAGTATTTTTTGGAGTAAAAGAGATTATAATTCTATCAAAACTCTTACTTTATATTTATCCCCTAATTTTATTAAATGCAAAAATATTATTCAAATCAGTATAAAACTAATAAGTTGCTGGAAGATCAGAATCATTATGAATTGTTAATAATTTAGTAGCTTGATTACCTATTTTAATTTCTCCAAAATTTATAGATTTTTCACTTAGATATACAGCATGTTCTAATGCTTATCCTACACATTCAAAAGTTAATTCATTTCCTCCTTAACAAATAACTTTAAATCTAATTACAGAAACATTCAAGATTCTTGGTTAATAAGTGACCTTTATTAAAAAAGTGCTTTTTTAAGGAATAGTTCCAGAATAATAATCTAAATTAAATGCATTATCTTTAAATTCATCATCAATTATTTTTTAAATTTAAAATTGAGCTGTAACTTCCGATTAGTTCTTGATTGTAATTTCTTTAGATATAGTTTTCCCAATAAGTAGGCTTTCAAAGTTAAGTTTTTTTGTATTTAATTGTAAAAATGGATATTTACCTATGCCTGATACTTTTATCACTCTAGGTTATTCATATTAAATATGCAAAATTATAGATGCTACAATAACTTCAGCTTAAATTGGAGCATAAGTCAATGTAAAATTAATTCTGGCACCAGGAGCTAATTGTCCCCTAATTTATCAATGTTAAATTTACCTATCAGGGGTTATCTTGAATTTTTAGTATTCGAAATGAAACTAGACGGCATATTCATTTGGATTTTCCATCACAAATGATAAATTGGATGATAATGTCACAGCTGTAAATCCAATATCCAGGGCAAGAGGGATATTTGTAAATATCGACTGATGTTCTGCTTATTTTTTTTTCATTATTTTTACAATTATATATATTAATTGTCTTTTTATTTTGATTTCATTTGTAAAAATGTTTACTATAAGCAGTTTGTTTAAGATTCAAGTGTTGCTGTCGATCTGAATAATTTAATTAGAATTTATGGAATAAATAAATATTAATTACAAAATTGAAGATATAGTAATATTTATTATACATGAGAGAGGATTGTTTAATTATCATCATCTTATATCCAATCTTATAGAATCCAGTTTAGAATGATTAATAAAATTAGAATTTTTATTTTTTGAGGGAAATAACTTCCAAAATCTAAGAGTTTCATCTCCACTTCCTGTTACTATATTTTCTCCATCTGGACTTAAAGATAAATATAAAACCCTGAAAGTATGACCATATAAAGTTGCAATCCTTTCTATTTTAGGCATTTTCCAAACAGCAACTTAATTAAGAGAATAGCTAGAATATTAAAATAAAATAATACCCATGTGAAGTGACTAATTCATTAGTATTAGTAGACCATTTCATATTACAAATTTAACTACCAGTATCTACACTATTTTAGAGTTATCCATTAGATATATTCCAGAATTTTAAACATTTATCTGTAGTTCCTCCTCCACTACATAGAATATTTGCTTGATGAGGTGACCATGCTAATGCTTTAACTGCTGCAACATGTTCTTTAAATACATACATTGATTAATTTGGCATTTTTATTGATTATATCATAACATTATTATCGTTACCTCCAGAAGCCAAAAATTACTGATTTGGACTCCATTACAATCCACAAACTTCTTATTTATGACTTTAAAATTATAATTCATAATCATTATTTGTTCTTATATCTTAAAATAATATACACTTATCTCTACTCCCACTTGTTATATTAAATCCATTCCAATCTAAACAACCTACTCTCAGATTATGATTTTCATAAGTCTTTAATATCTTAGTTTTAACAATATCATAAATTCTAACAGTACCTGTATCATCTCCTATTGCTATAATTTCACTTCGATCGCACCATTTAATACTACTTATACATACTGGAGCTTCAATTTCTAATAATTATGTTGTTTCATTTGTTATAGCATTCCATGTATATACTGAATTTCCTAAACCAACTCCAATTTAATTACTCATACTCCAATCTATTAATTAATAATAAAAATCATCTTTCAATTTAGGAGCATCCAAAATCTTATAAGGTGTTTTTGCAATTTTTCTAACAGGAGAAGGACATTCATTCTCAAATATATAAGGTTTATATTTTGATGGTTATCTTTGATAGACAAATAAACTTGACTAAGATTTATTTTCCATTAATTTCTATTTTAATAAACTATTGTATTTTGCTTAACAATTTTCTACTCTCAACTATTCATTAAGATCAAGTTCTTTTAATGATTCATTCTTTTAATCTTCTACCATATGTATTTAATAATCACTTAAATTGACTTTCTCTGGAACTAATCTGACATTCTTACATACTCATACCTATCAAAATGCTTACCCTTTGATGTCGATCGTTGTCTTAACATTAATATATTAACGGATATATTTTATATATTTTTAATTTGTTTATATATTTTTAACACATATATATTCATCTTCATATTTTCTATAACTCAATACTATTTAGATTAATTCTTTAACTAACTTTATTTCTTAATATAAAACTTTTATTTAACACTCTTCTATAGTATTTAATAATATAAATTTTATTTGCTAATCTAAAATAAAAATAGATACATAGAAATGTAGGATTTATCTGATCAGAAAATTAACTCAAGAAAATTAATTTTTTTTATGTTTTCATAAAGGCATAAACCTAGAAATGCATCATTAGCAATCTAATAAGAAAAAATCATTAAAAAATAAGTTCAATTAAGTAAAAAAGATGGCAAAGCTAGATATTTAACACCAAAAAAATTAAATTAATCATTTTAAGCTAGATTATTGGATCTCCCAATAATATCTAATAGTCCTAAAAATTAATTTTATGTTACTTAAATTTTTACTCAAATAGATGAAAAAGAAAAAAACACATATTTATAAGACTGGGATTAAAAATTTGATTCTTTAGCTTGTGGAACTTTAAGAACATTTAATTTAACTAAAGAATAAAAATTATTCAATAAATCATTTAGTTTAGAAGAATAATAAGAAATGATTTAAACATTTAAACAAAAACCTCCTTTCCAATCTGTAAAAAAGACAAAGCTAAGATAAATTAAATAGAAAACCTTTGATAAAGAATTTGTTATTGATGATATTTCATAGTATTTAAATAAAATTCAAGATTGATAATGATCTCTAGTGATTTAAAATAATCTACCAAATTACTTTGTTGTCATCTTAGCATTTTTTATTTAAGTATTTTTCTTGGCTCTAACTACAAAATCCATTTTACCTTATGATTTATTACTTCTTTAACTCTTACTTCCTTAACTGACACTATTACTACGAGATTTTAATAAAGGACTTTATTAATTTTTATCTTATTCAATAGAAAAATTATTAAAATTAAGCATATCATCCTTACTTTAAAGACTATTTAATTTGTTTTAAGATTATTTTTCTATTTATTATTATTACTTAAGATCAATCGTTTATGAAAATTAGTCCAAATTTACTTAATATACTTCTGTTTTTTTTAATGAAATATCCAATTCAATTTTTTCAACTTCTAATTAAAATTTAGATTTCTTTAACAAATTTGTTTAATTTTATAAAGAAATTGAATTATTATTAGAAATTGATTATTCATCTAATGATTTTTCTGTTTTTTAATGGTCTGTTTTGTTTTTAATATTTTTTTCATTTTAGAAATCATTTGTTTGGTCCTTAACTTCTATTTGATTTTATTATTATTAGCCTTAAGCAGTTAGTCTATATCTTCTTATTAGTTATTTCTATTTAGCATTTTCTTCCTTTACTATAGTTAATTCATTATTCAATTTTTCGTTTGTATTATTTAATTAAATTAAGCTTTCAGTTTATTATTGTAACTATTAATTCATTTCTTTTAGACTAGCAAAATATATAAGATATTTAAACTTAATTATTTTATAGTCATTAGATCTTTTGTTATAATCATTTTATAATTTTTAAATTAAGTTGAGTTATTGCTTTAATTTAATATTTAGTTACTCAATATTTGTAATTGATTCAGAATTTTCATTTGTAAGTGCTTTATTTTTATCATATAGTACTTTATAAGATTTATCTAATGATATAAGTTTTTAATTATTTCTATCCCATTAACTTAAAGCATCTTCTAATTTCATTTTAGAAACCATTTCTTTTAACATGTCTTTATAATTGTTAATTTTAATAGCATATCTTTCCACTATAAATGATTTATCTTTATCCATTAATTTTTCTTATTCATTATATTTTATTTCAAGCTGTCTATACTTTCTTTAAGATTCCTCATATTTAACTCTTATATCAGTAATTTCATTAATAAATTCACCTATTCGTTAATTATCATTGCTTATGACACGATCTGAAAATATTTATTTTGTAATCAAATTATTATTTTCAAATACCTATACTTTATACATAGACTTGAACTCTGCTAATTCTTTTCTTTAAGATTCAAATTAATTTTAAAGTGCTTCAAGTTTGTCTCTTTCATTAATTAATTCATGTCTTTGATTGTCAATAGTTTCTTATTATTACTCAATTTGTCTTTTATATGAGATTTCAGCTGTTGTAAAATCTTATTAATTTAATCTTAACCTATTTTCCTATTCATTCATCTCCATAGTTAAAGTATGTAATCTTTATTAACTGAAACTTAAACATTTTTCTAAATCTAATATTGTTTCTTCTTTTCCTTCTAAACTATTTTATAATAGCTAAACTTAAGCTTTCTCTTTAATAAATAATTCATCCAAATGAATTTTTGCAATTTTCATTTGCTAAATATTTTAATTTAAAGCCAAAATTTCATTTTATTATACTTATATTCTTTAAATTCCAAATGAATGTTCAACTTATATTTTTTAAAATTTCTTTATTTCTTCTTCATGTTCCTCTATCAATTCTCTATTCTCTTATTATAATTACATAATACTCGCTCTATAACCTTACTCTAACTAATCAAAAGAATCAATAGAAATTTTTTATTTTTTATTTTCTGTTTGTAACTCGAACTTTTATTATTTTAATATTTAATTTTCATTTGTTAATTTTTAATTCAAATCTTAAATATCTTAATAATTTCTTTGATATTTTTCTAACTCTTATAATCTAAAAATTTAATCAAAAATATAAATTACTTGTAAATATTATCCTCCTTATATTTTTTAAATTGCATACATAATTAATTAAATTAATGCTCAAAATTCATTTAATTACTTTAATCATTGACTGAATTTTTTATTAATTTGTTAATTTTTATTTCCTAAATCTAAATTTTCTATTCCTTTTCATCTAATTATCTTCTGAAATTTTCTATTGTTTATTTTAAATGGCTGATTTCATTATCTCTTATATCTTTTTCTTCAATTGCAATTTCTAATTGTTTTTTCGATTTTATTAAATCATTGCTAATTTTATCATATAATACCCTTATTTCTCGAAACTCTTCTCCCATTTAAGTGTAATTTTAAGCTAATTCTCTATATACTGATGTAATTTCATTAATTCTATATTCAAATTTAATTCTTAAAGCTACTTCCTCTTCAAATGCAGTATTAGATTATTGAAAATCAATTTCTGCATTATCTCTTTGTAACTTTAATTCATTATTTTAATCAGTCAATTCTTATAACATCCTCTACAATGCATTAATTTCATCTCTGGTTTTATTTTCTATAAACTTAAATTTAATTTCTCTTTAAGTTAATGTATCATTTAGTTCTTCAATTTTTTATTAACTCTCTTACTATATTTAATTAATCGTAAATTAAAAATCTCCTTTCGCAATGTATTCTAAAAGTATCCCAAATACTTTCCAAATCGATGTAGTTAATTATAAATTTTTAAGTATTTCATGAAGCATTTCATAAAATCCTACCGTATAGACAAACATGCTTCTATAGAGTCTACCAACGTCTTCATCTTTTACTCCGGCGCTCTACAATCAAAATTAAAGAGTCATTTACAACCTTTAAAGAATTTTTATCAAGTCCTAATTTATTCAAACTGTTCTATTTTTCATTTAAACAACTTTCCTTTAATACATTATTGATCCATCTTTCAATTCCATTTTAATCAAGTGTTGATTTAGCAATTGATGTATCTTAATGCCATTTATTCTATCTAGATGCCAATCTTTATCTTGTATCAACAGTAGAAGCTTAAAATGATTTCCTAAATGTTTCATTCATTAATTTATTATATAAAATTCAAAAGTTCATAAATTACTATACAACTAAATCATAATTTTATTAAATAGTTATAAAGTTTAACATTTTTTCTAATCTAAGTCTATTCAATTCATAGATATAGAGTCAAATTCATAAAGATTTAACTTATAATTATGATTTTATTAACATAAGATAAATAAATATAGTATTATATTTAATAATAATAATGCGTGTTTTCGTAATTGGAGTTGGAATGACGAAATTTATCAATCCTGGAAAAGATGATAACCCTGATTATCCAATTATGGCTGCTTAAGCAACAAGAAGAGCTCTTCATGATTCAAGTCTTACATTTAAAGATGTTAAGATGGCAGCTGTAGGATATGTTTATGGAGATTCAACATGTGGATAGAGAGCAGTATATGAAGTTGGAATGACTGGTATACCAATATATAATGTAAATAACAATTGTTCAACTGGATCTTCAGCTTTACATTTAGCTCATCAATTTATTAATGGAGGTCTTTATGATTGTGCTCTTGCTTTAGGATTTGAAAAAATGGAGGGTAGATCAAATTTATATTTGTAGGTTCTTTAACTTTTAAATTTCCTGATAGAACTTAACCTGTAGATAAATTTGTTAATTATTCTGAAGAATGGTCTTCAGAAAAAAGTAAAGGTCCATGGGCACCAAAAATTTTTGGAAATGCAGGAGTAGAACATATGTAAAAATATGGAACAAAAGCTGAACATTTTGCAAAAATTGCATTTAAGAATCATTTACATTCAACAAGAAATCCTTATAGTTAATTTAGGGATAAATATAGTTTAGAGGAGATAATAAAATCACCAAAAATTCATGGTCCTTTAACAAAATTATAATGTTGTCCAACATCTGATGGTGCAGCTGCAGCTATACTTTGCAATGAAAAGTTTATGTTAGAACATAATTTATAAGATTAAGCAATAGAGATAATAGGATGTGCATTAACAACAGATAATGAATCTACATTTGTATAGAAATCATTAATGAATTTGGCTGGATATGATATGAGTAGAAGAGCAGCAGAATAAGTATATTAAAAGACAGGAGTAAATCCAAAAGAAATAGGAGTTGTTGAATTACATGATTGTTTTTCAGCAAATGAATTAATTACTTATGAAGCTCTAGGATTATGTGAAGTAGGAAAAGCAGGAGAATTTATAGATAAAGGAGATAATACATATGGAGGAAGAGTAGTAGTTAATGTAAAATAATTAATTATAAATTGAAAGCCTTCAGGTGGATTAATTTCAAAGGGACATCCATTAGGAGCAACAGGATTAGCATAATGTGCAGAATTATGTTGGTAATTAAGAGGAATGGCTGAAGATAGATAAATAAAAAATCTGAATTATGCTTTATAACATAATATAGGATTAGGGGGAGCATGTGTTGTAATATTGTATAAGAAATACAATTAATCAAATGGAAAAGTTAGGGTAGATTAATCTGCTAATCCTGATGTATTAGAGAAAATAGAAGCGTAAAAATAATAGGAAAGACCTAGATTATGAATATATATATATTATTTAAAAAATATTATTAATAATATGAAATTTGATATCTTATTAGTCATTCTAATACTGACAGTTTCTACATATGGCTAAGAAGATGAAGATTTGATTATTGATTCTAATAGGGAATATGATGAAACTGCTGCTACAAGATATTGGTATTTTTGTGCTGCTAGTTACTGTCATCCTAATGTTATAATAGATTGGTCATGTACTACTCCATGTAGTAAAACACCTTATATGGAGGATGTTTAAATATTTGTTAATTCTACTAATGAAAATGCAGGATTTTCAGGTTATGATCCTAAACATAATGAAATAATTATAGTTTTCAGAGGAACTCTCCCTTGGTCAATTAAAAATTGGTTTGAAGATCTTAATTATATTAAAACTTCTTATCCATATTGCACTAATAATTGTTAAGTTCATAGGTTAATATATGTAAATAATTAATTAGAGGATTCTATTATTCATATATGGGTATTCATGATTAAGTAATAAATGCAGCAAAAAGATTAACAACTAAATATCCTAATGCTAAATTAGTAGTCACTGGACATAGTTTAGGAGGAGCTCTGGCAACTCATGCTTTAGTCACTCTTACAGTTAATGGATTTAAAATTGATCATTATTATTCTTATGGATCACCAAGAGTAGGAGATACTGCTTTTTTCAATTTTGTTAAATCAATTTATCCTGCTGCCAAATTTAGAGTAACACATGATCATGATCCTGTTCCTCATTTACCTATGGAAGTTCAAGGATTTCATCATATTAATACAGAAGCTTATTATAAAGATTTTCTCATCTTTCATAAAGAGTATTATTTATAAAACTAATTATAGTGTTAAAATCTGTAATGATGAATTCAAAGAAGATTCAAAATGTTCAAATTAAAATCTAGTTGATTTAAGTGTAGATGATCATTGCAATTATTTAGGATATAATCTAGCTATTGGAGTGCTTATTTGTTAATGATTTTACATCACAAAAATATTATAATATATATAATCAAAATAGTTAATCACTTTATGTATGCATTTATCTCCTTCTATTTAATAAATCATTCTATTCTATACTATAAAGTAATGGAACTTAAATGTATTTATTATCTTCTTCTATTACATAAAATAACTTTCCATCTTTATTTCGAAATAATTTCTTTTTAATATCGTCAGGTTAAGTTGATGAAGTTTTTAGTTTCAACCTTTTCTATTTCATTTATATTTCTTAACTCGTTTCTCTTGTCTATACCGAAGAACCACAACCCATCTCTAACCAATTTTACTCTTGATTAAATATATTATAACTTTCATAAAATTGTTAAATTGTATTACTTTAATTTAAAATTGCTTATTTTCATTTAAGGGTATTTTTCTGATCTTCATATTTTTCAATTATATATTAAATACAATTACATGTACAAAAAAATCAAGATTTTGATACATTAAAAACTTTATAAATCAATGCTATTTATATTAACAATGTTTTCTATTTTTTTTAATTCTAAATTATATAAGTTAGAATTTAATTTATATATTTCATTCAAAATCTATTATTGCTAGTGACTGAATTAATATTATTTTAATCGTTTATCTTCAAAATATAAAGTCATATCAGTATTTATATGTAATCTTAAATCATTAAGTGGCATTTAATGTAATTTTACCTCAATCAATTTACTAATACAAAGATTTATTTAAATCTTAATAAAAATAAATAAAAATACTCATTTTTAAGAATAATGAATATTTTATGTGAATTATTATAATAATCTATTGAAAATTTATTTATTTATTGCTTTTCTCATTTAAAGCAATATTTATTGTAAAAATTTCACTTTGTTTATTATAGAATTTTAATTATTTCTATTAATCTTTTTCCAATTTCTTATACAAAATAATTTTCGAGCACTTATTTTTTTGAATGATATCTTCAAAATTTCTTAATTGGACTTACAATTAACTAATATTTATTATTATTTGAAAAAAATATCTTATTTACAATTTTCGATTTAATAATATATAATATCTTTAGGAGCATAATTTAGATATATATTGAAAAGTTGGAAATTCTATGAGAATTGAAAGAGAAATGATAATTAAATAATTTATTTTATGTATTAAACTCAATTTTAACAATAAAAATATGTATCTAGTTCTATGCTTGCAAATTGTCTTGCAAATTAACCTCAAAACTTGAATCAGAAACCAAATACATAAAATATTAAATGTAATTTTCAAGAAGTTTTGGCAATATTTTAATTGGTTCCTTATAAATTTAATTGTATTAACAGAGAAATTGATATTCTATCATTAAGTAATTTGAAATAAATTATTCATTCAAAGTTAAATTAAAATTTAAGAGCAATATCTTTAATTTTCAAATTAAGATCGATATTTCTATAAATAATTTATCTAAATTAATTTAATAAATAAAGATTAACTTTAATTAATTTAATATTTCAATCATCAGAATCCATATCTGTTCCATTTATTGCATCTAATTATACATACTATTTTGCTAAATAAGCGCATAGAGAGAAAATAAATTTTAAGTTAATATAACTTTTTATAACATTCCAATTATTTTTTTCTGATTAATATAACCAAAATTAATTTATTTAAAGACACATATATCCTTATGATATTATAAATTTTGCAGTATAAAAATATCATTCTTTTATCAAGAATTGAAAGAAAACATAAATTTATTTAGTCTTTTTATGAGTTTTAATATATTTCAAGTATCCTTTCTTCATACTTTATAAAAAAAACTAATAATAATAATCAGCACAAAAATTTTCATCGAAAAATCTAATTTCTAATTGTAAGGTGCTAAAACTTTTATTTGTCAACATATTCAAATAGACATCACTCAATCTTTAAAATAATTTGATTAATTTTTAATAATAAGTTATGGTAATAAGTTGAATGATGTTTAATTAGAAATTTAATGGATGAGTTTGAATAATAGAGCCTAAGAAAAAGGTTGAATTATTTATTATAAACTAGATATATAATTATTTAATTAAAATTAACAATTTATATTTATAAAATGAGCGATAAATCATAATCTCCGCCTACAAAGAAATTTAGCAATACTACAAATAAGAAATAATTTTCAAATGAGAAAATTTAGACAAAAAATTATCAACCTTCTAGATTTGTTGTAGCGGAAAGATTATAACCAATTACGTACAATAATTTAATAACAATAGATATAAAGCACATGAAGTATTAAGTGAGTTTTAAACAAAAATAGAAAGTACAATATCAAATTAGAACAAACTAAAAAATATTTAACCAAATCAATAGAGAGTTATATAGGTAATAATAAAAAAAAATGTTATTTATAGCCAAAAGAATATAAAAAGAAACCTTTAAGAAGATAAGAAAATGACATGTAAATGTATAAAGATATATTTGTTTAACCAAAAGCAGATGCTTTAGAAGAGTTAAAAGAAAAAGAGAAGGATTTTGAAGCTCTTTTTCATAAAGGCCAAGCAAAATAATATGATAAAATACTTAACATAAAAGAGGATGAAGATAAGTCTACTAAAAACTTATTAGGAAGTTTATTTAATGAATAATTAATAAAATCTACAGGTCCAAATGATAATATTGATTTAAAAAAAGAAATTGATAAAGTGGCTAAAATGGATTTGCCAGTTTAATAAGAAACAAATTTTTAATTTTTTGATCAATAAATATCAGTTTAACCTCCAGATCTTCCAAATGCTAGTATTGCATCACCTTTAACTCCAGGAAATGGATATGCACCTTCTATTCCTTATACAAATAATGTTAAAGAAAATAATAGAACTAGTCTTAAAGATCTATTAGTTAGAGCAAAAGCAGGTATGTAAGCAGGAGATATATAAAAAGAAGCACATTTATCTTTTTATTTAGGAATGGTTTATGAAAGTAGTAAAAATTATAATGAAGCTGTCAGATTTTATAAAAAATTTGTTGCTTGTGCTAAACTTATGGAAGATAAAATTGGTATGGCTTTAGGAACAAATCGAGTAGCATTTAATTATTATAATTCTGGAAATTATATTAAATCTATTGAATTTCATTAATAAAATCTATAATATTCAGATCAAGAAAATCTTTTTACTGGTTTATATAATATGGGATTAGCTTAAAGAAGGTTATAAAATTATGAAGATTCAATCGAATATTTTTCATAAGCTTTAGAATGGGCTTAAAAAAGAGATGAAGCTGAATCTTAATGTATTTCATATGGATAATTAGGAATTCTTTATTTTGATGTTAAATAATATTAATTAGCTTATGAGAATTTTTAAGTATTTATTATTAAATTAATATGACAGAATTGTTATGAATTAGCCAGAAGATTAAAAAATCATAAACTTTAATTAGAGTGTCTATTAAATTTAAATAAAATATCAGGATATTTAGAAACTCCTATTTAAACTTAAACAGATATTTTAAGAAATGCTATATAAGTATTTTAAATATCATATTATTAGTGTGCCAATCATTTAAATGAAAAATCGATAGCTACATTGTGCCTCTGTAATCTAGGTGTTTTGGAATCAAAATCTCACTAACTAATCTAAAATTATGATGATTTAGAATATGAATAATTTTGATGGATTACATTATTTATTTTTATTATTAATTTAATAATTAAACTTCAAATAAAATTTTATCTGAACATAGGAAACAATATTTTAATACAAAAAACTAAACCTAATGAATTACTTTTTAAGTTTTTTACTGTTGAGGGTTATAAAGTTGCAGCAATACAATTTTTTTTAAAGAAACAGGAATTTAATGTAATAATTATATATTAAATATTAAAGTGTCCAATAAAGAATTCATAAAATGATTGAGAAATTAATAAAAATATTTTAATGGTGAAATTAATTTGGCTTTATCTTATTTATAAAATAGAAAAGCCTATGTTTTTTTAGCTTACAAAAATCTTTAAAAATACTCTTTAAATCATTTAAATCAAAATACTTAAAGAATTAAAGTAGCAAATCAAATAACTATTAATCGTATAAAGATTGTTGAGGAAATGAATAAACAAAAATAACTATATTAAAGAAAATATATATTATTGTTAGGGGTATAAGAAATATTGAAATCTAAACTTTAATATCCTAGTATGATAGAAATATCTAAAGAATAATGACTCAATATTAAAGAATATATTTTTTTATTTTTTAATATCTTCTATTTTTCTCATAATTAAGGAAATCTAAGTTTGAATAAACTCATGGCCACATTAGAAATCTCTTTGGCTCTATCATTCAACCAATCCATTTAGTCTTATGTTTATGCAACTTCTGCAAACTTTCTTGTAAATCTGATTTTTGTAAATGATTCAATTTCATTAAATTTAGCCTAATTAGCAATATATATTACCAATTCTTCATAATAATTATAAATATCTTAGGCTGAATAATTATTTTGAAGAACATGATCAAATCTCTTGATTGGACTGACATATTTTCTAATGATTTCTTCAAACTTCATTTATTTATAAAAAAATAATATAATTTGGTTAATTTAATTATGAAACTCAAACTTCTAAATTAAATAAAACAAACATCAAAATAATAATGCTATTAATATATCTATTGAAAAGGACTCAAATCAATTCAAAATATTTTTTGGATAATTGTCTTTCATTTGGAATAAACAAGTCACTACATTTTTTTAATCATATTTTTAATATAGTTTAAGTTCTTAATAATCTTTTCAAATCATCATATAGAAGATTTTACAATAAACTTATTATAACATCAATTTATAAGCGTACTATTTGCTTTGAAATAAAACATTATTTTTATATAAATTTAATTGCATTCCTGACAATGAATTATAAATTATTACTGTTTTCTCTATATGTTGGTTAACTTTAGATAAGACTTTATAATAATTTTCATCTTTTTCTGTACAACACTATTTTTATGAATTTGAAATGACATCTTTAAAGAATCTTCTTTTAATAAATCAATATGGATCTAAATCATCAATAACTTTATCAACATACTCTTTTAGAACAGCAGTAAATATATAAATCAAAAAAATAAGAAAGATTCTTTAAAAAATCCCTAGCATATGGCATTTACTTGATATACTTTTTTATTCTCTTCCAATTTTTACAAAAATTTACTCATCTGTTAATGATGTTTTTTCAATCTCTGAATGAATTAAAGTTTCATTTAGATCGAACTAAAGTGAATTCTTTTCTCTCAATTTTTTAATTGTTGACTGTACAAAATTGCATTATTCATTCATCTCTTTTATACTTTTTATAATTAATGGGCTTTCCATTATTTTTTATAAATTAATTAGGCTGTCTCATTTCTTGATACATTCCAAATCTATCTACTCTAATTTTTTAAGTTTAATCGAAAAAAATTAAAATATATTTATGAGTTCTATTCTTATTATTAAATACCTTTGTTCTTTTAAAAAGTTACAATATTACTTTATTATATGAAAATAGAGCCCAAATAATTTCATAAGCTTTGAAGCTTAAGGTTTTATTTTTTATAGATATATTAGCTAAAAGGAGTTTTTTCATTTATTGATATTAAATTTAATAGATATTATCTAATTGATAGAAAACAATATTATTATCAAGTTTTTTTAAAATATAGATTTAGGATTATTTTGACATATGTGAAAATAATTCATTTATAAGATTGTGATAATTGTTTTTTGAAGAATTGAAATTATATATAATGGTATTTAGGATAATAATTATAGAGAATACAATCAAATAATCAAAATCATGACTCCATATTACTGATTTAAAATTTAACATTTCTAGATATATTATCAATATTTTCTCTAAGTACATTTAATAAATATTCTTTTTCATTGATTGTGATATTTGCATTCTCAATTTCATCTGCCATTAAATCAAGATCTTCTAACATTCTATCAATTCTTCTCATAAATAAATTAAGTTTGGATATAATTATTTCTTTATCATCATCTTATTCATCATCTCTAGCAGATTTACTAATTTCTTCTTATTCTTTTTAAATTTAATCTAAAATTTCATCTTTAATTTTTTCATCCTAATTATTCTCTTTTTTTCTTTAAGCATTAATTTCATCATATCCTTCCATAATTATAGCAATTAGAACACTTTAGACAGCTGTAAAAAAGACTATCATGAAAACAATTAGATAAATTTAACCAATAATTCCAATTGGTTTAACTAAATTAAATGATTCTAATTATATTATAAGAAAATTACCTAATAAAATATCTCCATTAGATAAAGAAAACAATGATAAAATAGTATCAATAGTAGATTAGAAATAATTATATTTCCAAAAGAGAGCTTAGGCTAAATAAACAAATCCAAAAAAGAATGGTAAAATACTGAAAATAAACATAGCAATATTTTTACTAGATTTTTTTAAAGTCCAAGTAACAATACTAATATCTTAAAAGTATTCTAAGTATTATAAAAGCATTAGCCAAGATAGAAAACATCCAAATCCCATCATTTTAATTTAGAATTTATAAATAGATAAATCACTGGTTAAAATTTAATCCATAATTGCTATAGTAGCCCCCACTACTTAAAAAAAACCACCTAAAGCATTTAAGATATACCAATTATTAAATGCTTTAACATCTTATTAATAATCAACAGTCCTCCAAGCTTATGAAAATTTGACACCAACTTAAGGTCCCTATTATTAAACTATATCTTATTAATCATTTAATGGTTAAGTTTCAAAAATGTTTTTTATGTCTTTATACATTTATTTATTATGCATATATTCAGATCCTATATCATATAAATATTAAATAGTTGTATAAACTGAAATTCCTCCTAAGATAAGAACAATAAAATGAATTAATAAAAAATCTTAACCACTTTATTTATTAGAATCTTCAACACAATTAATATTGCCTGTCTCTATTTTTGAGTTTATAACTCCTAATTTATCAAATTTATAAGTAATTTTGAAATTCCAACTTGAACATGACACATCTCCTTCAATATCTCTAAAATTAATATAGTTATATATCTAATTTCCCTCAAATTCCATAAGTTAAACATCTTCAATGAAATCTTTAATTGAATGAACGTCTTTAATATCAAATGGAATTGTAAAACCTTCATCTATATCTACTTCAAATACTGTTTAATTTGCATTATCAGTATCAAACTCTGAATAGAAAATATTAAAATTAAATTCTGATTAACTCATGTTAATATTTTAAAATAAAATATTTTCTAAATCATTCAGATTATCCATCATTGTCATTAATTATTATTAAAAGTCATCAAAGTTATAAAATTATATTTCATCACTATCTTCATCCAATCCAAGCAGAATATTCTTTAATATCATATGTTAAGCTCTATTTTAAGCAGTTAATTAATCCAAAACACTAAGAACTTGTATTGTTGTAAAAAGTATCAATAATGTATGTAAAATCATTTACCAAGGAAATTAATTGTATAATTCATACTTTTGTAAAGGTGACAAAGTCAATTTTTGCTAATAATCCATATTAAATGATTTTTGTTCATTCATACTCATATTAATTTATAATTAATATAGAATTAATAAATAATCACATTTATATATATCTATTTAAGAATTTTCTGTGAAAATCACTTCTAACAGCATCATTAATAAATCTTTGTTTTTCTTTTACTTCTAGTCTTGATTAATTTTTAAATATAGTATCTTCATACCATCTAAAATAAATCATTATAAAAATAATACTTTTTTTTTAAAGAATAATCTTCACTTATTAATAATGGATTTCCTTTAATAATTTCTTCTTCCCTATTTTTATCTAAATATTCTTATTTTTCTAAAAACTTATTTTGATAGACTAATTTACTTTCTTTTTTTCTTCAATTTCTCTTTATTCTTTAATTTTTTGATATTCTTTCATTAATAATTCATCATCATCTTCTCCATCACTTGATGAAGATGATGTTTCTTCAATTTTTAAATCTTATTATGATATAATAAGTTTTTCTGGTTTTTAAGCATTTTCTTCTTCATCATCAGAAGATTTAATGAATTCTTTATCATCAGCATCTTATGGATATACTTCTTTTTCTTCTAATTTAGTTTTTTTTAATAACATAGGTTCTTAAACATCTTTATTTTAATCTAATTAATAATTTAAAAAGAATGTTTCTACTTTTTTAAGTTGCTTCTATAGCTAATGAAGTTTCAGAAACACCTAATGCTTTTAATTCTCTTTATCTTCTTCCTTCTTCTTCTCTTTTTAATAAATCCATTTTAAAATCCTTTTATTGCAATTCCTCCTATGTTCCTTACCCAGGTTATCTCATTTTCAATATTAAATAAGCAGGTAAATCTTTAGAATGATAAGATCTTGAATGGACTAACATTTTATTTCCACCTTATTCACTTCCACCTATTGCTGGTCTATACGTAGGTCTATGTGCTGTTGTCATAAAACAAAAATATAATTAAAATAATAAACAAATAAGTCATCTTCTTTTTCTTTTTATTATTTTTTTCATACTTCCCTTTAGTCTAGAGACCTAAGGTTTCTTTATCTTTTTTATTCCTTTATTCAAAACTTTATTAATTGTTTCAAATTCTTAAAAATCATCTAATCTTGTAACATTAGCCTTTCTCTCAGCTATTCTTTCTCTTCTCTTCTCATCCCTAGTTGTAGGTAATCTTGTCATATGATCTTCTTCATATCTTCTTTTTTCTATTTATTTTTCATCTTCAGCTCTTCCATAATATAATTATTATAAATCTCTTTCGGTCATTTCTTTTGGTTTATCTGTCTAAATTTAATATATTTCATATTAATATACCTCTTAGTCATCCAATATACTTTTTATCAATTTAGCTTTTTATTATATTTTTTTTTGTTCTTCTCTTCTTTCTTATTTCTATTTATTTAAATCACTTTTTGAAAGAGTTGCTGCAAGCTTAGGTGGTACATATTTTTAATTTGGATTACTACTTTTATCATTTGTTTCATCTTTATGAAGATTCTCTATTCTGGGTTTTAATGTTAATTTCTCAACTTAATCCATTACTTATTCTTCTTCATTAATTTGATTTTCTTAATATTTTGATAATTTATCAATCGAATATTATAATTTTTTTTAAGCTTAAATTATTTTCTGTAATAAAATTTTATCTTCAATCATCTAATCAACAGGAAACTCATCTAAATTTCCATAATTCAGTTTATGTAATAGGTACATATTTAAATGAATTAAATATTTAGTCATTGTTGCATTTTTAGCTCTTAAATATTAGGCAATATTATTTTTATTTTCAGNATTTAATGAATTCTTTATCATCAGCATCTTATGGATATACTTCTTTTTCTTCTAATTTAGTTTTTTTTAATAACATAGGTTCTTAAACATCTTTATTTTAATCTAATTAATAATTTAAAAAGAATGTTTCTACTTTTTTAAGTTGCTTCTATAGCTAATGAAGTTTCAGAAACACCTAATGCTTTTAATTCTCTTTATCTTCTTCCTTCTTCTTCTCTTTTTAATAAATCCATTTTAAAATCCTTTTATTGCAATTCCTCCTATGTTCCTTACCCAGGTTATCTCATTTTCAATATTAAATAAGCAGGTAAATCTTTAGAATGATAAGATCTTGAATGGACTAACATTTTATTTCCACCTTATTCACTTCCACCTATTGCTGGTCTATACGTAGGTCTATGTGCTGTTGTCATAAAACAAAAATATAATTAAAATAATAAACAAATAAGTCATCTTCTTTTTCTTTTTATTATTTTTTTCATACTTCCCTTTAGTCTAGAGACCTAAGGTTTCTTTATCTTTTTTATTCCTTTATTCAAAACTTTATTAATTGTTTCAAATTCTTAAAAATCATCTAATCTTGTAACATTAGCCTTTCTCTCAGCTATTCTTTCTCTTCTCTTCTCATCCCTAGTTGTAGGTAATCTTGTCATATGATCTTCTTCATATCTTCTTTTTTCTATTTATTTTTCATCTTCAGCTCTTCCATAATATAATTATTATAAATCTCTTTCGGTCATTTCTTTTGGTTTATCTGTCTAAATTTAATATATTTCATATTAATATACCTCTTAGTCATCCAATATACTTTTTATCAATTTAGCTTTTTATTATATTTTTTTTTGTTCTTCTCTTCTTTCTTATTTCTATTTATTTAAATCACTTTTTGAAAGAGTTGCTGCAAGCTTAGGTGGTACATATTTTTAATTTGGATTACTACTTTTATCATTTGTTTCATCTTTATGAAGATTCTCTATTCTGGGTTTTAATGTTAATTTCTCAACTTAATCCATTACTTATTCTTCTTCATTAATTTGATTTTCTTAATATTTTGATAATTTATCAATCGAATATTATAATTTTTTTTAAGCTTAAATTATTTTCTGTAATAAAATTTTATCTTCAATCATCTAATCAACAGGAAACTCATCTAAATTTCCATAATTCAGTTTATGTAATAGGTACATATTTAAATGAATTAAATATTTAGTCATTGTTGCATTTTTAGCTCTTAAATATTAGGCAATATTATTTTTATTTTCAGTTGTACATGTGATAACATGTAGATTATCAATAGATTATAGTTGATCATTTATGGTTGATATCAAATCGGAATAGACAGGTAAATCTTCCTTAAAATAGGTTAAACCACCACTCATTATTAAAATTAATTTATGAAAATGAAATAAAAAAAAATATAAAACTATATACTATGATCATTCTAAATTAAATTAAACCTATCTTAGAGTGCTATCAGCTTAACTTTATTAATTTCTAAATCTACTATACTTCATTTCCTATTTAAGAACACTTTTAGCAGATTTTTCATCTAATTGTCCACCTCTTTAATTATCTTACATAAATGAATCTTCATCTCTAGGTGAGGATATATTTTTTAGATTAAGTTATTGTTCATTAATAGATTATAGTTTTTTAAGTTTATTAGAATCAAAAGATCTTAAAGAGTTTTTAGGTTCAAATGCAACAATAGGAGAATCATTTTATTTTTTTTTACCTAAGGTACAAGATGATTTAAAAATTTGTTCTTCTTTTTCAACTTGCCTTAAAAATTGAATTTCTTTTAATGATTGTTCCGATTTTTTGCTTTATTGAGACCTTAGTTCTGGAAAAGCAGGAGTTCCACATTCTTCTGTTTTTTTATTGCTATGCTTTACTTATTAAACTCTATTTTAAAATGAATAAAAACTTGATACTCTTATAATTTAGCAGATTATTAATTCGAATTTTAAAGGATAACAACTTCTGAAACATCTTCATCTTAGACAATTTAATTACAGCATTATGCATTACCCATATTATAAAATAATTTTGTGATATTAAAAGGATGTAAATTTCAATCATCATCAAATAATCGATTTCCTCCTCTTCCTCTTGTAGGTCTTCTACCTCCTCTATCATTACCTCTTTTAGTTTTTCGATCATCTTATGATCTATCTCTTATTTATGATCCATCAATTTTCTTTCTAAATTAAGTACTATTTTATTATTCTTTTCTAATATATCCAAATCAGGAATTACTTCTCTTTATCTTTAACAGCATTAACTAATTTAAGTTTTTCTTCTTCAAATTCTCTAGACATAGCCTTAGGATTTGGATCCTCATAAGCCCATTTACACATGATACATTCTTATTAATCTAAAGCTTATGAATCCATAGCTTCTTTAGCAAATTCAGCTTGACATCTATGTTTATATCTAAATTAAAGAATTAATAAAAATACCTAATAAATGAGACACCTTTAGCAGGTATAACATTTAAATCATCAATATCTCCTAATGGACTAAAATGTCTCCACAATGTATCATACATTAATGCTAAAGCTTGAGTACTTGTATCTGCTTTTGGCATTTTATAATGTGTTATATAAATAGCTCTTGTATCACTTGTAAAACAACCTATTCTAAAATAATATTATTAATATTATAAATTACCCTTTCATATCCTCTCTATGATTAGCAAATCTAGTTCTACCAAATACATCTTTACTATTATCTATTTATTCACATTCATCCATTGTAGGAATTCTGTGATAATATCTACAATTAACACCTTCAGCACAACATCCTCTTGCAAAGAACAAACAAAAATATGTACTAAATTTTTCATATAAATCTGCTTTTGTATATCCACTATCTATATCTGGATGCATTCTTGTTAAAGCTGGTTCTTTCTCTTTATATTTATTTCCATCACTCAAAAATCTATCAAACCAAGTATTATATTCCTCATCACCTTATTTATAACCAAATTTTGTTGCCAATGATTCTTCCACTTATTTTCTTGCTGGTCTTAACATTACTTTCTATCTTTTCTAAAATAACTATTCTCTTTATCTTGCTATGTATTATTTTGGTAAAAATTTAAAAAAGTTTCTCTCTTAATAATCATACAATCTATGCTCAAATTATCTTCTATAATCAGACAATTTCTATACTATATCTAATGGCAATTCCCATACACTTTCCTTTGTTACTGGATTATAATAATAATTCTTTTTCCATGTATCATCATATAATACTTACCAAGGATAAATTATCTTTTAAATCTCGTCTGCATTTACAAGTTATCCTCCTCTATTTATTTATTATTCTATTGGCTATTTCTATAAACTTTATAGTTCTTCCTCCTTTTTTTTATTTAGTTTCTCTTCTATCTACTTTCCTAATTCCTCTTAATTCTCTTCCGCTTCCTTTACTTTCTATTGATACAATTTATAAGCCTCAATCTTTTTTTAATTTTCCTCCTCTTATTAAATCTCTTTTGAATTTGGTGCCAAATGTGCTATCTATTGTATTTTTTAAAAATCTATTCCTATTGGCCTAAATGGATTCTTTTCTGGCTTTGCTATGTCGAATTTCAAATTATCTGAGTCTGATTCATATTAATCTCCTTCTGAATATGAATATTAATCAATATTCTCTTATTCTTCTTATTACTATATTTTTTATTAATCCTCTTAATCAGCCATTAATTTATTAATATTATAAATATTTTATTATTTTCTATTATATTTATTACTGCTTTATCATTTCCATATCATCTTTATTTCATACTTTGAAATAAAACTATCACAGAAATCTTAATTCTAAAATAAACTAAAATTTTTTTATTCTACAATTTTATTCAACAATCTCCTAATATTTTCATTAAATGTCCAATAATTCTCCTTCATTCTCTATAATCAAAACTATTATTATTTTAAATAAAGTATATCAATTAAATCCTTAAAATTTTAGTTTAATTTTCTCTAAAATTGAAATCAATCTTTTTTTATTTTTCATTAATTTTAAACATCATATATAATGTAATTACTACAAAAAATCTCTTAAAACTTCAATTAGAATCCATTTTGAAATCGAAATAAAATTTATAAAAAATAAAAGTTGAAAAATTAAGAAATTGTCTAATCGAACCTTAAGAATTATCAATAAGTAAAATTCTTTTTAGAATGAATTAGCTGTTTCGATAAAGCCATATATATTTTCAATTTTTTTCGAAATAACAATAGTATAGTTATATGTACTTCTATTCATCGAAAAGTTAAAAATTCCTCAGATTAAAGTTTTCCTGAATAAGGATCAGTAAAATTTAATTGCTAATAATAGAGAAGATGTCTTATAAAATTTTTAATTTCAAGAATATTATTCTTCAATTAAATGAATAATTTTATTTCTATCTATAGGTATTTTAATCAAGTTGAAATTATGCCAACAAATTTTAAATATTTGGATTAATATTTTATTAATGAAATAGTCAAAAATGCAATAATTTTTGATAATAGTTAGATATGTTTTCATTTAATTTCGAGAATTTTGAGGATATTAAAAAAAATAAATTTACTATAAAATAATAAGATCTTTTTACTCTACTCAAAATTAGGTTTTTTAATATAATATAAGAACTTTGACATAAAACTAAAAATATATATATATATATTAAAATAATAAAGTTCAAGTTAAGTTTAATATCCTAGTTCTAAACTCTATAATAGATTGGCAATTTGGAATAAGAATTTCATTAATATTTTTAATGCAAAAATATTTTTATATTCTAGTTATTTTTGCCACGTGCAGTAATGCTCTCACATTTTATCTCACAGAAGGAAAGCAAAGATGTTTTTTAGATGAATATACTGCAAACACTGTTGTTATTGGAGCCCATTAATTGTTAGATAAAGTTTAACCTAATGG